AGACGAGGCCTTAGAAGCATTTAAATGAGAATGATCATGGTATATGAATAAAAATTGTTATTCAAAGTGATTGACGTGGATGATGTGGAGTCTTTTTTGACAAGTTTTGTACTTATCAAATCGCTAGTCCTTATCAACCACAGTTGAAAGTATTGAGAAATGAAATACTTGAACTCTTAAGGAGTAACAAAGCCATGTTGATAATTCTAGAGTAAGCTAGAATTTGTGGGGGAGATTATGGCCCACCACTTTCGCAATAATTTACCACATAAAGGTTTTGGACCATGAAAATATGGTATTTTACCACATAAAGGTTTTTGGACCATAGAAATGTGGGGGTGTTTTGACTAAGGTAAATGTACCAAAGTTGAACAAGTTCAAAGAGCCTAAAAATGTTGAAATGCATATTTGTTGAACATGTGAAGTACGATAGCGCACAAGATAGCCATTCTTGATGCAAATAAATTAAATATGTTTGAAATTTGGATTTTGACCCAAGTTTGACAAACAATTTAATTGGATTCCATTTGACAAGTTATGGAATAAAAATCTACACTTTGACTAGATAAATCTAGTGTGTTTAATTTCTCAAACTCGACTAGGGGTGAATGAGAAATTAATGTATATGGAGGTGAAAATTCACCATCCCACATTGACAATGATTAGCTACATTTAAAGCACTTTATTAAGTGAAAACGGTTAGCTAAAGATATATATATCTCTATGAGATAAAGTGGTAATTTATAAAGTGATAAATAACCAAACGCTCAATAAAAGAGAGCTAAGAAATCAACAGTTTGATTTTAATATTTTAATTTATGAGTTAGAAAATGAACCTCGGGCAACTAATGAAGTATTATCCACTTGGGGGTTAATTGTCTTTGAGACAAAGGAAAAATTAGTGAAACTCGTATCGTATGAACTTAAATAAGTTCTAAAGCAATTGCATCACATTTGATAAGAATTTGTTATCAAATATTTTTAAACTTGGCGAGTTTGAAAAGTATGTGTGTGATAAATGCACACAAGAGTACATGTTTATGAGTAAATGACATGTTAATCATGTGGTGTAATCATGGTATTATCATGAAAACTAATGAAATATTAGTAAATTATTTCAATGTGGAAAATATGGTCCTATTGATGCAATCTTATAAGAGATTAAAATCACTAAGATTTGATGAATTATTGAAGTCTCATTATGTTGAGATAATGCTAGTCATATTGACCTCATCAATATAAGACTATAAAGAATAGTGGTGAACAATGGTTCAACTAAAATATTCTTGAAGAGATTGTAGTATAATGAACTACATGTTGATTGACTCATTAAGCAAGTCAAGTAAATAGATAATCCTATATGTAAACGTAAATTACATTATAGAAGATATCCAATTGTACTTGAAAAGTAAATTCTTATGATTTGGATATGTGCTAATAAGATACTAAGTCCATAAATGATTTTGTATTGTGGAAGTCCTCAAAATAAATGTATAACTCGATGCACTATGGAATTCGAGTTATAACTTGGAAGGTAAAGAAAAATATTGGATAACTCCATAGCTTTCTAGAGGACATTATGTGATGGACTTAGTTGGTGCTTGAAAGTAATTGTAGTAGTCAGTTGGCTATACAAAAGAGCACAAAATAATATGTAAAATGGTAAAGTCTCGATCATAGGCATAACACCATTTAGCAATTGATCTCTAGAGAAATTATAAACGTTGACTTTACGAAGTCAAGAGATAATTTGATTGATCCTTGACGAAGGAATCAATAGAGATCAAATGTGCTAGTTAGTGATGGGAATGGGTCTATAAACCCACAACTCAAACGAAAATCCATGATGGTAACCCAACCTTGTAGATTGGAGATCCCAAGATCTTGGTTCAATGGGACAACTAAGTTATGGAAATTCAAATCGAGCACTTGGAAATTATTCCTACCATTCCCTAAAATCGAAGTGCTACATGTCGAATGTGGTTAGGTTAAGTCTAGTGACTTTTAATGATTCCTATGACCTTTTAAGGTGGAATACGGTAGGGTATTCTTTATGGGAGATCACCTATTTAAGTGTGAAGTATAGGGCCGCTTCAATGAAACACTTATGAATCCAAGAATTGGTCCAAGGCCGAAATGGACACAACGTGAGAACAAACGACGTTAGAGATGTTATTGTGTAAGTGTTGTTGTCTTGGTTTACACAAAAGTTGATTAGTTTAAGACATCGCGTTCACTAAGCAACAAGTAAATCCGACAACATTTTACTAGGGAAGGTTCAAAGCCATAAGCTACCTCTCATGATGCAATAACAAATCGCTTGGACTTTGAATGTGTCTGCATGCATTAATTTCATTCATGTGAGGGATTGTTGGAAATTTTGAGTATTTGACTCAAATTTTGTTGAATATTTAAGTGGTTTAATTTAAATTCTCAAAATTAATTTTTGATGAATGATAAATTAATGGATCATTTAAAATATTTAAGTGTGGAAAATAATAAAGTGAAATGCCACCATTAAAAAAGATGGAGGTGTTTAAGCACCTATTAAATTGAATAGGTGTGTAGTTAATGAGAAAATGTGTGATACATTTTCATGAAATTATTTTCCTAAAAGTTGTGACTTGGTCATAACCTTTGAAAATCTATAAATAGATTCCAAAATCCACCATTTGAAATAGTTAATTATTCACATGGATTTTTCAATAAATTAATTGAATTCACTTCTCATCATAGCATCTCATTGCATATTGTTGCATTACCAAGTCCTTTTCTTCGTGTCCTATAAAGTCCTAAACGTCATTTCGTTCGCCGTGTTCCAATAATTGGTGTGCTACTTTGTTGGAACTGAAATAGTCATTGTATCTTGGGAGACAATTGCCGTAACCGAGAGCACTGCACGGGGCAAATTTGTCTTAAGGAGAAAGAATAGTTCTTGCCTCGACTACATTTTTCTTGTCAAACTTTTGTCCAAATTTTGTTCGTTCTCATTTCGAAATACACACACCCAAATAACAATTAATTTATGTATAATCGACTGTTTATATCAGACAGTCGATGATCTTCACCGTTAAAAAGGGAAGAAAAAGAATACATGGACCCGGTCCAATCCGATTCGGTCAAAGTAGCCTTTATTAACCTTCTATTAATTTTTCCCTTTTTTTAGGGTTAATACGTTGGAGGTCCCGCATACGAAACGTTATTAGATGTGGGTTACGGGCCCAATATTTTCTTCGCAACTAAATCCCTCAATTCAAAAATTATAAGATATAAGGGTTTCTTTTTTAAATATCCTAAAAATACCCTTAGTTTTAACAGGGCGTTTGTGTGGGTTATGTCTCTTTAATAAATCACATCCCTTGAAGATAGGGATTACATATCAATCACGTTCTATCGTGATAGCAACTATATCTTTATGTAATCTCATTAATATATACTGCACGTAAGTGAAGAAAATTCCATACATATCAATACACAGTGGTAATCGGCTAAACTTTGAGCGTAGTCATTCGAGTTTTCTTTATTCTCCTTCATCAAGAAGGTATTGTCTTCTTTATCGCATATCAATGTTTCTTCGTGCTTTGTTGGTTGGATGTCTGTTCAATTTTTTTTTTCTTTTTTACCCTTTTTTTCTTCACAAGATCCACTTATAAATTTGAAAATTAATTGTGCAGTGGAAAAAAGAATTCACGTAAATTATTGTATTAACCTATTTATTTGCATATTCATTTAATGTTCGTTTTGTATTTCCACAGTAAGTTCAGAATGTCGACAACTGTTAAGATCGTGATGAGGTTTGGTGAATGTTTTGGCATCAAGAATGTGTCTGGTAATATGAATTTCAACATGCTCGTTGGTTATGTGAGGGCTAAATGGAATGAGTTGTACATACACAATATGGTTTTGTCGTATAAGGTTTTGGATGATGGCGAGAGCATGCTTACTGAGGACGACGACGTGGCACACATGTTCTCTTTCATTGTGAGCAGATTGAGGTAATTGTGAAGAAGCGAGAGGGGGTTGCTGTGCACTCGGGCGGGAATTTGTTTATTCAGGAAAATCTGCCAGCACTTGATTATGGTATGCCAATTGTGAGTAGTGTTGATCCACGGATTCCTAATGGTGGTCCTACTCCATTACTTAGTTGTTTCTGGGCAAGCTTAATCAAGGATGGTGGTCAATGCTTCCAAGGTGGTGCGAAGGAGTTTAGAAACAAAGTATACATGCTTTGAATCCATAGACACCATAGATTTTAGAAACAAAATATACATGCTTTTAATCCATAGATTTTTTCGGTGGAATCCATAGACACCGACAGAATTATTAAACATCAAACAAACAAAATATACATGTTTTGAATCGTACCAGGATCTAGTGCAGTTATGTCCTGCTGCCGCTTCATACGCATCTCCCTAGTTCATTCAATTTTGTAAATACCCAAAAAAAAAAATTCAAAAAAATCAACAATAATCAAAACTTACTTGATATGTTTCTTGACGTAGACATTCGCAGATCTTAATTGCGCCGATAATTTGGGAATTTGTGATGTTGCTCGGCGTCGATTTGCAGGCGAGAATAAAAGGGAAAAAAACCCTAATTTGGCGAAGATCGGGTGAAATGAGGGATAGTGGGTTGGTTTATGATACAGTTAATGTGGATTTGGGAAAATACAATCTCATAGATTACTAATGGCGGGATTGGTGGGATTTACTTTTATTTTTCCAAAATTAAAAATAAACGGCGTTAATTCACCGTAAGGGTACTATAAACACTATTTCACAAAAGGATGTGAGGCTAATGTTTTTATAGGCTTGGCTAATAAGTTTTCCCACTAGGATGCATATCTTAAAGCGCATGTTTTTTAATCAGCCGGTTCAAAGGGGTCAACCAACTGGGCGGACCGGGTCGGTCAATAGACCGGTTGTGGGGTGAGCATGTTTAGGTTAAAGTCAAACAAAAGAAGAGCCTTAATTTGTGATTGCGGGTCAAGAAGATCCAAAGAGTAATGAGGCTGAAACTGAAAAGGGCGGGCTGACTGTCACACCGGATTTCAGTACAACATACATACTCACTCTTGCGCCGTTCACCGGCGAAAATACTTTGAGATGTCCACTTTGCTCAGAACTAAACTCCGATCTCTTTCAACTGTTCATTTATTGCGAAATCTACGCTCTTTCTCCTCTTTTGACGATGCCCTAGGTCATTCCAATTTCCCTCCCGAACCTATTCCCGACAGGCCTTTGCGAAAGCATTCTCGATTCCCAAATTCTCGCGGTGTTCGTGAAAATGAAAACCCAAATTCGTTTAAGGCCGAAACTGATGCTGATTTTCTGGAAAAATTCAAACTTGGCTTTGATCGGAAATCGGAAACCCTTACAACCGACTCAATAAATAAAAGTATTCAGCCCGAGAAAAAAGAGAATGTGGAGCCTATATCGCCTCCAGAGGATGCTGATGAGATATTTAAGAAGATGAAAGAGACGGGGTTGATTCCTAATGCGGTGGCTATGCTTGATGGTTTATGCAAAGATGGGCTGGTGCAAGAGGCAATGAAGCTGTTTGGGTTAATGCGTGAGAAGGGCACCATTCCGGAGGTGGTCGTTTACACTGCTGTGGTAGATGGATTTTGCAAGGCACACAAGTTAGAAGATGCAGTAAGGATTTTTAAGAAAATGCAGAGTAATGGGATCGTTCCGAATGCGTTCAGTTATCAGGTGTTGATTAGGGGGCTATGCAGTGGGAATAGGTTGGACGATGTGTATGGGTTTACTATTGAGATGTTGGAGGCTGGGCATTCCCCAAATTTAGCAACTTTCACCGGATTGGTTGATGTATATTGCAGGGAGAAAGATTTGGAAGAGGCTCAGAATGTTATCAAGGCAATGAGGCACAAGGGATTTTTCTTTGAGGAGAAAGCAGTTCGGGAGCATTTAGACAAAAAGGGACCTTTCTTGCCTTTGGTCTGGGAGGCAATCCTAGGGAATAAGGCATCCAAGCGGTCTCTGTTCTGATGGATTCTCTTTTTTCTTAATCCATATCAGCAGTATGTTTTTTAGTACTTTTTCCCTTTTCTTGATTAATAGGAATATGCATTTGAATTTGGATTGTACTTGAATGCCATCCGTATTACTTGGATTATCTTTTGGTGATGGAATTTATCTGAATGTGTTTTTCTCTGTATGCTATTGCTCTTTGTTTCTATCTAGATATACAAACTTGAATGCATCTTGCTTGACGTGGTGAAGTTATATAGGTTTTGAAAACATTTGTCTTTAATATCTGAATTGAAACGGTGATGCGTAGGATAAGTTGTCATTGTATAGCCAACTCCACTTTGCTTTTCAGAAACAATGTCTTTCTAAAAGAGTAGAAAAAACATTTTAGTACATGAAGTAATTTAATAGTTCTATTTATTTATTTTATTTATTTCAACTTGTGATGGCTTGTCTGATGCCTCAGACTGAACTTAGCTTTCTTTTGATTTTCATGACCTACATGACTTAGAGAGCATTCTCTTTCCTTTCTGAAAGAATGCTGCTTTCTTGTCTTGTTAGAGCGCACTAGTTTAACCTGAAGAAGAGAAATTCTCATAGAAATATCATGTAAATAGAATATACAAGATTTGTAAAGACAGGTAAACATCCTCACTCACTTGTGGAGATCTTTTTATTATGAAAATGTCTGGTAATAACAGTAGTCCGGGACAAAATAAAGCTTAAAACAGTGTGTCCACTATGTTGCTTGAAATTGGGACGAACAAATAATTTCTTATAAATGAGCAACAAGGGTTCGGTTTGTAAATGATCAGATTATTTGCTAAATAGATCAACGCAAAGTAGCGTATTTATGGACATTGGTTGCGGGATCACGTCATATTATCTTATTCAGCACTTTTATGTCTATTAGAACAGAACACTAAATGGTGGACATATTAAAAGAACCTATTTCTGATTTATGTTATCAAGAATTCTAATCTACCTTTGAAGCAACATATTCCTTGGCATAGTATGTGGATGTGATGCTTAAGATGTCATGCATGAATTTTTTTTTGCCCTTCCAACGAGATAAATTTGACTTTTAGTAGGGATATCTGAGGCTTACCATTTCTTCGCCATACCAACTCCGATAGTTGTGCTCATTTGACCTATAGCTTTGGTGTGAGTACATTGCTTCATTTCTCTTCTTCTGAATGTTAGCACTCATACTGCTATTAAGTTTCAGAACGATGATTTAGTCAAATGGGCATCATCGTTCTTCACGGTGAAGCTCGATATGAACATGAATGGGAAGCAAGAAAATACTAAAATACCTATCTTCGCATGGATAGCTATCCATGGGAAAAGGCAAGATCTTGTCTCCATTTATCATCCTACGTTTTACGTGTTTTGTATTTCCACTGTCACGTAGAATTTCAGCATCATCTTCAGAATCAGTCAATTCACCTTCTTCCTTGATGTGCTCTCTTTTGACTATCTGTTCACAAAGTATTGTAGTTCCCACTAATATTTGAGCACGATATCAGAAAACAACATAAAGTGTACTAGTTTCGAACAGGAGAAAACATAGTACCTCAATGATGACATCTGAATCGTAGGAATTTAGATCCTTGTAATCTATGAAAGGAAGATCATCGTCCATTCTCCTATCCAAATTTACTTCAATTGTCGACACGTCCTAAAGTACATAAACATTAAAATGAGGTGCTGATTAATTAGAAAACATATTTTGCTTCTATGTTTTCTTTCTTTCTTTCCTCTTGTGGCTGGGGGCACTGGCAGTACTATAGTTTACCTTATGTGAATGTATGCTTTCATATGTGGATACTTTGATTTGTCTGGAACTTGTCCCTTGCTGGAAAAATAGAACAAGTGCAAAAAGAAAAAGCAAACCGTTATATGTCTTGTTTCCAAATGCATTGACTAGAGAGGTAATGAAGAGTGACACTTGCCATGAGTTTGCAATAATAATCCTTCCACTGTTCCTCGTCCAATTCGTAGTTAAAGAAGTCTGACAGTTCCACACTAGGGTTTCTCCACAACTTTTCCTCAAACTTGTCAATGTCGATATCCAGTATACTTTGTTCAAACCAAAGTATGAATAAAGAATACATGAGATCAAATAGGAAATACACATCTGATTATAAGTATTATGTCTTTAGATGTATTCATTTCACACACTATAATTTTGTTAGCAAATGAAATCATATATAAAATAATGTTTTTTAGGCAAGTATTTACTTGTATTTTGCAACAGAATCATGACGAGAACGGGTTCTAATCTCTGGGGCAGGTCTGCGTCTATTTTTACTATAATTAGGAGATAGTTTAGTCATTCTGTCCGCCTTGGGGAAATTATACTGCCAAAAATGAAGAGTGGTAACTTTTTTCTCCAAAAAAAAGAAAAGGTTTGAAACATCGACTTGTACTACTACCTTGAACAGTGATGATATCTGGGCAGGACGATGGAACTTGTCTGGTATTTGTTTTCCATTGTTTGTTGAAACATTAATAAGTTCTTCCTCAACATCACATGAGTTTGCATCTTTTGTTACTTTATTATTATTACTGAGAGAAGCAGCTATGTCAATGCCATGTCCAAGAAGCAGTTTATCGGAACTATTCTTCATGTTTGGTCGATCTGTTCTCACACTATCTTGGCGCAGTTGTGGTTAGTTGTTTGAAGGCCACTTGAAAATCCTCCTTCATACTTTGATACACTCTGTCTTCCATTCGACACAAGGATTATTGGAAACATTTCCGATTTCTGTCTGTCTGTGCTTGTACTGTTGTACAAATCAAAGGACACATCACACACATTTGCCTTCTCCAACCAACAAATAATATTCTGCCCAACGAAATTATTAAAGATTTTCTGAAAAGTTTTTCAAACGTTGTAAAACAATCTAGTGACAGAGTTTATTTCTTCTTGTCTTGCTTCATTGTTTTATTATTTTGGATAAAATACGATCAAGTTTTTGTTTCTTATAATAGTAATATCTCAAAAACTCAGGCCTGTAAATATTTAAATGGTAATCTAATAATGTACAAATAGATGCCCCGAAAGACAAATATTTTTTTCTTTCTAACTAGAGCAATAAGTAGAAAGAATAAATGAATAATGATGTGCTTTCAATATGTTAATGGATTTACCTAGTATACATGATCGGCGCCGCAGACTATTCGTGCTCTCCAGGACCAAAAACATGGAATGAGTGTTCTTAACACGAGGATGAAACCTCAAAACTCTCAGAATGTATCTATATGCTCATCAACTTGTATACCAAAACACTACAGATAACTATCATATATATAATATATATAAGTGACCAACCACCTTAGCTGCTGCTGTAACTCTATCTGCTCAAGGGTTCTAGCTGAACCTCCATTCTTTCTGACGAATACGATTCTTTATCTGTCATTGGCCGACTTTGTCTCAAAAGGTCAATATCCTCCTCTTCACCATTACCCAACACCCAATTGCTTCTTCCAGCTACTCTGCCTCGACTCATACTAGTCTCACGATACTCCAAATACATTACAATCAAAGCACCTATCAAGAACCAAACTATCAGAGCCCAGCTTAGTCCATGAACGTTTTCATCCCCATACCTATCTCCCAAATGTTTCAACCCACTTATAAGAGCTGCAAATCCAACCACTAGAGCACATCTCCCAGTTATAATGTGAGTATATTCCCATACAATTCTCTTTCGAGAAGACTCCTCTCCAATGGCAGCCTTCTTTGGTCTTAAGTATGCATTCATCGGTTGTGCTACTGCCAGCAATATTGCCAGCATTCCAAACTTCACATGCACTGAGTCCAGAGTCAGGCCCCGTAGTTCAGCAACAGCAAATAAAAACCCTAGGAAAACAATAGCTAAACCCGAGTATTGCAGGTACACATGAATCCTATACCAACTGTCATCCTTCACATGCTTCAAGTATCTAGCTGCAAGTACTCCAGCAGGCAACAGAATACCCCATGCAAGAAACATCATAAACCCATGCACAGCTAAAACAGGTCTCAAGTCCTCCTCTGCTTCTGCAGAACCACGCATTAGCAGCACACTCATTGGTCTCTTGCTTGTTGCAAAATGCATGTTTCTCACACTCAAATGGTCATCGGACCATTGAGCACCCATGGCCCAGATAACCTTCAATGGAGTTGAAGGATCGACAATGTTGTTGCATTCTGGCCTTTCATTCAGGTCACAAGATGGTTTTAGAGGCCGGGTGAATTCCAATGTAATGATGCCATTTTCAGATTTGCATCTCACGTATGTCAGATTCTCCTTTGTCGGATGCACATTTAAAGCATCCCTTCCATCAATCCAATAGGTGCTCACCCTTCCTTTACCGCTGTCATCAACCCAACCCACATAAGCATAGCTGTTTATCATCCCACGACCAAATCCAATTGCCAGATAACCACTTTTCTTCTCACCCCGAGCTGCAATAGATATTGAGTTATCTGATAGTGTCCAGAATAGCATAACTTGCTGATCATCCAAAGAAACACTATTGTTATACATATCTGGCAAACCTCCATCGACCACTTGAACTTTCCAGCCCATCTTTGGTACATAAAGAGACTGGTAGTAAACAAGATCCGGTGTATTTCTGTCAGGAGCCCAGGTCAATTCTGTAGGGCTGGCTTGTACACCTTCCGCTTCTGGACCCCCAAAATATATCGTCTCTGTCATGTTTCTCAAAGTTGCATTCCCACCAATGGGATCAGATGTAACATATAATGCCACATCATGTCCAGCCTGTATTGAGAACTTCACTTGCACACCCCTCTCTACCCTCAGAAGAGGAGCTTCTTTCTTGTTGATATAAAGAACTTTAGAAGGATTTGGAGGATTTGGATAATGTAACGCTGGACCAGTTGATATAACAAGCGGCTCCTTTTTATCCGCAATGACAAGATCTTGATCCTCCTTATCTTTAGCATCCAATGGTCCTAAACAATCATTTACGTGGTTGGAAATGTTGAGGCTCAAGTGACCATAACTCCCACCGTGATTTTGAGGAAGATAGAAAGGACGTAAGCTATCAGGAGGCTTAATCAGCCCTATTGCCCATATCACAGTCATGTTTGCCGTGGGATCAACTTCTAGATCGAAATTGCTATCATTAGACTTGAGAGGTCTCTTATACCTAATGAATGATACTCCATCCTTCCTATGCCCATAAACCAAGATTGTATTGTTCACCAGCCCAATGGGATCGGTAGATTTATACATAGTATCCGGACAAACCCCCTGAACAGTCCCATCCTCATTGATCATACACTCGCTATACTTGGTTATAAAATAATCATGCGCAAAGGGCAGTCCATCCCCCTCAAACCCTGTGATCGCCACATCACCACCTACCATCAAAGAATTGGAAACGTTGGGGTTAGCCCACCCGAAAGCCATATAATTCTGAACTCCAATTGCAGCCTCCAAACCAATATCAATCACAGCATCCTCCTCGTTGAGACTCCACCTAATCCTATAATTATCAGAGAGTACTTTACAATTCTCAAACACGGTTGGTTGCTCACGGTCTGAGAAATTCGCTCCGCCATTCACAGAATAATTACTCAACAAAATGTGGCCGAAATTGGAAGCTGTAGGGACATCCCAAACTGCAAGAACTTTAATTTGATCCCAGGTCACATTTTTCCGCAAAGGAACAATAAAGGTGTCATTTTGATAAGTGTGATTGAGGTTAGAATCTGAAATGAGGAAGCCGGCGGTGAGATTTAGGACATTATCCCCTGCGGCGCCCCACCAATGGACGTCGGAGCCAGAGAGCATATCAAATTGGGAAACACGGAAAGAACAATCATCAATGACGGAGAGAATGCCGCGAAGCTGATGCTGTACCATGGTGAAGTGTGAGGTGAAGTTGAGGAGAGAGGTATTGGTCCTAGGGCAAGCCGAAACGGGATCGGAATATGGGAAAGGAATCAAAAACATAAAAAGCCCCAAAAAGATTAGTGTTGATGGGGCCATCTGAAGAGATCGTAGATGGCGGATCTGGTTTTTTTATCAATGGATCCAATATGCAGATGGATGTATACAAGATTTATCTACATATACATCATTATCATATATATATATATAAGATCGATCAAAGGGCTAAATGCATATATGTATTTACATGTACCAAAATTACAAGTACACGGAGAGAGAGAGAGGAAACAAGAAGAACGATCAACCCTGAATGCACACACGCACAGAGAGAGAGAGAGAGAGAGAGAGAGAGAGAGAGAGAGAGAGAGAGACGAGAGACGAGAGACGAATTGCAAGCAACTTTGCAAGGGGTTGACGAAGCAGCAGAGCAGGCTACAGGGGTTTTTGATTTTTGTTTGGTGCTTTTGTTTTCAGGCTTGCAATTTGGTGAAGAAAAGATGCACACACCAGTAATTAACTTGGAATTACTTTCTTAAAAGTAGAGAATATACGATTTATTTAGTAGTGGTGAATGGTGATTAGTCATCATCCCATTGTGATTTAAACATATATTAATGACACCACTTAGACGGCCTAATTAATGCAATTTATTAGAAAGAAAACAATCCATTAATCCATTAATCAATCTCCAAGGCTTCTTTCAATTTGACAAGATTTTTAGTATTAATAATTAATTAATATTGATGCGGAATAATTACCTACGCAGGTGTCGTAAAGGCTTGGATTTAATAGGGCGAAATCTATATATCCGAATTGAGGAAAAAAAAAAAAAACACTAAACACCCTGTTGGATTTTGGCCCAAATATGTTCTGGGCCATAAAGCCCAATTGCCATCATTTAATATACACCACCATTGAGTTAAGCCCAAGGCAGTTATGAGTGAGCCCAACCCATTTTGTGAACCAAATCCATCCGTTGGATTTTAGGCTCAATCTGGACCGTTCATTGACTCACTTAAATACTTGTTTCTCTCTCTTCGTTTCTCTCACTCTGAAACCCTAACTCTTACCCTCTCTTCTCCGCCGCTCCTTCGTATGTCTTCTTCCTCCCTTGTACTGCCTTGACTGAGTTATGGCTGGAGGTCAAAGTGCACGGTACAGTGCTGAATTTGACCCTCCGGTACAGCCTTTACCGGCTATCTTTGACTTCAGTCACTATATATGTTGGCATGGAGGCTGGAAGAGGGTAAGACAGAAAAAAACCCTAATCAGACCTAAATTCCTCTGTTTTTCTTTGTGAGTTCAGAAACATAGGGTTTTGGTGAGTGGGTTAGCTTGAGTGCTTGATCTGTTCTTCCTTCGTGGTTTTCTGGGTATTTTAGGGTTTGAGTGTTTTGAGAGAGAAAGGAGATTTGTTCTCCTTGAGGTACTCTGGTGGTGTATATTTGGAAGTGTGAATCTCTGGTGTGAAATTGGAAGACTGAGCTGAAAATCTCAATCTATTTGTTTTTCCAATTATTTCATACCTTGTATTTATTTCTTTCTTTTATACATTCATACCTATATATATATATATATATCTATTCTCCTTGGCAGTAATCAATACTGCACAAGGGGAATACATATAGTTTGCAGTAGGTTGAGAATGGAGCTTGGCGATTTGATACCCTACAGTGGTATCAGAGCTATGGCTATAGCTTAGCTCTACTCAAAGCGGAGTAATTTTCAAAACCTAACTTGGTTTTGTCAAGGTAACACCTCTGAAACCCTAATTTCATTTCCTGTTCGTTGACCTGTGGAGATTGGGAGCCCTGTGTGGCTATTGAGTTGGCCCTGTGTGGCGTGGTGGCCCTGTGTGGCATTATGTGGCCCTGTGTGGCATTATTTGACTCTGCTTGATCTTTCCCTTTCTTCTGCTTGCTATTTTTCCGCTCTTAGTGTAGTTAAGGATTGCTCTCATCCACCCTTTCTTGTCCGGACCGCCTTAGTGTCGCATGAATCTGGAAAGGGGAGGGCAATCTGTATATTTATTGTGTTTCTCTGTATTTCTGTGTGATTCTGTGTGATTCTGTGTGACTGTGTGATTCTGTGCCTCTTATCTGTGTGAAACTATGAATGCTTATCCCTTAGCTCCTTTTGATGGAAAAGGGGATTTTCCTATTTGGCAACAGAAAATAAAAGGTGTTTTAGTGCAACAAAAATGTTTTAAAGCTGTTACATTAGCATATGATGATAACACTACTGCTGCCAAGAAGGCAGAATTTGATGAACTTGCTTATTCTTTGATTATCTTGAACCTAAGTGACTCTGTGATTAGAAAACTAGGAAAACAAGATAATGCTAAAGCCTTGTGGGATAAATTGGAAGAACTTTATACTGAAACCTCCTTGCCCTCCAAAATGTTTTTGTTGGAAAAATTCTTTAGATTCAAACTGGATTTAAACAAAGACATTGATGAAAACCTTGATGTTTTTACAAAACTGGTTCAGGATATTAAACTGACTGGAGACAAAAATATTGATGATTATTCTCCTATTGTCTTGCTAAATGCTATCCCTGATACTTACAGTGATGTAAAGTCAGCCATTAAGTATGGCAGAGATAAGGTTTCTTTGGACACTGTGATAAATGGTTTAAAAAGCAAAGAACTGGATTTAAAAACTACCAAGAGTAGTAAATCTTTTGGTGAAATCAATTTTGTGAAAGGGAAGCCTAAAAATCAGTTTCAAAGCAATTTTCAAAATAAATTTCAAAACAAGGCTTCTTCTAGTAACCAAAACCAGTCTTTTCAAAAACCTAAAAAGGGCAAGGGGTGGAATAAGTTTAAAGCCAAAGGCAGAAAGTGTTATAATTGTGGTAAAAATGGTCATTATGCTAATGAGTGTTCTGAGCCTAAAAAGGAAAGAACCAATGAACATGCTAATGTTGTGACTGATAACCTTGGTGATGTGTTTATGGTTGGTGATGTAATGCATGATTATGTGAACTCTGTGATCTCTTCTCTTTGTGATAATGATTGGATTTTTGACTCTGCATGCACCCATCATATGACACCTCATAGACATTTGTTTTCCTCCTATGTGAAACTTGAAAATGGTAATGTGTCTATGGCTGATAACAGTGAAAGAACTGTAGTTGGAATTGGAACAATCTGCCTAAAATTTGAATCTGGTTTTGAATTAGTTCTTAAAAATGTTAGGCATGTTCCCAAACTGAGCAGTAATTTGTTATCTGTTGCTATTCTTGAAGATAGTGGTCTGCATGGTAATTGGGGAGATGGTTGTCAAAGAATCATGTTGCATGATAAATTTGTTTTCAAAGCTGTTAGAATGCAAAACCTCTATGTGTGTTCTGCTGAACCTGTTTTGCATGCCAACGCTGTTAATCATGACATGTCTATTCTGTGGCATAAAAGGTTAGGTCATATAAGTGGCAAAGGTCTTGAAATTCTGCATAAGAATAATTATCTGAGTGATGATTGTGTGACCAATTTGCCTATATGTGACTCATGCATTTTTGGAAAACAAACTAAAGTTAAATTTCCTGTTTCTCCATTCCCCAATTCTTCTAAATGTTCAGATATACTTGAATATGTGCATGCTGATGTGTGGGGCCCTGCCCCAGTTCCTTCTCATGGTGGTAATAGATATTTTTTGTCTATTGTTGATGATTTTTCTAGAAAAGTGTTTGTGTTTTTACTCAAGAATAAATCTGATGTGTGTGAGAGATTTAAAAATTGGAAAATCTTGATTGAAAACCAAACTGGAAAGAAAATCAAAACTTTGAGAACTGATAATGGAACTGAATTCTGTAATGCTGAATTTGATACTCTGTGTTCTGAATCTGGCATTAAGAGACATAAAACTGTTGTGTACACACCCCAACAAAATGGTATTGCAGAGAGAATGAATAGAACTTTGCTTGATAGAGTTAGGTCTATGCTAAATTCTTCTGGCTTGAAAAAACCTTTTTGGGGTGAAGCTGTTCTTACTGCTGCTTATTTGATAAATAGGTCTCCTTCTGTGCCCTTAAATGGGGAATTGCCTGAATCTAAATGGTGTGGTAAACCTGTTGATTTATCAAATTTGAAAGTTTTTGGTTGTACTATGTTTGTTCATCAAAAACTTGATAAACTTGACCCCAGATCTGTGAAATGTGTTTTCTTAGGATACCCTGAAGGGGTTAAGGGGTATAGATGTTGGTTGTATGGTGATCAGGGTTTTAAAACTGTGATTAGCAGAAATGTTGTGTTTAATGAAAATGAATTTCCATGCTTATCTGCTCCTACTATTGTTTCACCTGATACCACTTCATCTGAGGTGGAGATTCCACCTGTTAATTCTGTTCAAACTGAAAATAAAAACTCTGGTGATGAAGTTGTTAATAATGAGATGCCTGAAAATACTGTTTTTGATCAAAATGCTAATCTTGATGTTCCCTCTGTGAATGATCTTAGTGATTATCAACTTGCTAGGGACAGAGATAGAAGAAACATTGTTAGGCCCCCTCATTTGAATGATTATCAACTTGCTTCTCATGTGTTTCATGTGTTTGACTCTCTAGATGGTAATGAACCTAAGTCTTATAGGGAAGCTTTGAATTCTGATGAGTCTGTTGAATGGTTAAATGCTATGAATGATGAAATGAAGTCCTTACATGTTAACCATACTTGGATTCTTGTACCTAAACCTCCTGCATGCTCTTTAGTTGACTGTAAGTGGTTGTTTAAGGTTAAACATGAATCTGACTCTGTTAGATATAAAGCTAGGCTAGTGGCTAAGGGGTTTACCCAAAAGGAAGGTATTGATTACACTGAAATATTTGCTCCTGTTGTGAAATTCACCACTGTTAGAATCATGCTTGCTTTAATTGCTCACTTTAACTGGGAATTAAAACAAATGGATGTGAAAACTGCTTTTCTACATGGGGAATTAAATGAGCAAATATATATGTGCCAGCCTGAGGGTTTTTGTGATAAAAAACATCCTGATTATGTGTGCATGCTTAAGAAATCTTTGTATGGACTGAAACAGTCACCTAGGCAATGGAACAAGAAATTTGATGCATGCATGATGTCTTTAAAATTTAAAAGGAGTTCTTATGATCCTTGTTTGTACTTTAAAGAATCTGCAAAAATTCCTGTGTTCTTGCTTATCTATGTGGATGACATGCTTCTTGCTAGTCCTTGCATTCAAACTGTTAATCATGTGATTAAATGCCTTAGTGATGAGTTTGATATGAAACTCCTTGGTGATGCAAAAAGAATTCTTGGCATGGACATAATTAGAGATAGACCTGGCTGCACTTTGTTTCTGAATCAATCCTCCTATATTGAGAAAATCCTTGAAAATTTTTCTATGCTGTCTGCCAAACCTGTGTCTGTTCCTCTTGCTCCTCATTTTTTGCTAAGTAAGGATCAGTCTCCCAAGACTGAGCCTGAAATCTCTGAAATGAAAAATGTGTCTTATGCCAATGCCATTGGCTCTGTTATGTACTTGATGGTTAGTACTAGGCCTGACATTGCATATTCTGTGAGTTGCTTGAGTAGATACATGTCTAATCCAGGTTTGCCTCACTGGGAGGCTCTGAAATGGCTGCTTAGATATTTGAAAGGTACTGTTAAAACTGGTTTGATGTTTTCAAAAGGCAAAACTGAAATTGAACTCTGTGGTTATGTGGATTCAAACTTTGCCAATGATAGGGACAATAGAAAATCTTCTACCTCTTATGTATTCACCTTGAATGGTGATTGTGTTAGTTGGAAATCTCAACTCCAACACATTGTTGCTCTGTCTACTACTGAATCTGAATATATAGCTGCTACTGAGGCTATTAAAGAAGCTATTTGGCTTAAAGGGTTGTTGTTGGAAGTTGATATGCTTAATTCCAAAGTGGTAGTATTTTCTGATAGTCAATCTGGCATTCAACTGTGTAAAAATCCTATTTTTCATGATAGAACTAAACACATTGATGTAAAGTTCCATTTCATTAGGGATGTGGTTGAAAAAGGGATTATTGACCTTGAAAAAATCCCATCTGAGTTCAATCCAGCTGACATGGGAACTAAATGTCTGCCTTCTGAAAAATTCCGTTCTTGTTTGCAAAACTTGAACATTCTTTCCAAACCTTGACTTGCTGTGTGCTAGTTTGTAGTCTGTGTGACTTGGTATTTATGCTTTCTTTGTGATTGCTTGTTTAATCTTTTTCTGTGTGACTAAGATTGTGCTGTCTAGGTGATTGCAGTACTGCATTTATGTTAAAAGTGCAGATAAGTTGTATTCTGAGTGAATTCAACTTGATATACTTGTATGAACTGTGTGCTCTTACTGGTGTGTCAAAAATCAGCAATGATGACTTCCAAAATTTTTTTAGAAATTTTCACTAATGATTCACATTTGGTCCAAGGTGGAGAATTGTTGGATTTTGGCCCAAATATGTTCTGGGCCATAAAGCCCAATTGCCATCATTTAATATACACCACCATTGAGTTAAGCCCAAGGCAGTTATGAGTGAGCCCAACCCATTTTGTGAACCAAATCCATCCGTTGGATTTTAGGCTCAATCTGGACCGTTCATTGACTCACTTAAATACTTGTTTCTCTCTCTTCGTTTCTCTCACTCTGAAACCCTAACTCTTACCCTCTCTTCTCCGCCGCTCCTTCGTCTGTCTTCTTCCTCCCTTGTACTGCCTTGACTGAGTTATGGCTGGAGGTCAAAGTGCACGGTAAAGTGCTGACTTTGACCCTCCGGTACAGCCTTTACCGGCTATCTTTGACTTCAGTCACTATATATGTTGGCATGGAGGCTGGAAGAGGGTAAGACAGAAAAAAACCCTAATCAGACCTAAATTCCTCTGTTTTTCTTTGTGAGTTCAGAAACATGGGGTTTTGGTGAGTGAGTTAGCTTGAGTGCTTGATCTGTTCTTCCTTCGTGGTTTTCTGGGTATTTTAGGGTTTGAGTGTTTTGAGAGAGAAAGGAGATTTGTTCTCCTTGAGGTACTCTGGTGGTGTATATTTGGAAGTGTGAATCTCTGGTGTGAAATTGGAAGACTGAGCTGAAAATCTCAATCTATTTGTTTTTCCAATTATTTCATACCTTGTATTTATTTCTTTCTTTTATACATTCATACCTATATATATATCTATTCTCCTTGGCAGTAATCAATACTGCACAAGGGGAATACATATAGTTTGCAGTAGGTTGAGAATGGAGCTTGGCGATTTGATACCCTACACACCCTCTGGGATTATCAAACTCCAACAACGAAAAAACAAATTTTACTCCTTGAGAATACGAACATTGTGACTTACGGTGATTTCAAACAATCTCCTCAGGAAATAGCATTCTCCAATTTAGCATTCATGACGAACTTACCAGCTTAAAAAATGGGACCTAGTTTCAGTCACCAAGGGATCATTCCACAGGTGATCATTAGAGTTGCCACATATTCACCGGCAAACATTGAAGAAATCCAACAGCAGCAGGCAAGTATTACATTACTTGGTGCAAAAATACAGAAACGGCAAATTGAAGAATTCACGAGGATGAAATGGTACAACTGTTATTGCAACATGTGTATATCAAACTTTACAATGTTCAAGCTACAACACCTCCTCCTCCGAGGACAAAGTTAATTTCAAAAAACAAAAAACAAAAAACAAGCAACAAACAAACTTTGAAAACCATCAACGTACTACTACTTCTACACCTAATAATACATCAAGATCAAATACAAAGGGGTGGAGGAGTGGAGGTCTTACAAACAAAGATCTTCTTTATATCTTTACTTTTCAAATCCATTCTCAACACCAAGTCCATACAATACACCTGCATACTTTTCGGTGAACCCATTGAAGAAGTTGTCTTTTAACTTCTTGAAAGCCGAAGATGTGAGCAAACTATCAGAACCTGCCTGATGACAAATCCCAATCCTCTCAATTTCCAACAGCTCTGCTAGCTTATTCAGCCCGCCATGAAGGCTATTGCAAAACTTCATCAAATGCTTTATATCATACACCACTGGGAAGTACAAATTCAGCATATTGAAGAACCCCACTGCACTCTCCGGCAAACTTCTACAAGTCAATAATTTAAGCAAGTACCCAAAGTCATAGCCACTGTGGAATGTCACCCAGCGCACGTTATCATTCAAAACAATCCCAGATGACATCAGCAGCTCAGCAAAGTGGCTAGCATCGATGCCCGCCTCGTTGTTCTTCTTGAAATCAATCCCTGATTCCCTCAACAATTCTATCGAATCATTAGCAAATATGTCCTCGCTCACATTGAATTCGCGGAAATTGAATTGCCAAATGCAGCATGTATTATCACAGGTGGGTAAATTCCCATTTTCATCCGAAAATGTGAGACCCAACTGAATTAACTTCAACATATCAACATTATCCTTGAGGGTTTGATAATTGTACTCATGGATATGATTAAAACTGCCCAGTGGGCGAAGAACCACACCGGGGAACTCAGTATCCATGGCAACATAAGGATAATTATCGACTATATCACGAATCAGAGCAAACTCTTGCTCGAGATTGTCGTTCCATACCTCCCTAATTGTAACAGAGTCGTTCTTTGGCAACTCAGACATTTCTTCCTTCTCTTCTTAATTTTGACTTCGTACTGGCTGCAAAAAGAAACAATCTTGTGCACCAAAATAGTCTTGATAATGGTGTAATCTAGGAATCAATCAGCCAAATCTGCAAATATTACGGTAAAAAAATTGTTCAAGTAGAAAGATTGAATCTTTGAACGGAAACAAGCGAAAACAGATCGAGAGCAATTAGGAAAATAGCAAAAAGCAATCAGCCAGTAAAGAACCAAAAGAAAGGGTTTTGGTTGTCAGTTTGAGTTGAAGATCCGACCTTTAGCATGTGAAATAGTGAGTTGAAGACAGAAGATTCGGAGGTCTGCGAGCACTGATTGGTGTGTCAACGCGGAGAAGATGAAGTGCAGATAGAGGCCCGGGGTTGGGTTTGGGGTTGGGGTTGGGTGGGTATGTCAGGCTCTAACACTCTGTTTGGCTACAGGTATTTGGACGAACTTGAATCGGATTAGACCACTTGGGTCAAGGAGTGACGTAAAAAATAGGAAAATGCCGGGGTTTGAGAATATAAAGAGGTTTTCGGATTAATTTCAGATTTTTGTTCTTCTAATTTGGGACCCCCGCACAACTCAGATTTTTATGGGCATTTTTGGTCCCAAAATAGGACAAATTGGATCGAAAATAATATTTTAGAAAAATATCTGCAAAGAAAATCTAATTCCAATTTTATTCAAAAAAAAATCGAACAATCAGAAACCATAATTTCAGAAAATGGAATAGAAAAGTTCGTTCCAAAATTGGACGTTTTCGGATAGAAATTCGGAAAATTCCAATTTTTGGTCGCCTAGCATATAACATTTATAATAATACTAAAATAAAATTAAAAAATCAGAATATTTTAGAATTAAAATCTAATTAGAAATGGAAAGCTCATAAATTTTGAATTCCAATCAAATAAAAAACAAATTCGGAAGAAGTCATTGTTAAATCCCACACTAAAACTTATTGAATCCCATAAATAAATAAATAAATAAAAATCTCTCTATATCCCATATTCTCTCTTAACTTCTCTCTAGATTTCTCAAAATCACTCAAAGGTCTTTTTTTTACCTAATAATCATAAAAACTAATTACCATACCTAATATTTATTAGTTATTACTTATTTTGTATTATTAAATCTAATTAGTATTTATTGAATATTATTAAATATTAAATATTTTTTAAACAATTACTAGCACTTATTAACTTTTTCTAAAAATATTTATTTACATCAATTGAGTAATTATTTACATTAATAAATATTTTACAAACATAATTAAACAATTAAAAAAAAAAAAAAAAAAAAAAAAAAGCACCTAGCTTCCCAGCCTACCAACCATGGACACCATCCCCATATAGTTAGACTGTTAAGATTTTCCTAAGTTTGAATCTCGAATGCAAATGTTGTTGTCATTTTTTTATGATTTTGAGCGAAAATGAGGGGAAAATGACAGACAAAACCTCAGTTTATTGATCTACTAAATATAAAATTCGGACATTTCCTTCAATTGTGTGGTTTTTATTGCAGCTCAACTACCCATCAAGGAATCTATTTTGCTTATTCCACTTAGATTCATGAAATACATTATGGACTAAAAAACCCGGAATTTTTTTTCAATTCTTCCTTTTTGATTCTTTCAGTTATCTTTTTTTTTTTATCTAAATTAGATATATAGTGTCAATCCAAGACAATTTTGAATATTATTGCATTGTTAAATTGCAATTCAAATCTCTATTTTAATCAAAAAATATCATAATTTAGAATCGTATTTTTCATTTCGATTTTTCTGAAATTATTTTGATCGGAATCGAAATAGTATATAAAATAACCGAAAAAAATACAATTTCCCATCCGAATTTAGTTCCGAATATCTCTGTGATTTTTTAATATATACTATAATTTTATGATATATTTTGTAATTTCATAATATACCTTATGTTATATTTTATATGAAAAATATAAATATCGAAGGGTCAAGAAAATTAAAAAACCTTAAAAATGAATGACATTATAAACTTTTTGTTGGCATTTTTTCTAATAAGAAAATATATGTTTTAATTTGTTGTTCCTGCACGTGTTTTTATTTATTGTGTTTTGCCGAATTCTCTTTTGGATTTTCTTGCATTTTCCCGTAAATTTCAAAGAAGATAAAAAATATTTTGAACATTTCCATTATATTCGAATTTGGTACAAGAGTTAATAAACTAATGTAATTTCCAAAATTTTTGAAATTCCGTCGATTCCGGAATCGAAATGAATTTTTGAATTCCGATTTTTGGAACGAAAACTGGAACCCATTTTTTACTTCCGCAAAAAAAAATAATAAAAAAAAATTATTTCCGATTCATTCCGTCCGATTTTGAACCGACCCCTAATCGTAGTAGATTGATATCATCTTTTAGCGTCCCATTTTAGTAAATAAAATGAAAATTGTTTAAAAAATAAAATATCTTATAAGAAGTTGGACTTGTATGCATTGGACTGCAGTGAAAGCCCAAAGCGCCAAGTCCTGCTACGATCCAGTTTTACTTGTCATCATATCATAGATCTGAAAAACTGCATTCCGATGTTTACAACAAACACAAATCTGCTCTGAATCAGTTCCAGTTTGACACACTCACTCACCGGAGAAAAAAAAAAAAAAAATGGAACCGGACGCCAGCATCGAAACGAGTGGAATGATTCGTGTGGCGGTCCTCCCGATCGCCTCCATCCCTCCGCTTCTCTTCCGTGACTACGCTGCCATGCTCCTCCGCCATCACACTGTCTCCCTCAACTCCATCAGCTCCTTCTATACCGAGCACCAGAAATCTCCTTTTTCAAATCAGCCCTGGGAATCCGGCACCCTCCGCTTCAAATTCATACTCGGTGGATCACCGCCTTCTCCCTGGGAGGATTTCCAGTCCAACCGCAAGGTCCTCGCCGTCATCGGCATTTCCCACTGTCCTTCCTCTCCCGATCTCGTCTCTGTTGCCAATCAATTCACTGCTGCTTGTAAGGGTTATTCTTCCTCACTCGTTCAGCGATGCTTCGCCTTCTGCCCAGGGGATTCGCAGGTTACTCTTCTTTTTTTTTTTTTACTATTGTCGTGATTGGTAACTTATAAGTAGTACATCTATCTGCCTTGTCTGTATCAGATTATGATAAGTAGTATATCCTTTCCCTTTACCACCATTCAATTTGTAATTAATGGGCATGACATTGCGCAATTTGTTTTTTGGATTGTCTCGCAGCTAGAAGATGAGAGTGTTAAGGGGAGTAACATAATTCTGTTCCCCCCTGCTGATCGGCAAACACAGGAATTCCATTTGCAAACAATGGTGCAAGATATTGCTGCCTCATTGTTGATGGAATTTGAGAAGTGGGTTCTCCAAGCAGAATCTGGTGGGACTATTTTGAAAACGCCTCTAGATTCGCAAGCCAGTCTGAGCTCAGAGGAGGTTTAAATTTTAGGTGTCCCAGAGATTTTGTTTATTTCTTTTACCATTAATATCTCTTGCTGCCTAATATATATTTCACTCTAATGCAGCTTGACCTATCTCATTGATCACAGGTGATTAAGGCAAAAAAACGGAGACTTGGTCGTGCACAGAAAACCATAGGAGATTACTGCTTGTTAGCTGGATCACCTGTTGATGCCAACGCTCATTATTCTACTGCATTGGAACTTACCAGATTGACTGCAGATTTTTTTTGGTATGCCGGGGCAATGGAGGGAAGCGTTTGTGCATTACTGGTAAGCATGAAGTAAAATGCATTCAGGTTTTTTCAGCATGACCCTCTAGGTATATTTATACTAATCCTGTCGATGCTGAGTTACATGAAGCAATTCAGTTTTCTGGCCTTTCAGTTTGTAACATACAACATGAATGTTGTAGATTTAACACAATGAACAAAATAAAATAACATTTTCTTACTAAGCTTTGACATAGAGTTTAATTCTTCTCCTTTTATGTTGATCACCCCCTAGTGTATTATGTTTTGATATAGCTACACCAGGACAAATGAATCGAACTGCAAATAGTTTCTCAGTAACTCTATTAATTAGATATATAACTTCAAATTTCCAAATTACAATTAACATACAAGGATGCTGTCTGTGTGGGTTATGTGAATTTTCTGGTTCTTAATATTTGTTGAAAAGGCTTTTGTGAGCGTGCACATATTTTTAATATTAAATCTTTGCTTATTGCTGACAACTTGGAATCATCATCTTTTCTATTAGATGGATCGCATGGGCCAGAAGGACACAGTTTTGGAGGATGAAGTTAAGTATCGATACAACAGTGTCATTCTGCATTACAGGAAATCGTTTATACAAGATAATGCACAAAGGTATACTTATTTGTGCTCCAGTAGTTTAATTTTGTTACACGTCTGCTGTTTATTTTTCACAATTAATGCCATCTAGAATACTAATATAATCACAGCCTCGCTAACTCTTCCATAAGCTAGAGATCTTATATTATCCGACCCCAGTTTGCATTTATCTGACCAATTTAAAGGTTTGCCTCATCCATGTAACACAAGTTTATGGTGCATTTTAATGAGAATATATTCTATACTGAATTGATTTGGTCTACTTACTTGGATCTGATAAATGATGATGAGATTTTACAATTTGTGGACTGTGAAGCAGTAAGATAGCTAGAAGCATCAAAGGTGTCTCTGCTTTTCATATACCTATAAAATAGATCTTGTTCCCAACTTCCCTGATTAGCTGCAGATTCTTGCCGAACTCAATGGTTGATTCTGGCATGATCTTTTCCTTCGGAGACTCATTTCTTTTTTCTTTGATTAGTTTCTCATGGATATGATCTTTGGACAGGGTTTCACCTTTAAGCTTTGAACTTGAGGCCACGTTAAAACTGGCAAGATTCCTCTGCAGGTACTCTTCTTATAAATATCCTCTGTCAAAATTAAAACAGGATTTCATCCATTTAGAGGTTATAAACTTTAAAACTAGAATATGTTTCCCTTTTCCACTGTATTCACTTGTGCAAGTATTTTCATAAGGCGGGAGCTGGCTAAGGATGTTGTAGAGTTGTTGACAGCTGCTGCTGATGGAGCAACATCCTTGATTGATGCCAGTGACAAGCTTGTAGTATATGTTGAAATTGCTCGCCTTTTTGGTGCACTTGGTTATCATCGAAAAGCTGCCTTTTTCTCAAGGCAGGTAGCTCAGTTGTACTTGCAACAGGATAATAAATTTGCTGCTATCAGCGCAATGCAAGTCTTGGCAATGACAACAAAAGCTTATCGTGTCCAAAGTCGAGCATCTAGCGAACCTTCTAATGTGAGTTATTCAACACCCTGGGTACTGTATAATTCCAGTTACTGACTTGCACTTTGGCTTTTGTATGCCTTGGGACCTAGGACACTAAATAAGGATGGGATGTCTACAATAATTGTTCAAAATTGCTCTAAAGATAACACTAATAAAGTAGGAATTGGAATTTTGGGTGAGACTCAGATGTTTCATGAATGATGATGGATGTCTCCGTGACACTAATGGGTCACGCATGCGGTTATGTGTGAATTTTGAAATGCGATTTTCATTTTATTATGACAGAAACTTACCAGTCTCATCTTTGGATCAGGAATGTCATATCATTTAAATTAACCACCCTCTTATTTGCCATTAGATGATAATATCCCAGGATGACCTGAACATATCTAAATGTAATTATGGCCTACAAAATTGCATCAGTTGGAGAAGCATGCAGAATACTTTTTGCATGCAATGCATATGTGCGTTTCCACCTTTTATCAAATGCTTTCATATCCTTGGCGAGTTGTATCCACTCTCTGGAAAAAAAAATGTTAATTCTTACATGGCGGCATTATTTCTGACCCTTGTCCTCCACCAATGCCTCTGCTTTTGAGGCGGTAGTCATCATATGAGACACATCTCTAGTTACCAATTGCATAGCTCATTAGTCTTTAAAAGTTAGAATCTGATTCTTGTTATGATTTTGATTTGTGTGGATGATAGAATATCTAAATGTTACCCTCGTTTTGTAAAGGATGCTGGACAAACTTATGCCGATGGAGGAAAAATTCATCATCACTCGATAATCTCCTTGTTTGAGTCACAATGGAGCACCCTGCAGATGGTTGTGCTGCGAGAAATTCTTCTTTCTGCTGTTCGTGCCGGGGATCCTCTTGCTGCTTGGAGTGCGGCTGCACGTCTACTTAGGTCTTATTATCCTCTAATTACACCTGCTGGGCAAAATGGCCTCGCCACTGCACTTGCAAAATCAGCCGTGAGGCTTCCTTTGGGAACTCGATGTGGTGATCCAGCTCTGCCCTTCATAAGGTATTCTATGAGATGTTTTGCTTTCTGATTTTTCCATGAGATAAATTTATGTCAAGCTGTCCAAGCTGAGTCCAATTGGCATTTTTTTTTCTGCTGAACTTAGTCTTGTATCATGGAATTACATGTGGATACATGTCTCTGGACTTGGACAGGTTCGCTAGGCTATGTTTACTTGTACCTTCAAGTCTGGATTTATAGTTCGTGTATATATGAACAGATTCATGACTGCAGCATTGTTCACAATGAACGTCATAATATATGCACATGTACCTTTGCGTTGTATGTCGGCTAAGGGCATCACTTACAACCTTCGAAGGGGCTCTCCTTAACTCCATTCATTAGTATCTGGTTCTGAATAATACACACTTTGGTTTAGGTTGAAGTAATATCATACAGTGTTAACATTATTTTTTTTCTCAAAAACATCTGTGTTTCTGTTAATATGCTGTAGGTTGCATTCATTTCCTTCACACTCAGCACAAATGGACATTATCAAACGCAATCTGGCTAGAGAAGACTGGTGGATGGGATCTGCTCCTTTAGGGCCATTCATTTATACTCCATTCAGCAAAGGAGAACCAAGTAATAGTAATAAGCAGGAGCTAACATGGGTTGTCGGTGAACCAGTCCAAGTGCTGGTGGAATTAGCAAATCCCTGTGGCTTTGAGGTGATGGTTGATAGCATCTATTTGTCTGTGCATTCCAAAAACCTTGATGCATTTCCTGTAAGTGTCAATCTCCCGCCCAATTCTTCAAAGGTGATCACATTATCTGGAATCCCAACCAAAGAGGGTCCAGTTTCTGTTCCTGGATGTGTTGTTCACTGTTTTGGCGTCATCACTGAGCATTTTTTCAAGGAGGTTGACAATCTGCTTATTGGGGCAACTCAAGGGCTTGTGCTTTCTGACCCTTTCCGGAGTTGTGGTGCGGCGAAGTTAAAGAATACACCTATACCTAATATTTCAGTGGTACCACCACTGCCATTGTTAGTATCACATGTTGTAGGTGGTGATGGATCCGTTATGTTATATGAAGGTGAGATACGAAATGTGTCGATTAGTTTGGCCAATGCAGGCACTGTTCCAGTTGAGCAAGCACACATATCGTTGTCAGGCAAAAACCAAGACTCTGTTGTATCAGTTGCTTCTGAAACTCTGAAGTCGGCCCTCCCTTTGAAACCTGGGGCAGAGGTGACAATATGTGTAACCTTAAAAGCCTGGCAGCTTGGCCTATCTGATCCTGATGCTGCTGCCAGCAAGGGTGTCCCTGGAACCTCAGGGAAACAAGTTAAAGATGGCAGCAGCCCAGTGCTGTTGATCCACTATGCAGGTATTTCTTCAAGAGGGTATAAAGTTCATTGCTTGTACGTCATAGTTTATTGTTGTTTTGGAATTACTTCTCTTAGCATCATTCTAGACTGCATGCCTTGGTAATGTCCTGTAACTCTCGGTCCTTGTCCTCCATAAATCAGGTCCTTAGATCTTATTTTTACCGCTTTAGAGTATCTTTATAGTTGAGCAAAGGAAGAAGTTACAGAGATAGAAGATTGCTTTGCACATTGTAGTGATTTTCTTTTACTTACGCAGACTTAAAAACGGATGAATTAATGATTTTCATATTTGTCTTGTTAGGTCCACTGACAAATTCTGGAGACTCTCAAACAGAGTTTCTTCCAACTCCTGGGAGACGTCTGGTCATTCCCTTAAACATCTGTGTTCTGCAGGGTTTGTCTTTTGTGAAAGCTCGTTTGCTATCAATGGAAATTCCAGCTTGTGTTGGTGATACTTACACCAAGCTAGTACAGTCAGGAAGTGATGGTACTGAGCATGCCAATGATTCTGAAAGACAAACTGACAGGTTCATGAAACTTGATCCTTACAGGGGAAGTTGGGGGCTGCGCTTACTTGAATTAGAATTGTCTAATCCAACTGATGTTGTCTTTGAGACTAGCGTTTCAGTTGACATGGACAATTCTAACAAGGAGAGCTTTTCCAATTGTACGTCTGCAGAATTTGGTGATCCAAAAACAAGGATTGACAGGAATTATACTGCTAGAGTGCTAATACCGCTTGAACATTTTAAGTTACCTGTTCTTGATGGCTCCTTTCTCGTCAAGGATTCTCAAAGTAATGGAACTGCTGGTGGTCGAAGTTCTAGCTTCTCAGAAAAGAATATTAAGACCGAGCTGAATGCATCCATTAAGAATTTGATTTCCAGAATTAAAGTCAGGTGGCAATCTGGACGAAGCAGTTCAGGAGAACTAGATATCAAGGATGCAATACAGGCTGCTCTCCAGGCATCTGTTCTGGACGTGCTACTGCCGGATCCACTGACGTTTGGCTTTAGGCTTGCTAAAAGTACTTCAGACCTTTCTATTATGAAACAAAATTCACCAAAAAAGACTGATATGGTGAATTCTTGCGGCACCGAAGGTTCCATTGTGGCGCATGACATGACAGCAATGGAAGTGCTGGTACGCAACAATACCAAGGGAGCCATTAGGATTAATCTTAGTGTCACATGCAAAGATGTGGCTGGGGAGAACTGCATCGAGGGCGACAAGGCAACTGTTCTATGGGAAGGTGCTAACAACATATAATCATTTGTCGTGTCATAATTATCTGTTTGTGTTAATATGTATGGCTTCTCCGTCTTCTAGTATCCCACCTGCCATTTTGGTTTTATACTGCTGCCTCACGGAATAGGAAATCTCAGTTTATTTTATTTTATTTTATTTTATTTACTTATGATAGAATACTCTATTACTTCCCCATTAACCTCCAAATCTAAGGATTGCGTGTTATTCGTGTTTATATTTCAGGTGTATTGACTGGTATTACCATGGAGGTTCCTCCTCTTCAAGAAATTAGGCATATTTTCTCTTTATATTTCCTGATCCCAGGAGAATACACAATGGCTGCTGCTGCTGTGATCAAAGATGCTAATGAAGTCCTTAGAGCTCGAGCGAGAACTAATTCATTTGACGACCCAATCTTTTGCCGTGGACCACCATTTCGTGTACGAGTGAACGGGACTGCTTGATTTTGTGTTATGTTGTGTTGTGTTGTGTTGGTTAAAATCAGGTGAATGCTAAACCTGTTTGCCTTGTCTGAATTAATTTTATTCACTAGCTTATCTGAAGTTTAAGGGATTATGATTTCTGGATACAAAGTAAATCGTGATTCTGCGTTTTAAATTTGAGCCCATTCGTATTCCTTGCAAAGATTGATTGAACATATATTTGTCTCTGAAGGTAAATGGTTCCCACTTTTGCCAGCATATGCTAATGTTGATAAACATGGAAATGCAAAATACATAGAGTGGAAATCATGTTTTTATCATTGTTTACTGATATGAACATTTAATCGTATTCATGTTTACTCTGTAATAATATGACATGTACAGAAGTTTGAAAATTGACATATCATCCATCCATCCATCATGCTTAAGTAGTGCATGCCATTTGTGTGAGAAAAGCAGCTTCCCACTGTTTGTTAGTGATGATGATTGAATAAAAAGCCTTCAATTTAACTTGACAACCTTTATATATATGTGTGTTTGTGTGTGTGTGTAATGTGTAAAATCAACATCACAGAAGAGCAAAAACATGGCATGCATAATTGCATATACATAAACTAATGTTGTTTGGATTCTTGCTTTTTAACTTTGTCAGTACCATATGTCATGTCCTGAGTGTGTGTGTGTGTGTGTGTGTGTGTGCCTGCCTTGAAAGATTAAAAAAGAAATAGTAGTGGAATAGTGTTGTTTTGCAGACAATTGTTGTATTGCATTTGTATATGTGCAGTGAGGTTGGTCATTGCTCATTGCTGATTGCTGTACTACTGAATAGAGAGAGAGAGAGAGAGAGAGAGAGAGAGAGAGAGAGAGAGAGAGAGAGAGAGAGAGAGAGAGAGCAATGAATTCTCTTTAGCAGTGAGTGATGATGCTAAAGAGAGTAAAAAGGTTGCAATGTAATGTGATGTGATGTATTATAATTCAGTACTCCTGTTGTGGAAATTTCTGTCTGTCTTGCACACAGAGAGAGAGAGAGAGAGAGAGAGAGAGAGAGAGAGAGAGGATGATGATTGATAATTAATTATGGTGCTTGGTGCAGAGTTACTGTAAGTAGGCACGTATGTATGTATGTATGTATTGGGGGGGATTGTGGGCACAACATAACATACATTTAAACATTAAGATTAGACAATACATTAATTAGAGGAGGAGGGTATGTGATTCATAAGTGGGTTTGGTGGTGGTCCTAAAAAGAAATCGTGTATGAGTGGTTTTGTGGTCCATTGTTGTATGAATAGTGAATACAAACCCCAACTTCTTCTTTCTTTGTGGTCCATGCTTTCTTTCTGTGGGCCATCTTTACATACATCAAATGAGTTTTCGAGACCACAACCTTTCTTCTGATTTTTTTTCGCATCCCCACTTGTTATTCTCCTATCCTTTTTTTTTTTTCTTTTCATTTCACCTTTTTATTCCTTTTTTTTTTTTTTCCAATTTTCCAAATTGTTTCATGTGAATACAATGATGTTGTGATAAAAGTCCTCATTAATTCAGTAATTGCTTGTACAATAATAACAACAACCATTCAATAAGTGTGGTCTACATCTCTTGTGATTTGCAGAAGAAAACCAAAGTTTATTTAATTCAATACACTTGTACCAAAAGACGAAATCCCTTGGCCCGTCAAGTAATTGAAGAATGTAAGTCATGGTGACTCAACGGCCCATGAAGGTCGTGGAACCGAAGGAGTTTATTCAATACACTTGTACCAAAAAATAAAAAGACACTTATATGTATGTATGTATGTATGTATGTATGATGGATAAGGCAATAACATAATCCAAGGTGAAACAACAAACACTAATAATTAGAAGTAAAACAAAATATTTGTCTCACTTCCGTTTCTGCTGCCTATATTTAATAAATAGTTAATACACTTTGTTTCTTTCTTTCCACTTTCCACTTGTAGATCATACCTAAAGTTGACGGCCCACACCACACCCCACCCCACCCCACCCCACTTTTTTATTTACTTTATTTCTTGCATCTGCTAGTACTACTAGTACTATAGACAAGGAGGAGAAAAATGAGTAACACAGACTTAACCGGCCTTGTTATTTTTTTTTAATCGGCTATTGGGCACCTAACTACATAGATGATTTTGGATCATACTGAATTATGTTTATTGAATTTACACAATAATATCAATACAATTATGACGTTGATAATTTGGTTAGAATTTGAGGTGTATGTATGGAGTGCAGTGCAGGGTAGGGTGGGTGGCCTGGCCGTCGTATAAATTTATATATTTATTTGTATAAATCTCTCTCTCTCTCTCACTCATCATGTGTCTCACTCTGCCGTTGACGTTCATTTTCAGACCCAAACAAATCAGTTTACACACACATAATACCATTCATTATAATTTATACCCACGACGACGACGACGACCATATGTATTGTTGATGATGACGATCAATAAGCATACATATACTTGTTGAAGAAGAAGAAGAAGAAGACCAAAAAACATCACAGCGTATAATTTATAGCGATGGCCTTCCCCAACCATTTATCTGATGAAGAAGAAATCCCTCTGCAGCATTTCTCCGAACACCACTTACCCCTAAATTCTTCTACCCTTTTACGGAATACTCTCACCGACAACAAGCCCTCCTCCACCCCTACCTGGCTCAACCCCGCCCGCCACTTCTCCTCTCCCCCCGACGACTCTAATTTCCTCAATCTTCACACCACCCACCCCTCCTCTTCCTCCACCCCCACCGATCAGTGGCTTCTGCACCCACCTCCCACCGATATCGACGCCATGGCCTCCGCCATCTCTCATCAATCACCCGACTTGCACAATCATTCTAGTTTTGGTGATGTAGCGGTCAATTGGCAAACTGCCAGGTATAAAACCCAGATTCTATCCCATCCTCTCTACGAGCAGCTTCTATCTGCACATGTGGCTTGCTTGCGTATTGCCACCCCTGTCGATCAGCTCTCTAGGATAGATGGTCAGCTCGCCCACTCCCAGCAAGTTGTTGCAAAGTACTCCGCCCTCGGGCATGGAAATCTTGGTGACGATAAAGAGCTTGATCAATTTATGGTAAACGTCTTTTTTTCGTTTCTTCTGATACTTGTTGCTTTTCTTTACAACATCTTCTTGAAAATGCACTGCTTCAAATTAGTTGATGTAAATGATTTACCATCATCTCCATAGCTTCTGTCTCTCTAGTCAGATACTCCAAATGATACCAATTATTCCAAAATAAACTACACCTACTGAGATATACGGCATCTGTTGCTTCAAAGCTTGACTTACTGATTTCACTTTCTTTTTCACCCCTTTTTGCAACTATTTTGGTTCATGATCGATCACAATTTGAAGGACGGAAAATATTTAGTTTTGGGCCGAGTTACTTTCTCGCGCATGATTCTTCTTCTTATTAATATTGGGTCTGGCTGATCAGTAGACTCCTCAGAAACTCTTTGAAAGTGGGAATTCAGAAAGGGATTAAATCATAGTGGAGAGAGATCTTTGTGAAAATTTGGAGACTTCATTAATCACTAATAAAGTTCTTGAACAACGTGCACACATAGAAACTTAAGTACAGGCAGATTTGTTTCTCAGCTTTAATTCATGGGAGGATCAGGTATGAGACAGATAATGGATATTATGCCAGTGAACTAGAGGAGAATATTCCTCAATATTGTTCTTCATTTTTCGTTGGGGACAAAAAGGAAATTATCTTGGCTTGATTTGGCAAAATAATCTAATCTATGTTCTCACTCTTGTTGTTGTTGTAGTTAATGTCTCCAATTCTCCATTATTATTGTTGTTATTACTTATTAGTGTTGGTATTAGCTATCCCATTGTGTGTTTTCTGAATGTTGAACTTTTCCTAGAAGATATTTTCTGTTGAGTTTTTGTATCTTTAACTTCAGAGAAAGAACTGGGATTGGGTTTTCCGCCTGGAGGACATAGTTAATGTTCCTTTGAAGAGATAGTGAATAATCTCTTTCCAAATTTGAAGACATCTTCTAATGTTATTTCTTCCTAATATGCAGACACATTACGTACTATTGCTATGTTCATTTAAAGAGCAACTGCAGCAGCATGTGCGTGTTCATGCAATGGAAGCAGTTATGGCTTGCTGGGAGATTGAGCAATCCTTACAAAGTTTAACAGGTAATATTTCATTTTTGTTCCTCCTCTTACTGACTTCCAATAAGATGCCCTTTGTTCTCCTTAAAAAATGCTGGGTTCATGTTTAAAAACATGTCTATAATACATTCAACCAGCTATTGAGAGAAGTCAGATATTGGCTTGATAGTCCATGCCTCTATTCTGTCACCTCCTACATATGAATTAAACAAGCACCTTACTGCATCACACTTAATTTTGCAAATTCAGGTTTGAGTTGAAACAGATTATCATTCAGTTGTACGTGCTAGTGAAGAGAACTTGTCTGGCGTGTGGACGATTAATGTCTGTTTTTATTTTTATTTTTATTTGTTCAAATGTTGAACTAATTTGAAATGTTGGAAAATACATTAAAAAGAAATAAGTTGATAAATACTATAGTTCTTATATCAGAGAAGTATGTGATTAAATAAAAATTAAGAGAGTATCTAACATTTATTGTGGTACTTGGGGTATATCATATTTCGAAGATTGAGGTTAATTGATTTATTTATATAACATTTGTAGAGTAGTTTATAAAAGGTAAAGTAGATGGTATTGTTGAGCAGGAGTTTCACCAGGAGAAGGGACAGGGGCGACAATGTCTGATGAAGAAGATGATGATGAGCAAGTAGATAGCGACGGACACTTGTTCGATATGGGTGGTGGTGGTCATGACTCCATGGGTTTTGGTCCTTTAATTCTTACCGACAGTGAGAAATCTTTGATGGAGCGTGTAAGGCAGGAGCTGAAGCATGAATTGAAAAACGTATGCATGCATTGACTCTGGTTACAGATCGAATCGTTTTTGTTTTCACTGCATAATATATGGAATTTAAAGTAAGCAATAACTAAATAAAGTTGTTCATTTTATGTTTGTTTTGGAAAAACAGGGTTACAAGGAGAAACTTGTAGACATTAGGGAGGAAATATTACGCAAGAGAAGGGCAGGGAAACTACCTGGTGATACCACCTCAGTCTTGAAAGCCTGGTGGCAATCTCACTCCAAGTGGCCATACCCAACTGTTAGTACTAACTCGATTAATTACATTTTGTATTATTTGAATTTGAAATGGGGAAAGCGAATAATCCATTCCTGTTGGGTAAAACGTAAATAATGTATCCCAGGAGGAGGATAAGGCGAGGTTGGTGGAAGAAACAGGATTGCAACTAAAACAGATAAATAATTGGTTCATCAATCAAAGGAAGAGGAAGTGGCACAGCAATTCCTCCTCTTCCACAGCCTCGAAAAGCAAACGCAAAAGGTAACACACACAACTCGTCATCAACATATGTTAATTGTATATATATTATTTTCTTTGAGAAGTTATACATACATGCAGAGTTTGAGAAAGCTTTCCACTTATTTTAGTGGGAAATAAGTAATAATGCAGGTGAAAACGGTAACATTTGTGACGTGTAAGAGAAATTACCTAGGTAATAGCTGTGCTGATGCTGCTCGTGCTTCCACATTTTTCATACACAAACAAATGTCGAATAGGCTGAGAAGCTGCTAAAGCGATCGGAGGAAGAGGAGAGCATCAACTTTATATATATATATATGTAATATATGAGGGTGATTTTATTTAATCTCCTGGTAGAAGAGCGCGTCCTACATAATTTGCTGTTTGCTCCAGATAGAAGACTAAGTATTTGTCTGTGTGTACTGTGTATATATATTTATTTATACAAATGGCAACAGCTTAATTATGATGCAATGTTGCTGCATCAAAGACCAATACAAAGTTTTAGGTGGATATTTATTTGTCATATTTAATACTTTGGATAGTTTTTGAAATATATCAAAAATGAGGCATTGTGTTAGGATTGACGCTGCAGAGTTGAGTTGAAACTTGAAAGATTGATTTGCTCTGTTGATCAACTGTGGTATAAAGATGATGGGGTCAGTTCGGCACCGAGTGGGCCGAACTCCCCATCTCCACAACAGTTGGGCCGAAATCTCCATAATGGGCCAATAACCAATAATTGGGAAAACTGAGCCCAAGGCTAATAATTTGGGCGGTAGTGTGAGCTTTTCCGGCGGTCAATGGAATATGGTTCGAAAAAAGGTCTTGATGGTGCAAATTTTTCGAGTTAAGGCGTTGAGTTTCTTAGATCTTAGAGGAAGCCCCGCCAAAGGAGACATTGGGGATTGTTGAGTTTCTTAGATCTTAGAGGAAGCCCCGCCAAAGGAGACATCGGGGACTGAGGTCGGGAAACAACAAAGGCGAAGAGTCGACGCGTGGAGGGTGCAAACTCCGAAATTTTTACCGTAGCATCCAAATGTCTGCAGGATTTGATCGATCAACACATCACCACCCTCAAGGCGAAGGAAAAGAAACTAGCCAAACAAAAGGAGGGATCCCAAAGAGTTGAGAAATAACTGACAACAGGATCATGTGTCCGAGGATCATGTGTCCTGGGTAGTGGAAACCGGAGATCCCAATCAACGAACTGAAGAAGAATACCTCAGCTAAAATCACGAAAAAAACAAGAGAATATGAGTCATTTGGAGCAGGAAAATGGGAAGATGCCCAGCGAATCGAGGATATGCAAAGCGAACTTCAACAATTGAAGGAGCGAAGAAATCGCCCAAAAGAAATTCCGATGGGAAAGGGCATCCCAGCCTATTCGTTTTGCCAGCCCCTAGCAAGGAAGGTGGTAGCTCTCAGCCGATTTATCGATCTCCCGCGATTGGCGGAACGTAGTTTCCCATTATCTCGAGTTATAAGGAAAGGGAAAGAGTTCGAGTGGACCATGGAATATCAGTGGTCGTTCGAGGACCTTAAGCAACTCTTGACTATCCTACCACCATTGTCGACGGCCGAGGTAGGCGAAATACTCCACATGTACCTATCGGTTGGAGAAGCCTCAGTAAGGGGCTCAGTCCTAATCTGAGAAGTAAAGAAGAAACATCGACCAATATATTAGGTAAGCAAAAGTCTGCATGGTGTACTCGACGGTTGCAACCCTATTTCCTCTTGCATACTATAATTGTTCGGAACAATCAACCGTTGAGCAAACTCTTGGGGGAAGGAGTAACTTGAGGAAAAATGGTTACATCTAATTTTTATAAGATGTGTATATTAACAGCATTATCGTTTTATACACAGGAAGGATGAACCATTTTTATTTGAACTACCTCCTATGGCCTAAACTCTCATTTTCGACTTAATAGTTACCTTGTTCGATCATCGATGTATAAATTTAATTAATAATTATTAATTTTCTCAAAACCCATGTCAACATAATTACCTTATACATACGCAATTTAGCTTATAGATATGGTTTGTCACTCCCCCCTAAATACATAGCTAGTTTCTTATATAAGTCATGAATGAATGTAGTGGGGTGTGGTGTGGTTTTTTCGCTATTATGTATGACGTGCGGTTCATAATGTGAATACATATGAATTCTAATAACTAATAAATTGATTAATAATTAAGTTTTCATAATATCTATTATTTTTAATGGTTTTACGCACATATTTGATTGAATCTTCGGAAAAGACATATAAGCAAAGATTATAGTATAAGGTGGGTGATAAGGTAGTTAATAATAAGGAAAAAAAAATACATAATATAATTTGAAAGGAGGGAGTAGTAATTATTTATTTATTTATGTAGGGGGAGTAGTAAGTAAAGGTTAGTTTTCTTGAAATGAAGTCAACTAGGGGAGGCAATAATTCCGGTGGCACGTTGTTGTCTAATCTTGATCTAACCCACAACAGAAAATTTAAATCTGTCTTAACTTAATGAAATCTGAGTGAATTGTAAATAAAGTAGCTCTCACACTCTTTGGCCTGGTCTCGTCTGGTCTAACCCTGGCATTCAACCACCAAAAACAAAAGAAAAAAGATCGATCCAATTTATTTTTGGGTGAGTTGACCGAGCACCTCAGTTCGGCCGCGCTTAATTGTCTCCGATGGGGTGCGGGAACTTGTTCTTCATATTGGTAATCACATGTTCGACAGCACTCATCACATACAGCATAATAATAATATCAGCAAATGCACCTCTGAAGCAAGATTTTCCAGACCCAACTTTGTTCAGCTCGGAACAACACATGATCATTATAAACAAGAAAAGCAACACACGGCTTTTCCACACGGCTGTTACATCCTCTGACTCTGTGTACAACACGTGGCAGTGCAGGGTGATGTATTACTGGTTCCTCAAACAGAAAGATAAACCTAATTCTGCTATGGGAGGTTTCACCAGAATCTTGCATTCTGGGCAGCCCGATACATTCATGGAACAGATCCCCACTTTTGTTGCTCAGCCTCTCCCTTCTGGAATGGATCAGGTCATCTATGATTTATAATTCAATTATTGGATTTTTGGATTTACTTGTGAAGCTTGCTAAATTGGTTGTTATTAATCATGAGAAGAAAGTAATATGGAATGAATGAACAAACTAATAAATTAAAAAGAATGACTTGTAAATAAAAGAGTGATTCTTGGTCCATTTCTTCAAACTGTTTCATCGTCTGACATGTTGTCTTATTTAACAATTTCAGGGGTACATAGTTCTAAACAGACCTTGGGCATTTGTGCAGTGGCTTCAGCAAACACACATTGAAGAAGAGTAAACGAAATTCTGATTTTTTTTTTTTTTTTTGATATTTTGTTTTAACAACAATTATAACTTTCTTCATCTCAATCTTGTGTCTGCGTAGCTATATATTGATGTCTGAGCCGGACCACATTATGGTGAAGCCGATCCCGAATTTAGCTAGAGATGGGATGGGAGCTGCATTCCCTTTCTTTTATATTGAGCCTAAAAAGTACGAGTCTGTGCTAAGGAAGTTCTTCCCCGAGGAAAGAGGACCTATAACTAACATCGATCCCATTGGGAACTCCCCAGTCATTGTGGGGAAGGTATATATATATTTGTTCTCATGTTCAACTTATATTCTATTCTCACTTGATGTATATACGTATTAACTGGTCAGCATGAATATGTACTAGGATGCTCTAAAAAAGATAGCTCCAACTTGGATGAATGTTTCATTGTCAATGAAGAATGATGCTGAAGCAGATAAAGCTTTTGGATGGGTCCTTGAGATGTGAGCTAGAGATTCATTAATTATATGCATATTTCTTCGGAATATTTGGAGTTTATTTTTTGAACTTGATAATGTAGGTATGCATATGCTGTAGCATCAGCTTTACATGACGTGCCTAACATCTTGCACAAGGAATTCATGATTCAGGTCAGCCTAATTCTTTGCTTTTCTGGTGATTACATCTAATTTAGTATGAGATACTCGATACTCGATACTCTCAATATAATTGTGTGATTATCATCATAACACGGTCTAATTAAGTTACATACATTGTGAAACTCCTGACAGCCCCCTTGGGATACAACAACAGACAAGACTTACATAATTCATTACACATACGGATGCGACTATGATCTGCAGGTAATGAATGTACTAGTAGTACCTAATGGAATATGATGTGTTTGATGTATACATACATATACATATGCATATATATTTCAGGGTAAGTCGACATATGGAAAGGTTGGAGAGTGGAGATTTGACAAAAGATCATATCAGAATAGTTGGCCTTCTAGAAATCTATCTATGCCGCCTCTTGGTGTCCCTGAAAGTGTGGTATATATCATCTTCTTCTACTAACTTCTTTGATCATTGTTCTATTAGTATATTAATTGTTTTCCCCCATATATATATTTGGAACATTGATGGATGAAGTTACAAAATTGCAGGTAACTTTGGTGAAAATGGTGAATGAAGCCACTGCAAATATCCCAGACTGGGGATCTTAGAACTAACCAAATGTTGTTTGTAACAAGTAATCGGGAAAACTAATGCTAATTGTTAGGAGTTGCTCTCTCATCGTTTATTTAATTAGGATTCTTCGAATGATTCTACGTACTACACACAGATACACACACACACACAAAAAAAGAGGGATGGATTATGTCCTGATGGCTTGTAAAGCTAACCTCTTTTGTACAATATACGAAAATCACTACTTAAAACTGTAAAATGAATGATGATGTTTTAATGTTGAGTTCTGAATAGATATTGAGCATGCTTCCCTTTGTGACTTGTAAAGCTAATAATACAAAAATTTTTTCAACATATTTAATTATGAATCCAAATCACAATATCACATTCTTCATTGCCAGACGAGATCAACAACATTTATATATAAAACCAGCTCATATAGGTTGAAATTGCTCCATTATATTAAATTTTTAACAACCTACTCCAGCAGTTTAGTTGATTATTCCAACTTTGAAAATTTCCAACCATCTACAATTCTCAATTCATATCTTATTATATATCTAATACAATAAATCACCAGAAATCATATCATTCTACAAATCTAAAATTCTAAATCATCTAAATCATGTATAAAGTTGCAAAGGCATCACAGTACTTGGTGATCACCGGGGGATGGATCCCGGACATTAAAATTACCAAGAAATCATGGATATTCCCCGGCCAATCCTGCACCGTCGTCGACGTATCTCCGGTCAACTACTCCTTCGAAGTGCAAGCCATGAGCGCAGAGAAGCTCCCCTTCATCCTCCCGGCAGTCTTCACCATCGGCCCCAGCACCGCCGACGAATCCAGCCTCATCAAATTTGCCAAACTCATCTCTCCTCACGACAAGCACTCACACCACGTTAAGGAGCTCGTCCAGGGAGTCATCGAGGGGGAGACACGTGTCCTCGCCGCTTCAATGACAATGGAGGAGATCTTCAAAGGTACCAAGGAGTTTAAGAAGGAGGTTTTCGAGAAAGTCCAGCTCGAATTGAACCAATTCGGGCTTCTGATCTACAACGCTAATGTCAAACAGCTTGTGGATGTCCCAGGCCATGAGTACTTCTCTTATTTGGGCCAGAAAACTCAGATGGAAGCAGCTAATCAGGCCAAAATCGACGTGGCCGAGGCCAGGATGAAGGGGGCCATCGGCTCCAAGCTAAGGGATGGCCAAACCCTTCAAAACGCCGCCAAAATCGACGCAGAAACCAAAGTAATAGCAATACAAAGGCAGGGAGAAGGGGAGAAGGGGGAAATGAAAGTGAGGACTGAGGTCAAAGTCTACGAAAATCAACGTGAGGCTGAGGTGGCGGAGGCGAATGCTGAGCTGGCAAAAAAGAAGTCGATTTGGGCTAAGGAGGCCCAAGTTGCGGAGGTGGAGGCTAGAAAGGCGGTGGCAATGCGTGACGCAGAGCTGCAGAGGGAGGTTGAGAGGATGAATGCGCTGACTCAGACGGAGAAGCTCAAGGCAGAGTTTCTGAGCAAAGCCACAGTTGAATACGAAACTAAGGTGCAAGAGGCCAACTGGGAGCTCTACAAGAAACAAAAAGCTGCAGAAGCGTACCTATACGAGAAGGAGAAAGAGGCGGCGGCACAAAGGATGGCGGCAGAGGCTGAGTATTATAGGCGACAACAAGTGGTTGAAGGAGATTTTTATGCCAAGAAAAAGGAAGCAGAAGGGATGATAGCTTTGGCAGAAGCTCAGGGAACGTATATACGAACCATACTTGATGCATTTGGGGGTAATTATGGGGCCATGAGGGATTACTTACTCATCAATGGGGGGGTGTATCAAGAAATTGCTAAGATCAATGGTGAGGCTTTGCGTGGTTTGCAGCCAAAGATCAGCATTTGGACAAGCGGCGCTGGTGGAGAGAATGGTGGCGCTGGAGATAGTAGTGGGGCGGCGATGAAAGAAGTTGCTGGGGTTTACAAGATGTTGCCGCCACTGTTCAAGACAGTGCATGACCAAACTGGCATGCTCCCACCGGCATGGATGGGTACCATTACCCAACCAAATGAATGAAGATTGATGAATATATAAATAATACTTTAAATTGTTTGAGCAAAAATTGGTCTTTCGATTCGACAAGCTGTAATATTCAGACAAAGTTCTGGAAATAATTCATATACAAACAAAGTTTCTACCGACTTCACTAAAAAGAAAGCTTAATAGAAAATCAACAAATCTCCCAAATATTGGAGAATATAGGAACCAATGTATACATCCAGTAGATCAACTTTGCATAAAGAGAATATCAAATTCAATAATATTGGCATGTATTATAATGTTCAAAACATCTTTTAAAAATTGCATACTACAAAAATGGAAGAAAACAAAAACCCAAAAAAGCTTTGCATGTTGGTTCAACAATTGCAAATCCCAAACAAAAATAATGAAATTCGAAAAACTAGTTAATAGAGGATAAAAAAATAGCCGGAGTAGAAAATTGAAAGGCCGTCAAGGCAAATATTCCAACAGAAAAAAGTCTAAACTCATCTTTCTCTAAGATTTGCAAAGATAATAAATAAATAGGTTGTTGCCTAAGCTCAGAAACCTGTGAAAGACTTCAGAAACCTGTGAAAGACTTCTTCCCTAGAGCGGAAGAAGAGCCAGCTGGTGACACCTTAAGAACATTAAACCTCACTGTTTTGGACAGGGGTCTGCACTGGCCAATTGTGACACGGTCACCCTCTTTCACACGGAAGCATGGAGATACGTGAGCTGGGATATTTGAATGCCTCTTTTCATACCTATAAACAAAACCCATAAATCTTATTCAAAACATAAACTAGAAGGAAAAAACACCACACAGCATTAATAATTACAAATACCTTTGATATTTCTTTACCCAATGAAAATAATCCTTGCGAACAATGATAGTTCTCATCATCTTAGCGCTATGGCAGGTTCCAGATATAATACGGCCTCTGATAGACACATTACCAGTGAATGGACATTTCTTGTCAATGTATGTGCCTAGAAAAGAGGACATTCAGTATTCAACAAACAAAACATCCATCGGCTTAAAAACATAAAAAAATATATCATCTGAAAATTAACGGAATTATAATTTTACCTAAATCCAAAGACTACAATGTACACCATCAAGTAAAAACAGACAACACTAACTACTGCCTAACATGCCATTTTAATTCCAGGTCATATTCGCATATATTATACAACAACAGGATAAAAGAGTACAAACAAAAAACACAAGGATTGTAAAAGTAAAGAATACACAATTACAAATTAAAAAAAAAAATAAAAATAAATAGTACCTTCAATAGCCTCGCGAGGTGTCTTATAAATTAATCCGATGTTCTTCCAGTAACGGTTGCCCCCCTTTCCAGGTGTCTTCCCCTTCCCCGACTTCTTCGAGCTGTAGTAAAATCCAAATTTTACTTCCTTGAACAGTAATTTATCATAGAAATCTAATTTAATGTAGGAAAATGATTAGTTTATCTTACCAAAGGAAAACCTTGGGCTGCTTCAAGAAAGCCTTCTCTGTCTGAAAAACAACGAAAACTTCGCCTTGAATAAAAATCACCAGAAAATAAAAATATAGGAGCGTGGAATTATGGGATTACCTGTTCCGCCATCGCAGTTCCGTCCGACGAGCGTGAGAGTGGTGGATGGATACGGCGGACGCTGTTAAAACCCTAGCAACAAATTTTCTACCAGACGAAAAGCTTATGTCGTGCTTATATATATGTAAAAACATTATGTTTATTTACTATTTTGCCCTTATGCTATTTGATGTTTTGAACCCTTTATTTCTGGGTAAATATCATTCACCCCCCTCTACTACAGCACTCCCACCCTTTTCTCCCATAAACAATAAAACTCGTTTCAAAACCCGCATCTATTCGAAGAGAATCACGCCCCCCCCCCCCCCCCCCCCCGGAAAATTATTATTATTTTGTTGTATATATTTAGGGCTTAATCCCACTTTGTACCCTTGAAATGAAGTCGTTTGGCACTTTGCACCCTTAAAAAATAATAATAGCACTTTACACCCTCAAACCACAGTAAATCATTCAAATGCATTCTTAATTGAATAATAAAGTAATTCATTTTTTATTAGTTTTTTTCCGGGGTGCAAAAATAACAATTATGTTCTTCAACCTCCAACCTAATTTCGAGCACACACGGTGCAAAAAAAATAAAAATCACACCGGATAATTGAAAAAAATATATTTTCTTACAAAATAAAATAAACTTTTATCACTAAGTTATTCGATGAGTAGATCTTTTATTGAAATTGGTGGAAATTTTCGGAAGAAAATATGATTTTCAGAATAACTTGATAACGAAATAGCTGAAGGATTTTTTTTCGTAAAATATTTTTGTGATAAAAAATATAATTTTTAAATACCCCTAAAAATATGAAGTGTATTTTCATTAAATGATTAAGTGAATTTTCATTAGATGATTAAGTAATTTTTTATCAAAATATTCCGGGTTCAATTTAAAATTCTTAAAGACTTGGCTCAATCAATGAGAAATAAACTAGAACAAATCCCAAATTATTAAAAAAAATCTCTCTTTTTGGTGATATGATGAATGAGTATGAGACGAGCCATTATTATTCATATAAAGAGAGAAAGAAATGGCAGCCAAAAGAAGATTTATAAGATAATTATTTTGCAGCTGAGAGTAAGATGTTGAGGAGTTAAGTTCCCAGTGCACTAATAATAATAACAATAAGCTAATGAATAAAGAATAATAATAGTGATATAAAACTTACAAAAGTCGAACAACCAAAAATAAGAGGGCCGGTAAAGGAAAGGGTTGGAAATTATATATACGAATCTCTATTTATCTAACTCTTTCTTCTTCTTCTTCTTGTTCGTTTTGATGTTGTCGTCGACGGGTGGGGTCATATTTAACTAATTGATAATCCTTGTAGCAGCTGCTGCTGCCATTGTCAATAATATGATCTCACCAAAAACAACTTGGAGCAAACAAAGTCTTGTAAAGCTTTCACTCGCTCTGCACCATTAATTACAACCAAACAATTACAATCTTTACGCTTTTTTGTTAACGTAAATATCTTTACAATTATGTTCTTGTGTCTGTTTGTCTGTCTGTCTTGATAAGTAACTAGTATTAATGAATGAATGATCACATGCATGCAACTCTGAATAAAAGTGGATAGATAGATAGATAGATAGATACCCTAGGACGTTTTGCACTTGGTTGGGAGCTAGGGTTATTATTACACCGATGTCGTCGAGAAGAAGCCCCATCTCTGTTACCATCACCCTGAATAGAATAAAGAATAAACACATGATACATATTAGAGAAGCTAATTTATCATTTCATTGAAAAGGACATTATTATTATTATTACCTGTTGTGTTTCATCAGAGTTTGGTAGATGAGAGTTTGACTCGAGAATGGGCATAATGTGACGTAGCATATTAGATAAAATGATCCCTTCCTCACTTACTGCTGATGAAGAAGAAGGAGCTGTTTCATCAGAATTATTCTGAGCTGCTGAAGCAGTAGCCGTAGCAGTAGCAGTAGCCGTAGCCGTAGCAGTAGCAGTAGCCGTAGCAGCATTATTAGTATCATGATGCTCCCCCTGAAATATTCTACTCAGAAACTGCTCAAGCCCAGAGAATCCTTCTTCACTAACTCCTCCTGCTTCAGAGGAGGGTATGCTACTAATAGGTGGTTGTTGATTGTTAGGATCAGGTCTTGCACCAGACGCGTGTTGAATTCTTGCTGTCATAAGTGGATATAAGATCCCCAATGAACCACCACCACGAGATGAATCCAAACCAGTACTTGCACGCCCAATCATCGATGCTGCTGCAGGTACTGCTGCTACTACTGTTCTGAGTGGAATGGCCCTCACTTGCCCTGTATTTCCATCATCTTGTTGACTTTGACCTCCAGGATTATTAGACGCCGTTGTCCCAACTTGCCCTTGGCCCTGCAAACCACTTGTTCCCTCTCTTCGAGGAAATAATGATCCTGATCACAAATACAATAAACAAGATACTATTATTCTACATGTTTATGACAAGGAATTCCCATTGAATTATTGAACCAGAATCAGTATAAGCACCTGTTCTTATTCTGATGTCGATATTTCTGGGAAGATGACCTGTACCACCAGAACCTGTGGGTAATCCAGAGCCGCCGTGTTGAACATTGCCAACAGGGACTGAACCAAAACTGCCGCCTCCTGGTTGGAACGGCAGTGGCTGTACACATGGTTGAAACACAGGTGAGTAAGAACAAACAAACGCACATCTAACTGCCACAAGATTCATAGGATGTAATAATATTTATTGAAGATAAACTAACTAGCACCTGAACCATGATAGGATTGGGCCCTGTCGATGATACAAAGACAGAGGGTCCAGCATTCACTAATGCATCAGCCTGATCAAATAAATATCCATTCGATTAGTTAGACGCACGACTTGGATGAAATGACTGATCAAACCAGTTTGTATCAAAAACAAAAATCATACCGGTGTCTGGCCCATTCTGAGAGTCATTATTGCCCTACCAAGCTCAAGCATCGAAGCACCTAAATTTTGAAAAAGAGCTCCCGATCTTATAGCCCTAGATTGAATTCTTGACCTCTCTAACGAATCCGTAATACTTGAATGAGATCCCAGTTGTCCTGCAAGTTGCTGCATCAAAAAACATTGTTACACTGCCATAAAACCTTCTAATTATTAGAAAAATAGCTATCACTTCACAGGATTATAAAGAAATATGGTTTTTATCTATACTATAAGATTAAGGGAGACCTACTAGACTTCTCATGGCAAGCAAAATACTGGAAAACGAAACAAGATCACTATGTCTACCCACTTATTTCTCAAACAATTTCAGATCCCATTCCACAAGGAGAGTTCATTCAAAGAATGCATGATTATAAACAATATGTAACATAGACATGTTCACAAGTAAAAGTAAAAGATGATTTTCCAAGTCAATAATAACACCCATCTCGATTTGTTTTCGGTAGCAGTTACATGATTTGGGACACATACCGATAAGCAATCATCGGCTTGTTCAGCAAGCAGTTGTCTGGCTGAAGACATGACCTCTGCCAAGGACTGAGGTGTCAGAATCTCTCTAGGCTCGCTAGAATTTGCAGCAGCTTCTAACTCTTGTTCATCTGTACCTTGGCCTCCACCTGCAAGTACAATAACAAAAACTAATTGAATCAGATAGCCAGTAGACTAAAATGGAGGACGACAAATCCAAATAAAAGAGAGAGTTCCCGACCGTTTGCAATAAATTCTTGTCTCAAATGACTCAAGTACTGTAGCAAAGTAGTCAACGAATCAGGTATAACCTGCAGTACAGTTACGAACATGGAATAAGCCTCAGTCAAAGAACATGTATAACCCAAGAACGCAAATTATTCTCTGACTATTAGAACATTTCTATACTTTTATGCAGAGTACTAATGTTATGTTGCAATTTTTCATCGAACATGTAAAAGTATGTGCTTTGAATGCAGAAAAGAAGTCAAACATTACCGGAGGTTCAACAGGAACGGCTACTGAAGCTGCTTGATCAGACTGTAGTCTGCTCGAACTCCGGGTACCAGTTAGACCAGGTGCAGTAGAGAGACCAGACGAAGGAAGTTGCTGGCCAAGATTAACATAAAATTATTCAATTTTCACTATGGAGGGAGTGCCGGACAAATATGGCCTCGTGTTAAACTCTTTACAAACTTACATTAAGATCAATTCCTTCACCGCTACTTCCAAATCTTGCGACTCCAATAGAGTTCAGAACAGCGGAGACAATCTACAAGATAAATGACAATAAGTATTAATGTATCTTTTGGAGTGCATATGATCTTGTGAGGGAGTCAAATATATTACCCGATTTATATCAAAAGCACCATCTCCCTGGTCTGAGATATTGAAGGTTCCTACTACCATACCAGGACCTACTCGACTGAATGGACTGTTCTCAGTACTTGATGTTGGATCAGTTGCTGCAGATACAAGAAGCTTTGTATTATTCAGATTACTGGTTGGTCAATCTTCAAATATTTAATTTAACAGAGCGAATAGACAAACTAAGGGTTCACAATGCGGCAGAGAAATCTTAAATTCAAAAATAGATTATCCTACAAGCTAAAATCAAATGTTTAAATAATAAAAATACCTACAGGAATATGTGTTTAGTATCCAAAATAACAAACTGTCATCCAGGAATAACATTCACAACTTCAAACTACAAATATTTCAGACCATATATTAAAGATCCAGGAATTCGAATTAACGAGGAGTCTCTGTTACTTCGGTAAGTTATGAAATATGCATCTCAAGACGAACATTCTACGATCTCCCCAAAACTGGGCTGTAAAGAATCAAATGCATAACTTCCTACATAGAAAAAAACCTGGGTTATCAGAAAGCTCTGGCGATGGAGCAATCGGTTGTCTCACGACGAGGTGTAGAGTGTGACCATCTTCCACGTCTACAAAAATACGTATTAAGGAACTCAAGCACAACAATCATAGAAATTTTGACATCTGAACACCACCATCCATCCTCTGGAGATAAAAACTCTGCTCTTGTCACAAATATATTACATGTTTCGTCTTTGTGACCCGTACTTTTGGGACTATATTTCCATTTTATCCAGGGGAAATATGTAAAATGTTCTGGGAGAAAAAACTTACCCCCAAAAGGTTTTAAGTTCTCATTTGAAAAAAGAAACAAACACAAATATGTTTTTGGGGAGGGGGTGTGGGGGTTGCTGAGAGGAGGGCCAAACATTACCGTAGACATTCCTATAGAATAAGATATATTATATAAAAGTAGCAAGATAAATTTCTCCACTATACAGGGAAGAATGCAACTTTTTCTCAATTATACACATAAGAAGACACTTTCAAGTTTCATATGCCAAAAAACAAGAAAAGCAACACGAAACGGGAACTGGAAAGGATCCCCTTTTCGTAATTTCAAGAAAAGAAAGTTGAACATAGGCAACCAAACATTAGATCAAACCTCTCAAGGAGATCGAATCTAAGATAAAAAGAATCAAAGGATACGATAAGCCGAGAGGAGTTGGTCATCCTTCAAAACTTTACCGCGGCATATAAGGCGTTGTTGCTCCGACAGGACACCCGTTACAGAAGCAATCTGTTCCTTCAGTTCTGGAACAGGTACCTTCGTTGTGAAAACAAAAAAATACATTAGTAACTCATTTTTCTATGAAAACTTTGTCATCAAAACTAAACTCTACATTTCAATGGCTTAACTAACAAGAAAGAAATTCTTAAAATAAAAAAATGGTCATATGAAACTCATGTTAGCCATAACAATATGCAGTAAGCAATTTCTAGTAGTACAAAGTCAGAAGAGAAAGATATATTACGCATTTGTCCACTCGCAATGTGAAAGTTTGAGAATCCAATGTCTTGATCTTTATCTCAACAGTGGTTTCAGAACATCCAGCAGCGTCATTTTCAGACATCTTTATGGGCACACAACCATTACTTCCCATCGTATTCAAGATTATTAAAGCCTGAAAATTTTTTATGGTAAGCACAAGGTAAACAGAAAACTAATTTTAGCAAAACCCTAGCATAAAAACAAAAAGAGCATTGACGAGGAGATAGAAAACTATATCAAAAACAACCCTGCTCCGCATTATGACTTTCCATGTTTGCAACAACAGGTAAATTTCACATATGATTATTTGCCTCTGTGGAAATGGAATTTTGTTAACAGCATTTATATATTACCAGAATCAACTTATCCAGAGAAATATCTTGCCTTCTTCACTTTACTGGTGAAGAATGAGAAGGAAATTAATGAAAATTTATGATTATATTAACCCTTTTCTATTACATAACACAAATAAACAAAGAGGAAACAGATTTACAGCTACAATATATTTCTACTGCCCCAAGTCACCAAAAAAAATTAATAATAATAATAATAATAAGCAGGTGTCTGTCACACTAATATAAACGAGTTATGACTAGGAAGAATCCATATCAGTATCAGGGTGATATCTTCAATGGCCAGTCAACACTCCTGTTATAGAACCGACTAGAAGGCTCTACAGTTGCCAGCATCCATGACTATACCGTAAAGACTCTCAACCATATCAAACTAAATAGGAACGTTTTTAGGATGAAGCTTTGATTCAGGTCAAATCAACAATAATAACTGTTGCAATGGCATACTACTTAACATAGTAAATTGGGTGTACTTTCTCGATAGATAATTCTAATGAGGCAAATTAATTTAGCAGATGATCTTCCCATTTGATCAGATCAGTCAGATTAGTTTAGACTAGACGGCGAGATATTGATGGTTGCAATTGGTCCAAGAGAAAGCACAATAGATATATCATAAGTCTCCTCACTAACAATAAGTTAATCAAGAGGCGAGAAGATGCTCTAAGGTAGAGAATTTGCTTCGGAGCTAAATTAATGAATTTCCTTTTAGTCTTTCTTTCTTCTTACCCTCCTCTTCATTCTTACAGCATTGAGAAAGAGAAAATACAGACAACCCTGGAACATGGTATTTACTTTTTACTTAAAAGAGTGATAGAGTTAATAGCCAGGTTACTATTTCCAATCAAATATCTTAATTCATATCCAACCTCACTGTGTGCTTCTCAAATGCGAGTAGATAGGGTCAACAAGTTACGTTCATGCTTACATAAGTTCTTATATACCAAGAATCAACACCCACCATCAGTTTCAGGAGATGCATGAACAATGTGGATGTGATAAGTGGGAAAACCCAAAAAAGTTACCAACATCCTTCCATCAACCCTAATCATAATTCTTGAGTTGCCAACATTCCTGCCTTTGATGGGTCCCTAGATATGAAAAAAGCAATTGTAGAATCAATAGATCCACAGAGGTCACATGAACCCTGCCTCTGATGAATTTCAATTACCCTCTCAGAAGCAATCCAAAATAGGGTCTCAAAAGCACCTCATTCAGGATATAATCATCTCAAAAGCGGCGAAAGACAGACAGAAAATAGGATATTAAACACTGGTCATTATCACCAGAATCTGATGGCCGAGAGTAAAACCCTGAAACCAAAGACTAACTAAAAATCCAGTCTTGATTAAAAACCGGTTTTTTTTTAAACTGAAACAGGAAACACGAAGAAAGAAACCAAATAGGACAGCCAAGCCAATCATCTCCGGTAACTCAGAAACAAATCCACGCAAAAACAGAAGGCACCATTCGAAGAACATATCAACAAATTTAAACATATGCAAAATAAAGATTTGATGCAGAGAGTTAAAAAAAAAAATTAAAGAAAAAAGGAGACCTGAGAAAGGGTCGATCGAGAAGAGCGTTTCTCGAAAGGCAAAAAACAGGCGAGGGTAAATAGAGCAGTCAGCAGCAGAGTAGACGAAAGACGGAAAGAGAGAGAGAGAGAGAGGGGCAGAGAGATGTTCGATGTTCTTTTCTTTCACTAATAATAAATAAATAATAAATAATATTAATGTTTTTTTCTTGTGATTTTTTTATTTTATTTTATTTTGAAGGGGGATTCGATTCGGCTTTGGTTTTGGTTTTGGTTTTGGTTTTGGTTTCGGTTTTGATTTTGGGTGTAAATACTAAATAGTAGAACTTGTTCTTGGTAACTGCAGATACAAATGATACAATATATGGACACGGATTGTTGACTTGATGACCTAAATCCTATTTCTTTTGTTATTATATCTTTATGGTAAAAAATAATTAATGCCAAAATCTTTCAAAATAAGACATTTTTTTAGGATGATCCCAAAATTTGTTATTGGGCTGAGATGTTACATTGCATACAGTTTTCTAATTTCAGGAACTCTCTATTCAGGCCCAACCGCAACCACCACATTTTTTAAACGACTCAAATCAAATCAACTTTACTTAATATTTTATTCAAGATCCACACTAAGATTAATATTCCATCAATCAAAAGAAAATGAAAAGAAATGGCAAAATGCTTCCAAAGATTGCCTTTTTATAGAGGCAATTTGCTAAAAGATTGAATCATATGAGGGGGTTTGGGGGAATAAAATAACACAGTGAGTTGTTTTAGCAATTAAAGAAAATAGAGTGGTGGGAAATTAAATAAATCGTTTAAAGAAAAAGGAGTTTGTAAAGTGTAAAGTTGGGCGAGGAGTCAAAAAGGTGACAACTTAAATCACGGAGGTCGATCATTTGCGTTGGAGACTCGAGACTCGAGACACTCAACTGGGGTCTCTCTCCAAAATTTGAATTTTATTTGGAGGAATATAGATACATATATATATGGGCCAAGATGATCATGGATCAGGATTCATGTGCAATAATATAATGGAGATACATATATACATAAGCATATATAGTAGTGCATGCCAACTCTAAGTTTGTCTTTTATAGTTGTGTTTCTTTGTTTGTGTAGTAGGGCAATATCCATCATTCACATCTACAAATATTTACTGAAATAATTACAAACCAACCAACCATTAATAATAAGACCTTAGCTAGCCATTCAGCTTAGAAGCAGCTTAATTAATCCAACCTAACCAACAATACAATATAATGTTGTGCTTTTCCTTTAGAAGCTCACTACTACTGAATCTGATGCTTTCTCTTTTAGTAGTAGTAGTAGTAGTAGTAGTAACCACCACCACCACCACCACCAGTTGTCTTGCAGTGTCATTTGAGGACTCATCAGCTTCGCAAATATCAGGTATTTTCCAGAGCTGTGCTTTTCGATTCTCTTTGTGGTCGGTTGGTCGGTCTCCACATTATATTTTCATGGAAATTAATTTAATTTCTGCAGTAACGACAAATAGAGAAATAAGATTGGAGTCAAGTAGTACTAGTATTGATGTGTTGGCTCCAAGAAGAACTTACAGGAAAGACCCTTTCAATGGCCTTAAGATATATACCGGTGGCTGGAACATCACCAGTCCTCATTATTGGCATGTATGTCAACTCTGAACTCTTCCATTTATATTATATATTATTCTTCTTTTTTATCTCAATTCATTTCTGTTTAATTCATGTTTCATTGCAGTCTGTGGTTTACACGGCGGTTCCTTTTTTCGCAATTGCGGTGATATGGTTTGCAGTTTTCGGGCTCTGCTTATCTCTCATCTGTCTCTGCTATTGTTGCTCATGTCAAAGGGAGCCTTATACCTATTCTCGTATCGCTTATGCTCTCTCTCTCATTTTCCTCATTTGCTTCACCCTCGCTGCAATGTACTCTCTCTCTCTCTCTCTCTCTCTCTCTCTCTCTCTCTCTCTCTCTCTCTCTCTCTCTCTCTCATGCATGTAGGTGCATTAATTATAATCGTGGTTTACTACTGTAAAACGACTAATTTTCCGACCATATTTTTTCAGCATTGGGTGCATTGTGTTGTACGTTGGGCAAGGGAAGTTTCACACTAGTACCATAAACACTTTGGAATATGTCGTCCGTCAGGCAGATGCCACATCGCAGAATCTTATGAATGTATCAGAGTATCTTTCTGCAGCCAAGCAAATTAACATCAATCAAGTTTCTCTGCCTCCAAATGTGCAAACTGACATTGATCAGATTCAAAACACGATAGACTCTGCTGCCACCACCCTTTCAAATAAAACACAAGATAATTCAAAACGCATCAAGAATCTAATACAATCTGTGTATGTTGCTGTTAAACTCCAGAAACAATAATTTCATATCTCTATATACATTTTCAAATTCGAAAAGTGATACGCAAATGTTGTTGCAGGAGATTGGCTCTTATCATACTCTCGGCTGCCATGCTTCTCCTGACGTTTCTTGGATTTGGTATAATACTAAGTCGATCTCTTTAACAATACTTTTGACTCGTGTTTCCACTCACTCTGCAAACTTTGTCATTTTCAGTGTTTTCAATTCTTGGGATGCAGCTTCCTGTGTACATGTTAGTGGCCTTACCTTACTATTTGCTTTTGATCAATTCTCTGATTTTTTCTTCAAGAGTTAAATTTGGTGTTGCAGCTTGGTGATTACTGGATGGATTCTTGTAACCGGAACATTCATACTTTGTGGGATTTTTCTTCTTCTCCACAAGTACGTAAAATTAACTTCATTCCACTAATGTTGTTTGTATTCACAATTGGTTCTTGAGGTCTCTTTTTAGTCTTGTGCTTTGTGCAATTCTTTATTTTATTTTTTCGTGTGACGTCGATCTTACCTTATCACTGAAATCATTATTATTGTTTGTAGTGTGACAGGAGACACTTGTGTAGCAATGAATCAGTGGGTACAGAATCCAACAGCTCATACGGCACTAGATGATATAATGCCTTGCGTGGATAAAGCCACTTCGGAAGAGACCTTAACAAAGAGCAAACAAGTAACATCCCAGTTAGTCGATTCAATCAACACAGTCATCAGCAATGTCTCCAACATCAATTTCGCGCCAAACTTTGTTCCATTATACTACAATCAATCGGGTCCACTTGTGCCCAGCCTCTGCAATCCATATAATCCCGACTTCACTGATCGAGCTTGTACACCTGGCGAAGTCGATCTCAACAATGCTACACAGGTACACTCTTTAAAGCAAGTTTAATTTAAGTTTGTTTTTCTATGCTTGAATATGAGAAATGCAGGTTTGGAGCGGGTATGTGTGTGAAACATCAGCAAACGGGACCTGTGTTACGATGGGGCGTCTGAATCCGACCCTATATGGTCAGATGGCTGCTACTGTGAATGTGAGCAACGGGTTGAATGAATACGGTCCGTTTCTGGTTGAACTTGAAGATTGCACTTTTGGGAGAGAAACGTTCATGGATATACAGGAGATATATTGTCCAGGCCTACGAGAACACAGCAGGAGGATATATGTGGGGCTGGTGATGGTTGCTACTGCAGTGATGCTGTCTCTTGTGTTTTGGGTCATTTACGGAAGAGAGAGGCGCCACCGTGCCTATACCAAACACCATATTGAAGAAGCTGATAATAAGCAGATATAATATCAATTTCTCAAAAATTATTTCTATGTACGTTTCTGATGTTGTTTTATACATACTACTGGTTGTGTCTAAACTCCTCATCACATAATTAATTTTCCAATTTTGTACTAATTAATTTATCACTCTCTGAATGTATTTTGAGACCTGTCTCTTTTTATTTTTCTTTGTGCATAAGATTTAAATTTTGATTAGATGATATGTGACATGTACAACTTCATCAGTTTAGCTCCGAGTTTAATGTTTTGTCATGTACAACATAATCTCCCATTTTGTACTAGTCACCCTCTCTGTGTAAGTATTGTGTATTTAGGATTTGGGAACAAAATGTTGGGAATATTACGTTCCTTCCTTCAACTTCACTCACAAGATTGGACATATCATATTTCCTTCCTTCCTTCACATAACAACATTCCATCCCATCCTACGGCAACTTGGAAAGAATGCCAAACCCACCGTGAATGTTTCGTAATCATATTCATACCCCACAGCTCACCTCATCTTGCAAGCTTTGATCCACCAATAATACAACATTTCATTTCCGGTCCAAATAATAGATTCCAGTTCATTTGGCAATTTCTTAAACTGTCTTCTTTTTCTTTAATTGATAAAGACAGATTCGGAGATAACGCGCTTTGTCAGCTGTGTGGGGATTTGCTCAACAACAACAACATCACTTTGGGCCACAGCTCCACCACCACCCTTCCTTATATTCGGTTATCCATCCTTTTCCCTTTTCCCTTTTTCCTCTGTTTTTTTGCTCCATAATATTCCACACACTTCTTTCCACTTTACCCCCATTTCACACCCAAAACCCGAGGTTTTCGGGTGTATTCTATTATTGAGTTTTCAAAGTTCATAGTCCAAATGTCAATGTTCCATTTTTGCATATTCCAATTCCACTCCACGCCTACAAACATCTCAACGCAAGTCATTCAAAAGAGACTTTGAAAAAAATAAAAAAGAAAGAAAGAAAGAATTACCTCCATGATCAAACAGTAACGCCCAACGGAAATATCAATCCACAATAAACGACGTACAACTTCACCCAACTTGACGACGAAAACGCTGCAAGCACCAACAAAATGAAGCTGATTTAATCACTGAAATGCTTACAATAACAAACCACCAAACCAACTCAAACAACAAACAAAACTTTAACCAATTTTGCATTTCAGGTTTCACCCAACTCAATTATGGTGCATATATCATGTTTTTAGATTCTTTTCATTAATAATTGGTGCAAGTCTAACATTTGTTTCAATTTGCAAATCTTATGTACAACGGAGAGAATATCGTTTCCCCTGGTTCATGATATTGCTTAGGTCTTAGAACTCGCCGGAGAACATCTTATAGAGATCGGAGCTCCTTGTTTTCAGTGGAAGAGAAACTTGTTCCTGACAATAGCAAAACAACCAACCCTGAATTTTTCACAAGAGATCCTCGGCTTTGGACATGACTGAAAGTCGGCTGGGTTGCGACTGGAAGCCGGCGCGGCGGCGCTGCTGATGTGACGAAGGACGAATCAGAGCCGCTAATGCTCGCTTCATCAAATCCCCTTCAACGGTACCGATTCGCACAAGAGAATTCGTCATCGCAGATCTCCTCATGTTCAACCGATTTGGGGAGTAGGGTAACGAATGATCTGATGAGCCTCTTCTAGTAGAACTATTCTTATGCAAGGCGCATCGAAACGAACCTGGATGAGTAGTAGGAGAACACATACACGTTCTCTTGTGCAGTACCTGGCTGCGCGGCGGCGGCGCTGCAATCGAGAATCGTACGGAGCGCGTGGGAGGTGGAGGAGCATAGAGGTTGACGCGCGACGGCGAAACGGAACGACGTTGGGTGAAGAAACCAGCTGAGGGAGACGAAGAGTGGCAGGAAGTGGAAGAAGCAAACGAGGAGGAGGAGGAAGACGGCGAAGATGTGAAGGGAGAGACGGAATTGGAAGACGACGCGACGGTTAAGACACGTGTACTGCTCGATCTTTTAGAAGTTGTAGCCATAGATGGGGAATTACGGAAGAATAATATTATAATAATATTATTATTTTGAGGAGGAGAAAAGATTTTGTAAACGGCCGGCCTATGAGGAGGCTCTTCAGTTTGGCAAACCTAGCTGGAGGAGAAGCCCGTCTATTTATAGATAGGGGATGGATGGCACACCTTGTAAAACAACACAATGTCCTAGGGGTATTTCTGGAAACATATATGTTTGGAGTGGCGGGCCCCCGCCATTTTACTATTATTAAATTTTGAGAAAGTCTATTTGAATTGGTACAGCACACTAAAATATTAAATACCTAGCTAGAGTAGAAAACAAATATGCAGATTTTTTTAATTCATCAATGTCGACTTGATATTTGTTTTTTAACAGAGAAAAAAATATCTCCAGTTGATGAATGAGTTTCTAGATTACCAATTAAACGTCAGTCTCCAATTACTTTGAATTAAAGTAAAACAAATGCTTAATTAACATATTTAATTCAAACAATCTATTACTAATACTAATAGTGTACAAGGAATACACAAATTCAAATTAAACATACAAAACAAAACGCGTCTCTTATTCTAATCCAGACAATCAAAATTATATGAGTTCTGAGATTACTACAATCAACTTAAACTCATATTCAAACTATTTATATACTTTGATAATGCTCTCTACATTTATATGGATATTAATTCTTTAATGCTGCCCAAACATTTTACTAAAATATTACCTTCTGTTGTCAGTCAATCGAAAATCTTCTCCCCTGTGGACAGTAAAAGAAACACAAAAGAGCTAAAGATACACAGCCATGCCGGGATTTGAAAAACCGCCCTCCAACTATCTGGACTCGTCAGATCCAACCGTGCATTCTTAGCAGCTTCTAGAAGCCGCCCCGTGAGATCAACTCCAACTATACCCGCTAAGGTACCGGCAGTATTAGAAACCCCCATCACAATCCCAGCATATCTTGGAGCCACATCCATATGGTTCACCGCAAATCCAGCTCTCCCCAGTGCCAAAAAACCGAGCGCCACCGAAGCACACAGTACAACCCCATCCGCCGTTCTGAATAACGGAAGTGCCATCAGTGCAAAAGAAGCTACCACAAACCCCACCGTGTTTAAAACTTTCCTCGTGTTAGTCACCGTCAGTATCCTCCTCGTGATCAAGTGATCCGCAATCACACCGCCAATATTCGAGAATATAAACATGTTCAGATACGGCATCATCTTAGTGGACCCCATTTCTTGAAGACTACTATTCAGCCCCATCTCGAAATACGTAGGAAGCCAATTCATCAGCACGTAAAGCGCGTAGTGGAACGTGAAGTTATTCGCCACTATCGCCCAAATCGGCCAACTCAAAACAATCCTCTTCCACGGAATATTCTGCATTGTTCTAACCCCGTTTTCCCCTTTCGTCTTTTGCTTCCCTTTGATTGGAAGATCAGAACGAGGTGGATCGCTAGCGTACATGAACCAAAGTAAAGACCATATCGCACCTAAAATAGCTTCGACTACAAATACCGATTGTGGGCCCCGCAACTTGACTAGGTTCGGGAGCATGAGCATTCCCGCTGCCGCACCAAAATACATGCCGGAAGTCATGAGAGAAATAGATCTAGACCTTTCGTGGGGTGGGACCCACTGAGCTAGCACGGTGTGAATGGAGGGGAAGATGAACCCTTGTGCTACTCCGACGAGCAAGCGAGCTATGACCAAAACTGTGACTCGGTTTGGATCGAGCGGCACAAAAGCACAAGTGAGAGACCATAGAAGGAAAGAGAAGAGGAGAACTCGCCTTCCTCCGATTTTTTGGGCAATCCAACCACCGGGGACTTGTGAACATGCGTAACCGTAGTAGAATGTGGAGAGTATCATTCCTTTGCTTGATTGATCTACACCAGCAGCATCAGCAGCAGCGGTGTATGCAATGGAGAAGCCCACTCTTTCTATGTAGCACACACAAGTGCATATGAAGGTTAACATTACTATGACGTAGCGCTTCGGGAGAGATATGCTCTTCATTCTCTTTTGGTTTCATGTATGGCGACAACCAGTACCTTTTTCTTTGTAGATGATTCGAAAATCAATTTCACAACTCCAGAAACCACCGAGTGGGAAAGCCTCCTAAAGAATCAATGAAAAAAAAATGAAGTTTGATAATACTGATCAACATAACAATAAATAAAATACAGTCACTGCAGATAAGAGAGCTCCAACAAGTGAAAAGTAGAAGCGCTAAAACAGAGGCAATAATTGTTTGCAGCAACTTCTGGAAACACAAACATAAAATAACCCTATTATATAGGTGGAAGTGAGAAACTGCCACGGATCGAATGTTGTAAAAAGTGCTCGAGTCCTCCAAATAAGAGGTGATGGGATGACAGGATCCGTTTTTGAATAGAAACAAATTCCCTAATCAATGCTTGTGGAAAAATTGCAGTAGAAGAGGAAGGGGCCAATGTCGCCCTCTTTTTATTGCCTAATTATTCATCTAAATTTGACGAGACTAAGCACAATATCATCTTCTCAACCATATCAACATGTTCTGCAAAAACAGAAAGAAAGATGTGCAAGAAACAACACTAAGGTATTATGATAGCATGCTGGGATAGTATATAATTGTTTGCCATCAATATCCATAAGCAATGGAAAACACAGCTAATAAGAAAATGTAATCTCAAGTTTCATAAGATAACCGTTGTTATCTTATAATCACATTGTCGAAACCATTGTTTCTCCCACCATTTTTAGTAAACTGAATGTATATAATCACATAGTCGAAACCGTTGTTACATAGAAATATTTCTATGAAAAGGGCCTCCATCCATAAAGTAGTTTTTTAAGGATAAATGGTGGGCAATGTGAACACACATTTAACTAGATATTCACATAAAAACCAAACAGAAATGAGAGAACATATGGAACAAATAAATGATCAAAACATCGACCCTGATTTTTTTTTTCTGGCAACCAAACAAACCAACAACATAAAGTAGACATTCCTAAAAATAACAAATTACCAAATTAAATAACACCGCGAATATTCCATTGCAAGAAAAGAAAGAAACATTTAATTATGAAGAAAAAAAAACTGAAATTACCGTTGGATCGAAAAGGGTTCCCCAGATAAACAATTATAAATAAAATGGGGGTTTAGCTAATAGAATATAGCGGAGTAAGTGAGAAGGGAAAGCTACATTTTTTAGATGAAGAAGCAACGATGATTTGGGGAAGAAAAACAACCCGCTAGGCAAGGAATTCAATCTAAATTTGGAACTCCTTCGCTTGTTATGGTTTCCTGTTGAAGAATTTGAAGAAGTAAAAAGATGAATTAGAAGTGGTTCACACTGAAATCAGAGTGTGAATAATAAAAAAAAGCAGTTTGAAGACGACACGACTCGTGTGACTTCTCAAACTTGCTGCTTTTTTTTTTTTTTTTTTTGTTTGGGGCTTTCCAACATTTTTTATGGATGGGCCTATTCATATTTCTCTTTAAAATCTGGGCCTTGAATTTGATAGTAGAAATTCAACCGAAGAAAATAAATTATACTAAAACCCTTACAAGAGCGGACAAATAAAACCCCCAAATTGGAAAAGAAACAAACTTTAGGGTTTTGGACAACATCTTTAATTATTTATTTATACACACAGCTAATACTTTGTCGATGGAGGCTTTAAGTAGTGAAATTGTGGTGGCGGATAGGAGGATTGTTTGCTCTGCAGTTGAGGGTTTTCTTGTTCAAATTGCCAACTCTCTGGCTAACCTTCTCTTCCTGGTATACTACCTACCCTTCTTCCTTTTACCTCTTCATTTTAGATATCTTGGTGTTTGGTCATGATTTATCTTTTTTGGGCTTGTTTGAGATATTTCTTGGTTCTATTGTTGTGCACGTGCTGCTGAAATGATGAAGTGATTCGTTGGTCATTTATTTTCCTTCTTTTTACCTGAACAATGGTATTAATTTTCTGAGTTTAGAAGATTATGCTTCTTTTGCTGTAATCATTCTTAAATTGATCAGCTATGGTATTTATTTTGGAGCTTTACTTGTTTATTTCCCTGGCTTCTTAATTGCAATGTTTTCTCCAGGGGAGAGATATTTGTTCTAACTTTTTTCTTGTGGTATATTACATTTACAAGACATCTATAAACTAAGAACCTTCTCGATTTGTGATTCTTTTTGTTCTTGAGTTTCTTACAAGCTACTATAAATCCATTTCCTTGTAAAAACAATAATGTCAGACAGTTATCCGATCCCGATTTCAACCTAAACATCTATTATGTTTGACAGGCAGGATATTTGTCAAATGCTACTATTGAAGTTGTCCCTAGTAATGACATTATGTTAAAGAGGTTAGTATTTTTTGCTGCTTCTGCCATTACAAACTGTTCTTTTCTTTTCCTTTTTTTCCTGACCTGGATTTTGGCAATATATATTATTTATAGGGGTTCAATAGATGAAGTTTACATGGAGTCAGCACCAGAGGACAAAGATGAGAGTGAGCCCGAGGATGAAGATGACGATGAAGAAGAAGATGTAGAAGAAGAAGAAGGTGAAGGTGAAGATGATGAAGATGCTGGAGAGGAAGATGCTGATGAAGGGGTTCCCAAAGACGAGCCTGAGGTCAATGGTGATGGTGATGATGATGATGACGAGGATGACGATGAGGATGATGACGAGGATGAAGATGATGACGAGGAAGACGAAGAAGAAGACGATGAGGAGATTCCCCAGCCACCAGCTAAAAAGAGGAAATGAGTGTATCCCGGCCATTTGTTCGTTTTACTTTTTTTTTTCTTTTTTTTTTTTTTGGCTTTTTGTTTAACGAGGATAAGTGGCTGATGGTAGAAAAGCTATGTATCAAGGTTGTCAGTTATTGTCCCAAGTAGACAAAGTTGATAATGTTAATGATATATCCCTATTTATGTCTCTAATATCACTGTGTTTGGGCCTTTAGTCTACATCGAAATCCTTATCTTTCATTCATTAGCATTAATTTTACGGAGATGTGAATACTAAAATTAGAAACAGCAAAACATGGAGAAATGTTTTTGGTTTTTTATTATGTGATGAACTGTAAAGTTGTTGAATTAGGGACAGTTGGGGTATCTGATGTGTGATATATAAGTAAAAGTGATATGGATGTGTATGGATGGATGGGCAATCCATTGTTGACAAGGCAAAGATTATCAGACCTTGAAATGATTGAAGAATTGATTCTTTTTACATATTTAAAACCAGCGCAATATAACCGAACCTGCTCAAATGTGAAGAACATGATTTTGGTGATGATTTTCATTAGTAATATATTATATAATGTGCAGGTTGTTTCAAGAGTATTTGAAGGCATTTTGGGTTAATTTAACCAAGATTTTCAGATTACAAATTTCATGAATTTCTTAATATGAGTCAGCTGACAAGATTGATTTTATCAGCATAACAAATTCTAATTAAGATTGCTGTAATCATATTACATAATTAGTATGAAAACCAAGCATTTGCATTTAAAGCTTGAGTCCTACATAAGTTAAATCGTATCTCGTAATTATATAATTGCGTACCACCAATGGTCAACTATGTTTGGGGTGATTTCATTTGTTCCGTATTCAAGAATAAAGATGTATTTAAAATAGCAGTAGTAGATCAAGTTTGAATAGAAATCACGAATCATGCAAGTGAAGATTCATTCTAACTGTATACAAGTGAAGAGCATCCAATCCAACACATACTGATCGATGAACGACTAGCACATAATTAAAATAGTTATTACAATGATTTGTTCATCAAAAATACACATCCAAATTTTAGGGCCATGCTATTATCATATAATCATCAATTGAAAAATCGATACGATTTCCAACATAAGTGGTTGTGTTTGAAGAGGATCGGATTCAACTGTCGTTCATTGTGTCCCATACTGCGATGATTGAACCTCTATCACTCTTACGAATCACTACAGATTTAATATTGGGACATAACAGCAACAAGCTTATGTGCAATTCAAGCAAGATTATTGTAATATTATTATTTATTACTAGTATATTTTGAAATTCATATCCTTAAAATCTTCTTGTATATTATGCGCATTCAATACTTGTAAATTGTAATATCTATTAATGTATATTATTATTATTTCCTTTTATAACGAAATGGAAAGATTAATTTTGATTCAACTTTGGAATTATTTCGTTTCTTTCTTATGTTATAATTATCAATTCAATATTTAAGATTTTGTAAGATTAGATTAGTAGTTGTATCATGTATGCAGAGTTTGATAAGAAATGGTGGAGCAATAGTTAAATAATAAAAGGGCTTCCAATCCAACACGTACAGTTTATAAAACAAACGATTCCTCCAAAAAGGGTACAAAACATGTATTATTTATTATCTGACCATTATTTCATCATCCAAAAGAATTTATTAAAGAAAAAAAAACATTGCGTACGCAATAATTAGGAGCAAGCAATGTTATAGGTATCGAGTGCAAAATTAACACGGTCGCCAGAATAAGTAAAAGTGATGACTTGTGATTTGACAATATTATCGCCATTGTTAAGAAGACATTTGCTGCTCTTGTCGATTTCGGAGATAACTGATTGGTCTTTGTTACCAACAACTACAGATTCAAACTTGGGACACAAAAGGTGCACATTAAAAACGGTGCAAATGCACGTGTTTGTGACGCTCACCTTCCACTCTGTCTTAGATGTCTGAGTTTGGACAATCTCAATTGTTTTTGGAGGGCATGGGCTATATTCTTCACTTAAACCTTTATATTCAAAACAAGATCATATCTTATTATTTAATTACCAGTATATATATATATGAATATATTATCAATAACAACATTTATAGATCAGTCCATATATACGTACGTACCTTTGGGAATAACAAGGGAAATAAGAACAATGAAACAAAGGACACTACAAGTGATGCCTCTTCCCATTTTTTTCACCTCAAATTTCTCACTGCACAGTTAAAAAAGATTAATTGGTGTTGTTGCTTTTATTTTGTTTATATCTCATACTCTGTGATTTCAAACATTATTTATAGAGGTGATTTGTGGACCAATATGGTAACATATATTGACTTTTATATATTTCAAGAATTATAGTATTTTGGTCGATATAATATATCTACATGGAAAAATCCTAATTTAAATTCAATATTAAATGGTCAAAGATATTGTTTTGATAATAGCATCATATCTAGAAAATCATTAATGTAGGACAAAATCCAATATTCTTTTCATCTTTTTTTTTTTTTTTTTTGTTTGTTTTTTTGAAAATTGATGTTGTAAATGTTGTTGAGGCTGCTTTGATCATGATGAAATCAACGGTTCTGATCATGCATGCAGATCTGGGGCTACTGTGATTTTAGTGAGTCAATTGCAAAAGACTGCCAAAAAGTCTCATCTCTCGAATTACTGAAAAATCCTATGTTTTATTCTGAATTAAGAAACGCCAATACATTGTATGTAGTGTAACACAATCTGAATTAAACATTATTAGTTCTCGCAGGGTTCATAACTTGTCAACTGCAAACAACTGCAAGACAACATTTTCGACTTTGTGCGCAACTTTGTAAATATTTAAAAAAAATTACTATTGATACATGAAAGTTACCAAGTGATGGACACACTTGGATGTTAAAAAAAAAAAAACGAGGACGAATCCCCTATGTAACAAAGACGGAGAGTCAAGTTGATGTAGTAGAGTGGTGGTCTTGCATTGCTAGAGGAACAGCTGGTCTCCATATTGTGCCGTCTGGACTGTCCATTAGTGCAATTCCTACAGCCGCCAAATCCTTTCGTATAGCATCAGATTTTTCATATTCTTTGTTTTCTCTTGCACCTTTTCTTTCTTCAATTTTCTGCTCAACTTCGTTTTCTGTTAACCTTGCTCTCTTCAACGCATAACCCCTTAGCTGTTGCAGTGCCTGTAACACGTGTAATTTCTTATTCTAAATTTGTCGGGGATTATTCACCATGAAACATTTAAAAGCCAAGAATAAACGGATTATTTTACCTCCGAGTAACTATCAGGCAAGAGCCCTAAAATAGTAAGAACATCTTTAATCGTCTTTCCTAAAGATGCAAGTGACTCTGTTCTCAACTCTTGCTTCTTCCCCTGCAGATATCAGCCCACTTCAACCCCAAAAACAGCCAAAATTATACCGCATAACTAAAAAGGAGTTCCTCAATAAATATGTAAACCGACTGACTGAAGTATGCACTGCAAAAACGGATCAGCTACATACATCCTGACCTATTATATTAAAGAAAGAGCATCTCTAGTATAATGCTTCCTATACATTATCCAATACCAATCAAGGAACAAAAATTAGTTTTTTCATTGTATGAAGAGTGAATGAGAAGTGAGACCAAAAATACCTTACGAGTATGTAGAAGATCATTGATGATTTTCAATGGTTCAGACATTGCAGCCAAAGCTACAGGAGTATGAAGATCGTCTGACATTGATGTAATACATTCTTCATGAAATTTGTTTATACAACTCGTGATTCCAAGTGGAATGCTATCCTTCCAACTAGTTTCATCACGCTGTGTGAGAACACACTCACAATCGTGTAATGTCTGCACTCAAAATGAACACAGTGGTTAAATTCTGGCCTTCAAAAACTATACGGTAAGTACAATATTTAGCAGCTAAACATAAACCATAACACAAAGAACACATGCATTTGGCCGAAGAATCTAAATTTGGAGAAAGTGAATCAATGAAATAAGTTTTCCAAGAAGATGCCATGTGTAGTAACAGTAAGTTCTATTTTATCGTCGGACAGTTTAAAAGCATGTTACATTATAGGATAAGCACATGCATCATATTTACTTATAGTAAAGCTCGGTTTCAATGCACAAAGTCAAGCAAACGCTACAATCAAAATGTACAAAATATCAAAACGACCCAAAAACCAGATTAACAAAAGCCACAGACATAATGCAGATGTAACCGACGAAAAGATGAAACCACACTCGTGTCTACTCACGATTTAAGTTCGCAACTACCTGATAGATATAAAAAATACGGTCTGATGCACTTTCGAGCTGATGGTCTGAGTAATTGATTGGCGAGCGATAATGAGTTCCAATAATGAAAAGCCTCAAAGCCAGTGGATGATAAAGTTCTATAACCTGAATATTAATAGAAATAGGAGTTCAAGTCACTAATTTAGAAGACATCTACACAGTCAAATGTGTGTGTGTGTGTGTGTGAGAGAGAGAGAGAGGGAGAGAGAGAGAGAGAGGGGGGGGGGGGGGGGATCCTAATACTTTATTTCATTGTACCTGTCGAATTGTGAAAAAGTTACCGAGAGATTTAGACATTTTCTCAGAGTCGATGGTCACAAAACCGTTGTGTATCCAATAGCTTACACTGCTCTGATGGCACGCAGCACAACTTTGAGCAATCTCATTTTCATGATGGGGAAAAACAAGATCCATTCCACCACCATGTATATCAAAAGAATAACCTAAATAAGCAGCGCTCATCGCACTACACTCAATATGCCATCCAGGTCTTCCACGACCCCATGGACTCTCCCAAAATGGTTCTCCCTCTTTTGCCGACTGCAAAAATTAAGAAAATAAACAGTACTAGCAGTTTATTCTTTCTGTGATAAAAAAAAATTCACAACTCACAAAGTATTAACGTAGATGCACATAAAGATGATAATAGAGCTGCGCAAGTACTGCACTGTTTGTACCAACACAAAGACCAACTATTTTAAGAGAAAGGTGGGAAATATAGAAATTTATTACACCTCTAGTTACAAGTACTTACTTTCCATAAAGCAAAGTCAGCTGGATTTTTCTTCATTGAGTTCACTGCCACCCTCTCACCAGCCCTATTGTCTTCCAATTTACGCCCAGATAATCGGCCATACTCTGGAAACTTGTCTACAGAGAAGTAAACATCACCATTGATCGTGTACGCGCAACCATTATCAAGTATCTAGCAGATAATCATAGAGAGTGTCTTAAGTCTCCTCTTAATTGTTACACAAAATTTCACACATAACTAGTAGGAAAAAGAAGAGACAGATCAAAGAAAAATCATATCAGAAGTTTACATCAGAAAAAAGGGGATCGTCAAAATAAACAATCTGCATCAATCAAAAGTTAAAAAGTAAAAAAAATAACTTGGGTTCTTAGAGGAAAATAAGAATCCTGATTTGAAATATCAACTTGACCGTGAAAGTCCATTTGAGGAGAAACGTCTGACCTTCATTTGAGTTTCTTTATAAGCATTAAACAATAATGATGACAAAAATAGTCACCAATAATTATCATGGATTAAAAAAGAGGAAACAAACCCAACGAACTGAACAAGTGATCAGTGGATACCTGTTTAATCATATCAACAATCTGCAACATGTGATCTGAAACACGAGGTTCCACGGAAGGAGGAATGCAGTTTAGATATCTCATGTCATGATTGAATTCTTCACAATATCTTCTGCTCAAACTTATTGGATCTTCACCCAACTCATTTGCCCTCGCAATAATCTACATAATTTGAAAAATATGACTTAGCTATCCCGTCTTCAAACAAATATATCCTGACACCAATGGGTCAAGTGGATATTTAAATACTGGGAGTGCATAACTCGAAAAACCTTAAAAATCTAGACAACATTATCAGATTAAATGTGAATACTGCAGAAAAGACCTCATTCCTCACACTTCAGTAGCTTAATAAGCTAGGTTTCTCATATTTTATCATGCAATCACCTGTTCATATTCTAATGAGCTTTCAACGGACTGGAGCAACCATTTGCAGAAAAAGAAAAGAGAAGAATCTGGAGATACTCGAGCCTATTTCATATTCTAATTAGCTAATCAAATCACCCTCAAACTTTATTTTCTTTACAAGAAGGGAAAATTTTACTGCAGTTTAAAAGGAGGAAATATCTTTAGTCACCAATGTACTCAATCATCTATCGTTGAGACTGTTGACGTACAACGTTTTCAAACAAATGCAAAGGGCAGTTCTCTTAGAAAATCAATAACCTTTTAAAGCACAAGGAAAGTGAAAACATGCATAGAAGCACAATTGTCAATTTGATGCATATTCAACCCTTTGAATTAAAGCATGACTCACCTTGTCATCAACATCAGTAAAATTGCGTACATAGTTAACCTCATATCCCAAGTACTTGAGGTATCTGCCTGATTTTCAAAGAGAGGAGAACACGAAAAATGCAATAAGTAACAAAGCTCCACAATTTGACTTGTGCTGCAAATAATACAGACTCAAACTAACACTAAAATCAGTGATTACAATCATGAATTCATCTTTTTGGACTAATTTATGTATGTGCTAGCCAGATTTCAAATTCCTCGATATCAAACATTGAGCAAGTAACAGAACTAAAAAAAATGATAACAACATTTCTGTTCCAAGTCCATCACACTCTCGTAATTTTCAACCATCAATTTAACAAAAGCAAAAAAAGGTGCCAATATGCTCAATAAAAAAAACATACTGCATACATTATACACTTGAATCACTAAAAAAATCAATACTGTGACATTATTCGATATGATTCAGATATGAAAAAAGAAAAAACTACAGACCTATAAAGCACGTCAAAAGCAACGTAGACGCGTGCGTGGCCAATGTGGCTGAGGTCATATGCGGTGACACCACACACGTACATTCCTACCCTGCCTTCAATTTTAGGGTTAAACAGCTCCTTTTGCCTGCTCATAGTATTGTGCAGCCACAACTCCTTGTTTATTTTCGTGTGAATTTGTTCAGTAGAAAGAGGCAATGGATGATGATTGGAGCAATTGATTGCAGAAAAGGTGCGAAAGCGGAAATTGGTTTTGGGGTTGAGAGAAATGGATTTGGTGTGAATGGGTTTAAAGCGAAGGGGTAGAAAAGGTTTATAGCTTCTGAACAGAGTCGCCATGGAATTAATTAGAGGTATGTCAATTTAGTGGGGAATGGGGATAATATTATTAATATGAAATATCCAGAGGTCGAAGACGGATCCATCCGGTTTCTCCCTCTCCAGTTACTTCCAATTACAATAATATAATAATAATTATTATTATTATTATTATTTGTTCACCAAAAATAAAATATTTTATAATAATTTATTTTCTTCAAATTAGAGATTAATGTATACGTCAAAAAGAACTAAAAATATAATTTATATGGAATTTGTTTGGTATCATAATCTCAAATTATTTGCTAAATTAAAATCTTTAATTCTCAAAGGAAAAAAAGAAAATAATATACCAATATTCATCTTACATACAATACAAAATGAAGGTTTCATGTGTATGTATGTGCTATGAATGACAGAAAATTCGTTGCAAGGCCAACAAGTTTTCATGTAAAGAATGGTCTCTTAACTCTTCAAAAACAAAAATTGCAGCAGGCCCTCGTCATATATCCGACGACGCAGCTGCCAAATAACAAGTAAGTTATCCTCCTCCACATTATACCAGTGAACAAACCTTGTCTGCAAATAACAAACCATCAGTTAATTAAAACTAAACCATCTGGTTAAATCTTATCAAGCTATATATTATTACATCGTATTTACCGTTTTGCCCCGAGTAATTACAGCACAAACTAGTGTCATCTATGTAGGTTGCTTGAATACCCATCATCCATGACCCAACAGAGGTGTCCTCGTGCGCATAAGCCTTCAACGAAGCACTGCACCGAAAAATAATAAATCTTTTAGCCAAACAATTTGGAGCTATTGAAATCATCCTCTGTATAAAAGCTGACCTGTTAATGTTTATATACTGAGCTAAATTTTTCGAAAGTACAAAGATAGAACCAGCTGCATGGCGCAAGTACCTGAAACACAAGTCGAGAGCTCCAAATTATATGAAAATAGCTTTCTCAAGAACAGGATTTTTATCTCTCTTTTCAGTTAATAATCTAAGAAGATTATCTGCTGTTGTTTACTTACGATTTCTGATCTCCGAATTTCCACCATTCTGGCTCATACCATGGTCTTCCCCTGAATATTTATAAATTAAAGAGCTATTCATATTTCATATTCTCTTTAAAATATCTAAAATAAAGGATTCAACTTGTTCTAGTCATACCTAACCAGCATAATTAAGCACTAATTATGAAATAAATATTGTTCAAAATGAATCAAATGAAGATATAAGTTGCATTACTCTTCAGTTACAACATCCCCAGACTTCATGCAACCAATATAAGCACTATCTTGACCATGCCTGCTCTCGAGAAGTTCAATCAACCCATCTGCCGAGAGAATCGCAAATTTATTTATTTTTTGTTTGCCAAAAGGAATTAAATATGCTATGAGTTGAAATTTTTCAATATAAAAAAATCACCCAATTTCAGATCAACATTGTCGTCGATTTTGATATAAAATTCTGCATCCCACAACTGTACTGCTGTGCTAAAGAATTTTTTAGCTTTATTAGCCAATTCCTCTTGAGCCTCCTCGTGGCCATCCTAGAAAAGTAAAATAACGAAACTAACTGTGATAATGTAACTATCTAAAAACTGGAATAAAACAAAACTTAGCTACAACAATTCATACGTCATGAAGAAGCTGAACCAACATGGATTTAATTACTCACAAGAATCAAAAAGTCCTTTGTTGCACGACTTTCCTCATCAATATTGCGGTCCAAGCTGTCACCGCGGTTAACACTGGAAAACCAAAGCCACTGATTAATCATGGAATTTCTTTTAGTCGATCCATTGGTTAAGATTTAGTACAACACTAAGAATAAATTTAGAAGAAAAAAAAAGACTAGGATAAAAGTTTTTTTAGAGTGTGAAACCTCCGTCCAATCACAAATCGTACGACAATCCCTCTTTCTTCAAGTTTTGCTAAAGCATCTGCAGCCACAACCAAGCTAAGTAATTTTAGAACCTTCAAATGGCACTAGCTAGCACCAAAAATATCCGATCAAACTTGAAATGCAATATAGAATGGATTAGCATGACAGCGAATATCTAAGGGATTTATTCTCATACAATGAATATTGATTTTATACTAACCTTTGGACATCCAGGATCCCCTCATAATATTGCGTCGCAATCGACCCCCGAAACCAGTATAAACTCCAACAAAAGCAAACAATCTTTTACCAGTTTGATGCAAATGGTTTTTAAGAAAACCCTGACTCTTTGCCAACGTCAATTCCATCTCCGTCTCAACAATTCTCCTCTCCATGTCCCTAAAATTTAAATCACAATAAAAATAAGCCCCATTTGCGTTATCATATCCTAAAAGGGGGAATTAATTTACCCATCACCAAAGAATTAATATATATATGTACTTGCATCCAAGAACCACTAATTTGTCTTCTACTGTGAGCACCCTAGGCCGCTGCCATCAAAATCACAAACAAATCCCCAAATTAATTTTTTTTCATAATATAATAATGTCGAGAATTCAGATCACCTGATGAGAAGCCTTCCTGAGAAGATTGGCCAATAACGTTCTATTTTCTGCATCTTGCCACATCCTAACATTAAAAATTAATTAGGACAAAATAAATAAATAAAGAAACAACAAAAAAAACAAAAATAAAGATGAAAGAAAACGCAGAAAATAGGAACCTGCCAGCAACGTAAAGCCAGGCGAGACAAGAAAGAAACACCATTATAACATATGATTTTGATGATGCATTCTTGGATTTCGATCGCCTCTCCGACGCAGTAACCGGCAAGCTGCTCTCCATTTCTTTATTCATTTTCTGTCAAATTAAACATAAAGTAATTCAGGAGAGAAAAAAACTGTTACTCTGATGGATTTGGTTTCCTTCTTTTTGTCGGGGAATTTGGAGCAGAAAAACCGTCGTTTCTTTATTTTATGGGCCACAAAACTCGGGCCCATTATATTTGAACAGGCTCAGCCCTTTTCTTTTTTTTTTTTTTTTTTAAGAAAAAAATGGGCATATAAATAAATAGGGGCTCATTCTTGCTAAAAAAAACAAGAAAAATAAAGATTCTTACATGAACATGAATCATGGACGAAACAAAAATCAAAATAATACATCATGGAAACAAAAATAGTATCAGCTTATGGAATATAAATAAGATCTAAACTAACTATATCTCAAATATTTAAATATAAAAAGAAAAAAGAAAAAAGAAAAAAACTGCTGCTGTGTGTTCCAATTGCAGTCTTTGTACTACAGCTAGTTATATCAAATACATTTTACACACTGCTTCATCTTCTATCTCGCTACCCAGAGATTCCAACAGCCCGCATCGAAGGAGGTGGAATATTCTTCTAATCACGTGTACGCTATTTGTTGCTCTGTGCTATAAACAACCCATTTTCTTCGAAAACCTATCTGAAATATTGGCTATCACAAATCCAACAAACACCTACATTGTCATTTCAAACAAGTTAATGTTCGTTTGGTTGGTTGGTAATAAGACTTTGTAATAATAATACTATATAAATAATCTCATGATTCTCGTATACCTGAACCGAGCCAAGAATATAAACGGCGGAGTAATGTCGGCCGTGGATCAACATATCAGCCACCATCGCAATAGGAATTGTCAGCGACATGCCAAGTGTTGCCACCAGCGGTGTTGTCCACACCACACTCAATGCCCTATTATAAGTAGAGAAACATGTACCAATATTTAAAATTCAACCATTTTTAAAAAAAATTAATTTCCGCACAAGAAAAAGCACACGTACCAGAAATAGTCAGAAAGAACACTCCCAACAAATCCATTAGCAATTACAACTTCATCCAACTTTGCAGAATGAGGAACTGTAAACTTGGGCTCTATACCCGAAGCTGTCAATGGCCATACTGTAACAAGAACGAAACCTTTTTTTAGTAATAAATATTTGACAGATGAATAATATTTAAATAATCACTAAAATTCTTACTAAGCCACCATAGTGCCACGAGCGTAAATAGTCCAATATAACCAAACAGCTTCTGCACATCAACCCTCTCTCCTTCCTCACCCGAAAACTTCTTAAGAAGTACTGCAGCGTTATTTAGAAAGAGCATTTAATAATCGTGACCAATATAAACTATAATGTTCTTAATTTGATTCATTAAGTGTCTCGCACCTGTGAATAAGCCATATGACATAGCTGACATAATGCCAAAAAGATCCCCTACAAGAGTCCGTTCGCTATTTCTTTACAGCAAGCAAAAAGTTCGACAGTCAGTTTACAAAAAGTCAAAGCTCGGGTATAATCTTTGCTTTCCATACACAATTTAGTAGCATTTTTTTGTGAAAGAGTACTTACGAAGAATTACTTAGTTCTGTTTCATCAGTGGCCCAAGTTGTTCCTAAAGTTGTCATGGCCACACCGGCCATGCTCACAAACACAGCAACTACCTTTGCTACATTTAAGGAATCTTGCCCCAAAAATGCCCCGATAAAGAGAGTGAACAATCCTGATGTAGATGATAAAACTGTGGTGCTTGCAACACTTGTACGTGCGAGTGCAGCATTTGACAAATACTGCAAAACATGGTTAAAAATAAGTCGTAAAATCTAAAGATTAAAATAACTACAAAGTCTGAATAATAAAAGGTTAGAAATACCTCAGTGACAAACCAAAGAGGGGCGACATAAAATCCGTATGTAGCGATTTCTTTAGTTGTGACTGGTTTTTCAGATTTTCTAGAGGCATCTCCGTTTTCGGAAACTAAAGGGTTTGTTTCTTCATGTTCGGTAAGGTTTGCTTCACTGTCTTTTCTGTTGAGAGATCCTTGGAGTTCCATTTCAATGTACTTTAAAGGAGAACCGAGTCCACACGGGTCATCAATTGCACCTTTTCTGGAGCGTCTCTTCAGGAAATTATAAATACAATCTTTAATAAATGCTATTGGCAGGTAAATAACCATCAAAGAAGCTCCAAGATATGTCACTGCAAACGGTTGCTTATAGTCTACGAAAATCCCCTGTTTCACGAAAATTGAACCGTGTGTCAATATAGGGGATCTACAGCAATAAATTGAAACTATACGATTCGTCTCGCAGTTCTACACATTCAAATTGGGGTTCCAGAATATGGTTTTGCATCCAGACGACGCAGCAAAATCAAATACCCTTAACTTCCAAAGGCAGGATTTGATAATTGGTATAAAAATAAAAATAACAAATAAACAAAAAGAGTCAACCCCATCAACAAAAACCATTTTTATTATTGCTAATATAATCTTATTATGATTACATTCTACACATGCTGGTAAGAATAGCTCATGATTGAAAACACCAAATTATGGCTCCCATCGATGGCAGAATCTAATACGGAAATAAAAAGGAACATAAACAATATAGCCATGAAATTACATTTAAAACCTTAAATTTGAAACAGAAAAGACCAAGAAAAAGAAGTGACCTGAGTAACCTCTGCGGATGTGACCCAAATAATGACAACGGCAGCAATTAACATCAGACCAGCCCTATATCTCCACCCCATTGTAATTCCAAAGAAAACCCAGATGCCTAATTTCAATTTTCAGCACAGAAAAAAGAAAAAAGATCAGATTTTTATTTTCTTCTTGATTTCAGAGATCTTGTTTCGCCTAATTGCATAACCGGGGGCCGTGCAGAAAAAGGTAAAAAGGAAATCTTTATAGAGAGAGGTTGGTGGACGATAGGATTAGCTGTAGATTGATGGCGAAGACTAGAAGGAGAGATTATATGAATGGAAGATTAATGCTTTTGGACCAAATTAAGAGAAAAGAGAGAGAGAGAAGCCATAAAAGTTGGGACTAGTACGGAAATTTCATAAAAGACAAAACAGGGAAATTTATGTTAAGATTATTATAATATTATTATTATTATACTATATCCTAAGAATTTCATTTTCTCATGAATGTTTTTTTTTTTTTTTTAATAGAATTCTCATGAAAGTTTGATTACTGAGTTTTCTTTAGGAAAAAACTGCACGAGGACTCCTAATTATAGGTAATCAAAGATTCTTGACTATTGCACGATTGGTTAGTATTTCTGTCGGAATATTTGTCAATTCAACCACGTGACAACCGTGTACTGTAATCTCTTCACAGAAATTCAATAATATTTGTGATACAAATGTCACAACAAGCAATAAATTAAACATACCCTCAACAGTCAAACCAAAATAAATTGTTAATCTACAGCTATATATATATCCAGTGACATGTATATATATTCACACAGTTAATCCAGTTTTCTTGTCCCCTCTTCTTGGCTAGAAATCGAAGTAATCAGTCTCGAATAATTGTTTGTGGGGTCCACTTGAGACGCAAATTCAACCGACCCGACTCGGTTCCATCAATTGGGAAGGTGTCTCTAAATTCTTGCTCAAGTATAGCCCTTGTCAGTGTCATGATGCATCTTCCCATTTTCTCCTATAAATTCTCAATCTCAGTAAACATTACAGCATGACAATTGATAATGATCTTATTAAATAACTAATACGATAATGAAGAATTAATTACCTTGCCGAATGTGTCGTGGTCGTAAACTTCCAAGATCAGTAGCTCATGTAACCCATCCTCAACAACAAATTCAAACGTTTGATTCCATTCTGGATTTAAGGTATCACTTACAACCCTTGTCTTGTTCTTCTGATCAGATTTTTTCATTGTTAGCTCCACAAAAGGATCCGACTTTCCAAAGAGATCCGTAGCTGGCAAATTCTCTGCAGAGATAACTGTCACAGAGAGAACTCCTCTGATAATAACATCCCTTTTCATCGGTGAAGCCGATTTCAATGGATCAGTATCATTTGCGTGTTTAAAAGCTTTCTCCACGAGCGTTAATCTGAAGTCTGGGTCGAAGGGATTATATAATTCACTCTCGCCATTGAGTGGATAGTACAGGATTTCCAAATGCACCTACAAATAATTAATCAGAGATATAATATGATGCAAATTAAAATCTAGAGATAGTAATTGTGATAATTAAGACATGCTTTGGCTAATTAAGCTCACCTTGCCGCGGTTTTTCTGGTCTCTTTGAATATCGAGGTCCTTGACCAGCTTCAACCACACATCTTTGACCTTACCAGGCTCGAGTTCAGCTAGTGGCAATTGAGCACAACCGATAAATTCAGAAGTTTGAATTCCTTCGTTGTCATAAACTCTTATTGTCAAATGTTGAGTGGAAAAATCCTCCACAACAAACTCAAAGTGCTCGTTCCATATTGGATTTGTTTGGTTGTTCTGTAAAATTTGATCGGATATTACTATTAATTTATAAAAAAAAAATTAAAGAATTAGTGCGAAGATTGTTACGATTGTTTTGCTGGTTTGAATCCTGTCACGAAGAGGACGGATGAATAACTCGACAAAGGGATCAGATTTGCCAATAATGTCTTTGTTTGTTAATTCCTTAGCTTCTATGAGCTTCACCTCCAATGTTCCAACTGGTTTTAACTCCAGGTAACTGTATCAATAAAAAAGAATAACTTTTAAAAACATAATTCAAAGAAATAAACGCTGCTGTTTTGATCGTTTTTTTGTTTGACCTGTAATCTCCAGCTAATATGGGGATGATTTGACGGACTGGCCACGTGAAATCTTCAACAGCATTTCTTATTGTTTCCTATGAAGACAAGATAATGTAATGTCATTCTCTCTCTCTCTCTCTCTCTCTCTCTCTCTCTCTCTCTCTCTCTCTCTCTATATATATATATATATATATATATATATATATATATATATATATATATATATATATATATATATATATATATATAAAGAGCGCTCTATCGCCTGGTTGAAAAATATATATAGAGAGATATTGAGACCTCGAGAGCGTCACATATTCCTGGGAGTGAGGATACATCACCACCAACCACTTTGAGGGTAAAGTCGAGACTTTCTGTGGGTAAAAACAAGAATACATGACATTCAAGTAAGTAAAAGTAGTTAGTATAGTATGAAAATATAGTGCAATATATTATGTACAAGGAAGAAATAAAGTATCACCTTTTGTCTCAAGGAATAACAAATAGCTCCAAAACAAGGAAACTCGTCGACTAATGGTTTGAATATTAACCTGAAAACACCGGTAAATCCAATATTTTTGACCTGCAGCCAAATAAAACATAGTCCTTTGGCTGTGACAGAGCGTAGAAATAACAGAGAATATGTGTACGAACTCGTGACAAAGCGATGGTTGTATACTCAGATATGCAGATAAAAAAAAGACAAAGCGATTGTGCAATACCTGTATAGGTAGAGCCACACCAACTCTGGTTTTGATATCAAGTACAATGTTAGGATTGCCGTCCCACTGCAACTCCAATTCCATAATAATCTCATTGGATTCACCTTCAATGATGGAAACTCCTTTTTTTTGTTGACATCAAAACAAAATTATGTATCCAATCCATTATATGATCAAGCAAAGTCTGATGATTAACATATAGAAATTTGAATGTGTGCAAGAGTAGGTACCTGTGAACTGTGGTGCCACAGTACCAAGTGTCAACTTAGAAAACTTGAGAGATGACATAATTGAAGATCTGTATTGCTCAAGAATTGGCTCCACCGCGTTTCGTATTATCTCCGATGCTGCCTATATATATATATGCCGCATCATCATCACTAACATTTCATCAGTACAACAACCACCAAAACCTCGACCTCATAAACTATGCATTTATGCAGTTATGTCTTTTCACAGACACACACACACACACCAAAAAAAACAAGAAAGGAATATAATGAACCTGGTCAACATAAGGCCATATTTTGTCAAGGTGATGATTCAGCCAAGTTAACTGAAAGAACATTAAAGACAGAGAGAGGCGTGTTAGATATTTTAATTTGCTGGGGATATAAGAAATAGATGTGCAAGCAACTATAAATTATAAAAAAAAAAGTAAAAAAAAACTAAACTTGTGTTTGTCTGAAAAGACAACCCAAGCAGGGTAAGATTGATCATCTGGAAAAAGTTTCCTCAAGTCTTGCACTGTCATCCTCGCAAAGGCTGCAATTAGTTGTGCCAAATCAGTGCGGTGTTTTGATCTGATATTCTGGAAGCGAGCGAAACCCACTATCAAACCCATTCCCAACCCAAAACCCAACACATAACCCACAAAGAATCCCATCTCTCTCTCTCTCTCTGGTCTTTCAACAAGTACTTGATCAGAAGAGGTGAGACCAAGACTCAGAAATTATATTGCTGCAGAGCCCACAAAATTATTTCATTTTTACAAGTAAAGAAGGAGAAGGAGAAGCAGCTTAATTGGTGTATAGAGGTGGTGTTGATCAATGATCAGTGTTTTCTTTTCCCTTCTTGTTATCCCTTAATTTTGTTGTTGCATATGTTTTCATCACTTGGGGGTGGGGATATGGGACAAACAACCCAACATGTACTAAAACTACTAGTACAATCTATACCTTTCGTGCCACATCTCCAACATATTCATATGATCAATTGTCTAACTTCATTTATATTTATCCAAAAAAAAATAAAAAAATGTCTAACTTTATTTAAATCAAAATACACGCCCTAACTGTCGTATATTGGCATGTATTTTGATTTATTACTTAATGGGCCTTGGGCCTCTTTGATTGGCCCACAAAAGCTCTAATATTGTGATATATATATAAATGGATCTGGGTCAAATAAATAAATCTAAGATCCGGAAGGAAAGAAACCCAGTCAAACACCCTCTCATTTCCTCCACTTGGCTGCCAATGCCATTCTTCTCGTCAATCTCTTTAATTACCACAAACATTAACCGTCTCTCTCTCTCCCTCTCTCTCTGAAACACACAAAACACACTGCATGTTAATGTTACCTGTGAATTAAATTTATGATCATTTCATTACCGGTGGTATATATATATTATATTACAGCTAGCTAGCGTTCAGTGTCGGAATTAGGAATAGAGAAAACAGAAAAATGGCGGGAAATGACTGGATAAACAGTTACCTGGAGGCAATACTGGACGTGGACACAGGAGGGATCAATGATAATAACAATAATAATAAATCATCGTCTCTTCTGTTGCGAGAGCGAGGTCGCTTCAGCCCCGCCCAATACTTCGTCGAGGAAGTCATCACCGGCTTCAACGAGACCGATCTCCACCGCTCTTGGGTTCGCGTACGTATTCACATTCATTCATTAGTATATCCATGTTGATATATATTCCTTTTCTTTTCTAAAGATCATTAACGACCTCTTGATCAGTGTGATCCATACTTATATGAAATTTTAATATAATATGCCTTTTCAAATACTAATTCAAGGCATCATCAATTCGGAATTCGGAGGAGAGGAATACGAGGTTGGAGAATATGTGTTGGAGGATTTGGACCTTGGCTCGTAAGAAAAAACAGGTTCTATACATTTATATATTTAATCATATATATTACCTGCTTTAATTAAATTGTACATTTTATCTACGATCTAACTAACTTGATTTCGATCTAGATTGAGGTTGAAGAATCACAACGCAGGACAAAAAGGCGTCTAGAACGTGAAAATGCACATCGGGAAGCAACTGCTGATATGTCGGAGGACTTATCGGAAGGAGAAAAGGGAGACACGGTTTGTGATATTTCAGTTCGTGGCGATAGTGTTAGAGGAAGAATGCCTAGGGTTAGCTCTATTGATATGATGGCTAACTTGGCTAGTCCTCACGCAGATAAGAAACTTTATATTGTGTTGGTCAGGTATATTATCTATATACCATTGCCTCTTTAGTTTCATCTGCATGCAATAATCTTGATTAATGTGATGGTTCATTTCTTTTCAATCTCTGCAGTCTTCATGGATTGATCCGCGGAGAAAACATGGAACTTGGTCGTGACTCTGATACTGGAGGTCAGGTAAACGAACTTGGTTTTGCTCTACATCTCATGTCGTAAGTTGCTCCTCGATCGGATGTATAAATGTGGCCTCTGCTTTTGCTTGCTTTTTCAGGTTAAGTATGTGGTGGAACTAGCCAGAGCGTTGGGCTCGACGCCTGGAGTTTATCGTGTTGATTTGCTTACAAGGCAAGTATTGGCACCAGATGTGGACTGGACATACGGTGAACCAACAGAGATGTTAAATCCATTAAACCCCGAGAACCACTTTAACGAAATTGGGGAGAGTGGTGGTGCATATATTGTCCGCATACCCTTTGGCCCTAAAGATAAGTACCTCTCTAAAGAAGTTTTGTGGCCTCATATTCCGGAATTTGTTGACGGTGCACTTGGCCACATTCTGCAGATGTCTAAGGTCCTCGGCAAGCAAATCGGCAGTGAGAAACCACTCTGGCCCATTGCTATCCACGGACACTATGCCGATGCAGGAAACTCAGCTGCTCTTCTCTCTGGAGTGTTAAATGTGCCAATGGTCTTCACTGGCCATTCACTCGGGCGTGACAAGCTGGAACAACTCTTGAAGCAAGGGAGGCAATCGAGGGAGGAGATAAATTCCACTTACAAAATAATGAGGCGTATAGAGGCTGAGGAGATCACTCTTGATGTTTCTGAAGTAATAATTACCAGCACCAGACAGGAAATAGAAGAGCAGTGGCGTCTCTACGACGGCTTTGATCCAGTTTTAGAGCGCAAACTTCGAGCTCGTATCAAACGTAATGTCAGCTGTCATGGGAGGTTCATGCCTCGCATGGTTGTAAGTCATCTTACTCATCTCTCCTGCCCATTTGCAAAGTCTCCGTTCTCACCTTTTGTATTGTGTACACGAACGAAATAGATGAGATGTGATTTTTCATAACTTTGTTCAGGTAATCCCTCCTGGAATGGAATTCCGTAATATTGTCTCACAAGATGGAGACATAGATGGAGAAATAGAAGGAAACGAAGATAGTTACGGCGCTCATGATCCGCCTATTTGGTCAGAGGTTCAATATATTATTCTTTGTTCTCTACGTCTCCCTAGTGAAGCATCATTAGGTGGCAAGTTTTGTTATCTATCTTAATGAATTTAATGCTAATCGATATACATTAAGCTATATGTTATTTGTGTTTTACGACAGATTATGCGCTTCTTTACTAATCCACGCAAGCCTATGATACTAGCTCTTGCTAGACCGGACCCAAAGAAGAATCTAATCACTTTGGTGAAAGCTTTTGGAGAGTGTCGCCAACTCAGAGAACTTGCAAACCTTGTACGTCGTACTTCTTGATTTCTTCTTCTTCTGCTGTTGCTTTCCGTTGATTCACTATTCAAATCCTATGTTAATTTGGTGCAGACTTTGATAATGGGAAACAGAGATGCGATCGATGATATGTCTTCTACAAATTCATCAGTCCTCCTCTCTATACTCAAATTGATCGACAAATACGACCTTTACGGTCAAGTGGCATATCCTAAGCATCATAAGCAATCTGACGTCCCTGATATATATCGCCTGGCCGCAAAAACAAAAGTACAAGTTTCATTAAGCTTTGCACTTATCTTTGATTATTGATGGATCACATAATAATTCTTACGGCTTCTACAGGGTGTTTTCATCAATCCGGCTTACATCGAGCCATTTGGTCTCACCTTAATTGAGGTGCCAGCGAAGTGATTTTTCTCTTACGGTTATTTTTAACTGTTCAAATTATAATTCAATGACTGAAATCCATTGTCCCTAAACAGGCAGCTGCTCGTGGTCTACCTATCGTTGCCACAAAAAACGGAGGTCCTGTTGACATTCACAGGGTTTGTAGGCTAAAAAAAGTCTAATAATCACTTATATGAGCTTTCTAGTTTCTTAATCACTTACTCCAATCCAATTAACAGCAACATTGTTTTTCAGGTTCTTGATAACGGCGTGCTAGTCGACCCACACGATCATCAGTCCATTGCAGATGCCCTGCTGAAGCTCGTTTCGGAGAAGCAACTCTGGTGTAGATGCAGGGATCATGGATTAAACAATATTCATCTATTCTCATGGCCGGAGCATTGCAAGACGTATTTAGCCCGAGTAACGAGTTGCAAGCAAAGGCAGCCAAAATGGCAAAGAAGTGAAACCGCCAACCCAGATTCAGAATCCGATTCTCCTGGTGGTTCCTTGAGAGATATTCACGACCTATCATTAAGTCTGAAGATTTCGTTAGACGGTGAGAAGAACGAAGGGATTGGCAGTTTAGTTCTCAAAGGCCAAGAAATGGCAACTGACAGTAATACAAACCAGATCAAGAGTGCACCTCTCAAACTGTCGTCTGCAAATGAGTCAATGGAGAAACAAGAAAATTCTAGATTCCCATCACTGAGGACGAGGAAATTCATCGTCGTCATTGCTGTCGATTCTGATTCAGTAGCTGATATTCTAGATATCACGAAAATAATATTTGAAGTCATTAAAACAGATAATAAGGATACGGCATCTCAGCACTCTATCGGCTTCATTTTATCTACATCTTGGAGTATGTCTGAGATAAACTGTGTCCTGGAGAAAGCTGGGTTGAAATCCAGTTACTTTGATGCATTTATATGTAACAGCGGAAGCGAGATATACTATCCATCTCCAAATTCTTCGGAATCTCAGTACATTATGGATTCAGATTATCATCCACACATCGACTATCGGTGGGGTGGAGAAAGCTTGAGGAATACACTGGTGAGGTGGGCTAATTCTATTAATGATAAAAAGAAAGAACCTGTCATCACCGAACTTGACTCGGGGTCTTCACACTGCTACGAATTTAGAGTTCGGGACCCATCATTGGTAAGTAATTCATGATGCAACACATTTATATAGCTTCATTCATTGATATTTAATGGCAACCCTTTAGTTTAATTACAAGTTGAACTTGATTTTGCAGGTTCCTCCATTTAAGGAACTTAGGAGATTGATGAGAATCCAGGCGCTCCGTTGCCATGCGATATACTGCAAAAACGGGGAAAGGATAAACGTGATACCAATACTTGCGTCTAGAGCACAAGCACTAAGGTATTTGTATGTTAGATGGGGGATGGAGTTGTCAAAAGTGGTGGTGTTTATGGGAGAGAGCGGAGATTCTGATTACGAGGGATTGCTTGGTGGACTACACACAAGCGTGATTCTAAAGGGGCTGAGCATTGGTTCCAGTAAAATACACGACAATAGAAGCTATCCTCTCGAACACGTTATACCAACAGATAATACAAAGAGTGTTGAATGCGATAAATGTGACAGAGATGGCATCAAAGCAACACTTGGGAAGCTAGGCCTTCTAAAGAGTTAGTTATTATATATATATATATATATTTCATCTCACTTGAAGTTTTTCTTGCGTTATTCCATTTCCGGCCCCTTGTACTAGCTAAGCTAGTCCTGGCGATTTTGTTAACGAGCTGAGTAAGAATTATTTATTTATATTAACGGTACGGATGATGTTGTTACAAAAATCATGCAAATAAATAAAGGGCATATCCAATGATTTTCGGATGCGAAAGAAACATATTTAAATTGTTGGAAGTGAATTAGTATTTAATATATATATGGTTTGGCGGAGCAAACTATTTGATTGATATCGACTGCAAAACTGAGACGATCGATTGATCACCAGCATAATACATAAAATTGATGACATGAGTATGTCTACCGATCGAAACCATATCTGCGATTAAAACGACAGTGGCCGATCATGCATGTTCAATAGATGTAAGCAGCATGGCTTTCAATTTAACTACTTAATTAACTATTTTTTTTTATCAAGAAAGACATGCATAGGATCTTATTCTAATTAATAGTATTTCATCAATATTCCTTTTGGCATGCTAATCTTAACCAATATTATATTGACTGCGTGCGTGCGTAATCAATATAATAATCATGATATTTAATTTATTACATGAATTGATCATGAGTTTCTTCAAGTTTTATTTTATTTTATTTTTCAAATACTAATTAAAATCCACAAGAATATTAATTATATAGTAAACATGGATCTAAAAATTCAAGAAACTATATTATTTATTTGGAAAGTAAGAAAGGGAGTCGAATTAATTATGTAAACACAAACATCGAAAGTAAGAAATATAATCCTAATTAACAAATTATTAGCAAAAGAATTAATAAAAAAAAAAAAAAAAAATCATCGATTCGATCATTCATAAGACCAAGTGTTGTCCTTGCGAATCTGGTCTTCCTCCTCAGGGGTAAGGTCGTTTATGATACCAAAAGTATCTCGAATTTCTTCTGGTTCCTTCCCCTTTACTGCGTTTCCGGCGGCAAGTGCCGTCAGCTTAAGCAGGCTATCTATGTTCAAGTAGTTTGCAGCCATCATCAGATTAAACAACGTCGTCTTCACATCAACCTTCATCAACTCTGCGTCGTACTCCTCCGCTGCCGCTTTCGCTTCGGCTCCTTCGGCCATCCTTTCGGCTTTGTCGTGGCGTGTGCAGTATTCGATAACCATCTCCAGAGTCTTGGAATCGACGTTAGGGAGTGGAATGTTGCCGTCGGAGCAGCCGTCCTCGATCATCTGGTTAATAGTTTGAGATCTGGCGGCGGCGGACTCCTCAACCGTGAATATCACTCCGTCGTTGCTCATCAGAACCACCATCTTTATCTTTTTTGAGAGAGAGAGAGAGAGATCGCTATCTGTACTGGACGACGACAAAGACATTATTATTTATTATGGTGTATATATATATATTTGAGAGAGAGAGATCTAGAGAGAGATAAGAATTGGTAGGTCTAGAGAGAGAAAAGAGCGAATAGAATAGAATGGGAGAAGAGTTCGTGGGGGTGGCTTTATTTATAGGGTTTTTTTTTTCTCTTTCTAATCCAAGTCAAAATCGAAGTCAAAGTTTGTCCTTGTTATGCTAGGAAAATACTAATAATATTTATGGTATATTAATTGTCCTTAATTCCCATGCGGGTTAGTATTCTTATTTCTTACCATAATAATAATCCTCTTCAAATTAATCCACATCTTCTCCCGTGTTTGTTTTATTTACGTCTTTATTATTCAAATTAATACCCTTTCCTACTAACACTATATAACATCCACCTAATTTTTTTTTACCATAATTCAAATTAAATATCACAAATAAATTACAAATCAGAATTTGTTGAGTTTTTTATGACATCAGGCCCAAATAACTATAGAGAAGCCCAAGATTGCACATAATTCGAGTCCAATAAAGCCCAATATTGTTCCTATGATTAATGGACCAAATCCTTGTAGGAATTGCTACAATAATTGACAAGTACAAACATAAGCAAACAATATAATTGTGAAAATATTGTAATCGATCTGCAGCAAGTACAGAAACAGTAAACAAAGATCACAAGGAAAAATAATTATCTCTAACATAAAAACAGATCAATAATTAAGCATCTCAACGCGAGACAAATCGTCGATACCTCAGTTACGATGATCATTACGATTGTTTGAGTTCACTTGGCTCCACCAGTATGTAAACTGGCCTGTATGTAGACACAGTTACCACTTTAATCAACCTTTTTTACAACAATTTTATTATTATTGTCTACTAATAATTACAATTAGTCTCTCGAGTATATATTATTACCTTAACCTCCGGCAATCCAATAACACAAGCACATTCGACCACCTCAGCCCCCACAGATTCTTTAAATTTATTAATTGCACAAAGCATATCATTCATCAATAACATATAACTTGTTACAACATTATTGTATATGAAATCCGAAGAAAGGGGAGATCGATGGAGCAACACGACAAAATAGGTTACGTACGTACCCAAAAGTTTAATAGCGGCAGATAGGGTCCCACCGGTAGCGATCAGATCGTCAATAACAACTGCCTTATCCCCTGCCTGTACAGCATCAACATGCATCTCTAGACAATCTTTACCATATTCCAACTCATAACATTCGCACACTACTTTGCCTATACTTTCCACAAACAAACAAAACCAATCACATATAATAATTTATGTATCAACTTTATTACAACATTTTTTTTTTGAAAATCGACATCCAAGAAAGTAAAGTGGAATTTGATCGATCAATAGCTAGCAATATTAGTAAACCGAAAATATATAATACATACCGGGCAACTTTCCGTGTTTCCGTAAAGGGACAAACTTGGCACCAATGGCTAATGCAATAGATGGACCAAACATGAACCCTCTTGCTTCAACTCCTAGTAATTGCCACTCATATATATAACAGTCAGACTATATATATCTATGTGAGTTTGCAAAGACAAACTTAGAAAGAAAATATTTCACTCGAGTTGCTGCGGCAGAGCTCAAAACTAATCTTTTTATTTATCTCTAATTGGCTTTTCTCGTTCTCCACTTCACATAGCAAAATGCTTACATATATATACTTAACAATAGAAAATTCTAGACTAGAAGAAGACAAATGGACACATGCTAGATACATTTGAGATAGATACATTTGACTGTTATTACTCCTTGATGTGTTATTCGAAGAGTCTAGTGCATTACCTTCCAACACTCCCCCTTAATGCACTTTCTTTACTACTCCAATCAATGTTCTCAAGTAGATGAACTTTTCTTTGGTAAGAGGCTTAGTGAGTATGTCGGCAAGTTGGTCTTCTGACTTACAATACTCAAGCCAAATTTCACCATCTTCAGCGGCTTCTCTTATAAAATGATATTTGATGGCAATATGCTTCGTCCGATCATGACTTATTGGATTTTTCCCCATTGCAATCGCAGATTTGTTATCACAAAACAACACGGTTTCTTCGTTTTGCTTTTCACCCATGTCTTCCATAATCCTTCGCAACCATATTGCTTGAGAAGTAGCTTTGGCTGCAGCAACATATTCTGCTTCGGCAGAAGATTGCGCCACTGTTTTTTGTTTCCTTGAGGCCCACGTACAAATACCTGAACCAAGGGAAAACACATAACCTGATGTGCTTTTCATATCGTCGAGGCATCCGGCCCAGTCGCTGTCACAATACCCGTAAAGCTTCAATGGTTCTCCTGCTTTATAGAAAATACCATAATCTCGTGTACCATGCAAATATCTAAGAACTCGCTTTGCAGCTCTAAAATGATTCTGACTGGGCTGCTGCATAAAACGAGAGAGTAAACTTGCTGCAAACATCATATCAGGCCGAGTAGCTGTCAAGTATAATAGGCTGCCTACGAGACTTCTATATATTGAACCGTCTGCATTTTTTGCCCCATCTTCCTTTTTCAGCTTTTCAGTTGCAACAAGAGGTGTTGCAACATCTTTGCAGCCTTCCATTTTAAATTTCCGTAGCATATTTTCAGCATACTTCTGCTGTCCAATAAAAATTCCAGTATCGAGTTGGGAAACCTCAATACCCAAAAAATAATGTAGCAGCCCCAGATCACTCATCTCGTATGTGCTCATCATGTCGGATTTGAAACTTTGAATAAATTTGTCGTCATTTCCGGTAACAATCAAATCATCAACGTAAAGGGACACAATGAGAATGTGAATTCCCTTCTGAAGCACATAAAGTGTAGGCTCACTTTTGCTTCGCTCAAATCCTTTCTTCATGAAATATTTATCAATCTCTTCGTACCAAGCACGCGGTGCTTGCTTGAGCCCGTAAAGTGCTTTTCTTAACTTGTAAACTTTATTTTCAGCTCCCTCAACATGAAAACCTTGTGGTTGCTCGACGAAAACTTCTTCCTTCAACATCCCATTTAGAAAGGCGGACTTAACATCAAGTTGGTATATTTTCCATTCCTTTTGTGCCGCAAGTGCAATCAGGGTACGAATTGTCTCGTGGCGAGCAACTGGAGCAAAGCTTTCGTGAAAATCAATGCCGGGTTTCTGGACAAACCCTTTAGCGACAAGCCTGGCTTTGTGCTTTTGAATGCTTCCGTCTTGATTGAACTTTGTTTTGAATATCCATTTCAAGCCGATAACGTCCCTGCCTGTTGGTTTATCAACTAGTTCCCACGTTTGATTTTTCTCAATCATTCGCAATTCTTCGTTCATAGCATCGACCCAAACATCTTGTTTCTCAGCTTCTTCAAAAGATTCAGGTTCTATCGCAGAGAAATTGCACGATTCGTAGACTTCTCTCAAACTGCGAAACCTTTTTGGAGAGGACCCTGGAGAAGAAGAGGATGATGAAGTTTCAGAGCCTGGTGTTTGAGGAGAAGCTGGTTCTTCTTGTACTCTGGCAACTTCTTTACGATTTTGAACCAAAACAACGGGCATTTCCTGCACTCTTTTATTTGTCCAATCCCACGAAGCTTTTTCATTGAAAATAACATCTCGACTAACAATTAACTTTTCAGTTTCAACATCATATAATCTGTAGCCTTTCGTTTCGTCGCTATAGCCAATAAAAATACATTTGGTGCTTTTGTTATCAAATTTGATCCTTTTTTCTGGAGGTATATGAGCATAACAAATGCAACCAAAAATTTTAAAACGACTTACCGACGGCTTCACACCGCTCCAAGCTTCAAATGGCGTTTGGTTCTTCACTGCTTTAGTAGGACAGCGATTTAGAACATAAACAGCTGTGTGAACAGCTTCGGCCCAGAAAATCTTTGGCAATTCTTTCTCCTTTAGCATTGACGTTGCCATATCAACAATTGTTCTATTTTTCCTCTCCGCAACACCATTTTGCTGCGGTGTGTAGCTTGCTGTCAATTGCTTTCGAATGCCCTCATTCTTGCAATAACTCTCGAACTCATTGGAAGTATACTCGCCGCCTCGGTCACTTCTAATAAGCTTGATTCTCAGACCACTTTGGTTTTCAACAAGTGCTTTGAATTGTTTGAAGACGCCGAAAGCTTCAGACTTCTGCTTCAAGAAATACACCCAAGTCATTCTTGAGTAATCGTCGATGAACGTCAAGAAATACTTGTGGTCGTTGAAAGACGGAGTCCTCATTTGCCCACAAATATCTGTATGAACAAGCTCGAGAGGAGCTTTGGCTCTCCAAGATCTTCCTTTTGGAAATGGCAGCCTAGCTTGCTTACCCATTATACATTCTTCACAAGGTTCACCAGCTATCTCTATTTCCGGCAGCCCGTGGACCATGCCTTTTTGCCTTAAAAGCTTTAATCCATGGAAATTTAGATGACAAAAACGTCTATGCCACAACCAGGAATCCTGCCAGACTTCAGCTTTCAAAGCATGAACTGTTTCATAATGAAATTCAATAGGAAAACTTCTCTTTTCCTGCATTGTGACGTGTGCGATGAATTGTTTATTCTTATCAAAAATCTTGCAGGCATTATCACCAAAATGGAGATGATAACCATTCTCGATCAATTGACCAACACTGAGCAAATTTTCTTCAATATCAGGAACAAATAGGACCTCATGAATGTACCTTTTTCCCCTTTTTGTTTCGATAGAAATAGTGCCCATTCCCTTAGCTTGAACAAGTGCACCGTTGCCCAGTCGAACTTTAGAGCTGATTTTATCCATATCGAGAAATATTTTCTCATTCCCTGTCATATGATTACTACATCCGCTATCAAGCTGCCATTTTTTTGAATTTTCTTCTAGAGCCGATTGGCAAGCATAGAACAAATTTGCCTCCTCAATCTCTGTTTCCTTTGTAATATTTGCACGATTTTCGAATCTAGGCTGATTTTTGTATTTGACACGACAATCCTTTTTCAGATGACCAAATTTTTGACACCCATGGCATTGCGGTTGACCAAGATATCGACAATCTTGTGTATCATGGTTCGTTCTTTTGCATTTTCTGCAAAATAAATTTGAATCCTTGGAATGCGTACCTTTCTCGTATTTTGATTCCGTACTTCTGTTGTGCCAAGCATCTTTTCTTGGACCACCCCGATCTTTCCTTAGATCAGCCCCTTTGCTGGAGTCGTTTTTCTTGTGCAATCCAAACGACAACTTTGACTGGAAAGCACTTTCAATTGAGTGAGTGTTGCGCCTCGATTTTCTCTGTTCATGATTTTTTAATGAACCCAAGAGTTGCTGCAGGGTTAGTGTAGACAGATCTTTCGTCTCTTCAATCACAGCCACCATATCATCGTACTTCTCCGGCAAACTGTTCAGGACTCTTTCCACAATGGTCTGGCTTGATAAGTTTTCTCCAAGTGAATAAAGTTGATTCACTACTTCCGTGACTCTTGATGAGTAGTCTTGAATGGTTTCAGATTCATTCATCTTTAAGTTCTCGAAATCCTTTCGAAGACTTTGGATTTTTAAGGCAATTAGCTTGCTTTCACCTTGAAATTCTTGTTCTAAAATTTGCCAGGCAGCTCTAGCATTAGAAGCCGCCATTATTCTCGGAAACATTGGTGCGGTTACTGCATTATGTAACTTTGAGAGTGCTTTTGCATCGGCAATACGCGTCTCATCAAGCCTTTTCTTTTCTGCATTTGACAGTTGGCTTGCATCTTCTGGCTCCTCGAATCCACTATCGACGACACTCCACAATCCTTCTGACATGAGATACGTTCTCATTTTAATTTTCCAAAAATCGTAATTTTCTCCCCCAAAAACTGGAATGAAAGAATGTGATGATTCTGCTGACATTTTTTTTTTTTTTTAATGTTACTCCCAGTTCATACAAAAGAACCTCGCTCTTGATACCACTTTGTGAGTTTGCAAAGACAAACTTAGAAAGAAAATATTTCACTCGAGTTGCTGCGGCAGAGCTCAAAACTAATCTTTTTATTTATCTCTAATTGGCTTTTCTCGTTCTACCCTTCACATAGCAAAAATGCTTACATATATATACTTAACAATAGAAAATTCTAGACTAGAAGAAGACAAATGGACACATGCTAGATACATTTGAGATAGATACATTTGACTGTTATTACTCCTTGATGTGTTATTCGAAGAGTCTAGTGCATTACCTTCCAACAATCTATAAGCAGACATAACCAAATTACACATGCATACATAAACAAATTTGATTTTAACACAACATCTAACATCTTATGAACATAAAAAATAATACGTCGTACATGCCTATAAAATATTCATTCATTAACAAGGGCAAAGTAACTTTATGCAGAGTAACTATACTCAGATGCCAAATGAAATAAATAATAATGACCAACAATGTAATTAATTAATTGCCAATTTACCAGTAATATTTAATTCTTGAAAATTATAAGCTAGGACAAATACAAACACACAGTACGTGATATATAAATGAGGGAGGGAGAGGGTAATTGGTAATTACCTGCAACAAGAGAGATGCAGCCCATGTGCTTGTATCTATCGATAAAAATGTCAAGTGTGTCTTTGAATACTTTGTGGTTCAGAAACAATGTGCTTATATCCTGAAACATGATTCCTACCAACAATAACAACAACAACAACAATAACAAATTAAAAATGCATGCAAAACATGACTTAATTATTAATAAGCAAGAAATAAAACCTGGTTTAGGGAAATGAGGTATCACTCTAATTGTGTTAGAAATTGCCTCAAGTCTTGGATCTCCCTTCAACCCATTTTCTGCTGCATACATTTTAATGAGCTTTCCCTTCTTCTTCTTCTTCTCTATCTCTATCTCTCTCTCTCTCTCTCTCTCTCTCTCTCTCTCTCTCTCTCTCTCTCTCTCTCTCTCTCTCTCTCTCTCTCTCTCTCCGTGCTACTGCGGTTTAATAGAGATGAAGTTAACGGTGGTGAAGTGGGAACAATTCAAAAAATACAATAATAATAAATTCGATTGAGTTTATGATTCCACGAATTTTGATAAAACAGCATTAATAACATCTATAAATGTGTGAATCGTAAGGGGGACGTTTATCCCGGGATGAGTTTCTGTTTCTCGGCGTAGAAGAATTTAAATAAAATAGGAGAATGAATATGGTGGATGATAGGATGTGCTGAATCTTGTGTCCATGTGCACACTGTACTGGAAAATGACTATTCCCTCCTTACATTGATGATAACACACAACAACTTGAAAGATTTTGGCGCATATGATGATCTCTTGTTGCTGTGTAGTAGACTAGTAGTATATATTGGGCAGTGTATGTGTATCCCGACATAAACAACGTGCTTCACATTTACTACATGAAGTGTTTATTACATACATGTCTGATAAAAGAATATACATTGAAATTGTCTTCATCTCAGTAAAATAATGATCTAACCGAAAAGACGAAAAACAAAGAAATGGAGAATGAATTTTGGTATTGCAGTTAAAAGAAATTGATATACAATTTTGCTGTATGTTCCTTCCTCTACCTCCCTATCTCAAGTAACGTAACCGCAGCAAATACAAGGAAGAGTGTACCTCCAATGTATGCAATTGTCTGTTCAATAAACACAAATTAATACCATTTTATCAACATTTATGTAGTCCAAAAAAGAAAAAAAATAATAAGAATCTAACCTTCTCAGAGAGGTATGTTCCCAGGAAAGATCCCCCCAGAACCGCTAACTGCAAAAGTATTTAATAATAATAATAATGTGGTATCAGATTCTTGTTATTTACAACATATATTGACTATTGAATACCCATTGTTGCAATAATTAATCGTGGGTGTAATTATTAGAGAATTATATACCAATGTTGCGACTCCATGACCAGCAAGTGCACCTGCAATTACTCCAAGAGGTGATGATGCCGCAGCTAAAGCTGAAACAAACAGTCTTCTTTTCCGTTAGCAAAAATATCTTTTTTTTTTTTTAAATTAATAATAAAAAATAGTTTACCGATTGTGGAGAAAAAGGATTTGTCGCCCCATTCAGCAACAAAAACTAAAAGGAAAGTGCTAATGACAGTGTTGGCAGCAGCAGATAGAGTACCCGCTCCAGATCCTGATACTTCCGATACTGCCAGCTCAGCCTGTATTATTATTATTGTTAACCATACATTTTCTTCTTCTTATTCCTTTTAAGTTTAATCTGCAAAAAATCAGTTTAATCACAGAGCTTAGAAATTCTTCATACCTCCTTTTGTTCTTCTTCTGCTTTTAGACCATCACCGGATGAGGCTTCAATCAATGATGAAACACCAAAATATACCTGTTATTATTAATTTGTGCAATTTACACCAATACGTTAGACAGTGAAAATCAAGAATCTAATGTTCGGTTGGTGTATAACTAGTTGTCTTTGTTTAGTACTGCTACGTAACATCAACAATTCCTTACCAAGAGGCAAACTGCAGCAAGATCATCGATCGGCAAATCAGCATTTCCAAACCTGATATATAACACAGTTTTTAAAGTACATGTTCAATTATTGAAAGTCAGACAAAAGCAGCTTTCAGTTGTACTTTTTTGTCCACGGTATGAGGAAAAGCAAACCTCAACGGGAAGATGCCATCAACATAGTGAAAAGTTCGTCCAAGAACAACCGATATAACTGTCATTACCCTGTTCACATTATTACAACAAAACATCAATTAGTTAATGGATAAATACAGAACTACGACAATGAACTTCCATACTGAAGCTTTCAGAATTTAAAATTTTGGAAATTTGCGGAAACAATTTAAGCAAAAATTCTGGAAAAAAAAACTCACGATAGTGCACCAAAAGTCCCTATGAAAGTGACAGCAGCAGAGTTCCTAGCTGCTAGAAGTGCCTGCTCAGAAAATCAACTAAACCAGTGTTCATCTTACTACAGAATTAACTGTCAAAATATTAGAACAAACGAATTTAACATACGACCCAAACCATTGATTTGAGAACATTTTTTTTTTCCAATCATGCACCTCTTTATTTCAGAAAATAGAAACAACAGAGGAGTTGATTTAACTGAAAATGGATCGATTTTTATGCAGCAGAAAACATCATATATCACGAATATGAGTTCATTGAAACGAAAAACTGATAATTTCTACTGTCTTACCGCAATGAAAAAGGTTTTATCTCCAAGTTCGGAAAAAAATATCAGCAAGAATGCCTGCAAGAAAAGATAGCATTCATGAAATTACTTTTCTGTTATATTCATTCAAGCATGTGAAAATCCCAGTATCCATTCAAAAAGGGTGAATGCAGGAAAGATTGACAAAACGATGATAAAAATGATGAGGATTTAAAGCAAATTATATATAGCAATATAGAGTTCAAGCACGGCAGATAAAAGTTACAGGGAGAATTTCCTAACTGAAGCAAAACCTGTGCTAATATCGTCGAACTCCCCTAAAAACGGAAAGGATTGCAGGCTTGTAGCAACATCTGAACCGGCAAATGCTTGTTGAGTAGTTTGAAGAGTGAAAAATCCACACAACAGCAAAACCTTCAGATAACTAAGTGACGGCGCATTTTGAACTCCGTAATCTAATGATGTAGCACTTTTCTTCCTTGGATTATTCAACCACAAAATTTCTCCAGGAGAGCTCCAGATTTTACTAGTACCAGGCAACAGTGTGAAGTTGTAACATTTCTCCTTTGTAGTCGTAAGTTCCTGAGCAAAAGCATAGCATCCCAAATAATTGAATGATCGATTTTGTAAGATAATGAGAGCCGACAATTTTTTTCAATGATCAATGTAATAGTTGTTACTGTAATGATGCACCTGTACGTTATACGTAAATACATGTGATAGTTAAGAGAATCAGTTTATAGTCAGATAGTGTGCTGATAATGGTTTAGTCAACCTTTTTTGATGCAAAAGATGGGATCTCCGAATCATATGGAGACTTTCCAGCAAAAATCTTCCCTACAAACAAGACGATTCGCTTAACTAATCATCAACCAAGAAAAATATGCTGATATATAAGCTTGCATCTACGTATAAACACACACACAGACACACACACACACACACAAAAATGTACTACATTTTCCTTCAAATGATAGGACTTTTGTGCCTTTTTTTGTCCTTGACCTGAAATACAAGGGATCACTTTGCGGAATTCAGCGATTGAACAAACTAGATCCATCTATTCTTCGTGAAACGAACAATTTCATCACTTATCCAGTATAAGCATACAAGACATTTCGTTTCAAAGAGGAAAGGCTAGTCGGCTACATATAGTTTAGCTGTGCATTTCAAAATATAGTGACTAGTAATCAATAATCACAATTTATAAAAAAATAAAAAAATCAAGAAAGTAGTTTATCCCAATTCAGATTGGGGGACAGTGGTAAAGCACCAGGCAAATACTAATGCAGCCCACTAACAAAAGTATGAACAAACACAGTTCCCACTTACTGATTCACCAAAAAAAAAATCAATTCTTTTCTTCCAGAAACAAAAAGGAGCAGCAAAATCTTCACTGAATTTTCTCACTCAATGCAGAAATTACATGAACAAACTAAAATGAAATTTAAAAAAATGAATGAGCAGTGGAATTACTTGAAAAACGGAACTGTGGCGGGAAGAAGAAAGAGAAAGAGGAATTATTCCTGTGATCAGCGCGAGAGCTCCATGGAATGGTGGCGAAGTGAGCACCGGGCAGAGTATAAACCATTATTAATTAAATCAATAAAAAATGGGGGTTTCAGAAATACGCTGTCTGCGAATTTATGGATGCAAAATGTAATCCATGAAATAGAGTAATTTTGTGGAATGTAAAGTGATAAACCCCTCTGTTGATATATACGTGTGGTGGAAACGAACAGCTGCTCTCAATTGCATGCTGATTTGCCCCCACTAACTTCTTTATTCAATTTATTGGATAATTGCCATTTTGCACCCTTAAGTTAAAACAATAGCAGAATGCCACCCCTCAACTTATATTTTCTTGGCAAAGTGCACCCTAGTGCTAGTGCAATTTCCGGCTGAAAATGTTATGGATACGCACGCATGTTGTTTGATCATATTCATTCCATAATCATATGGAATTTTTTTTTATTGCATCAAATAAATTATTAGTAAAATTGATTTATTTGTAACTAATTATGTTTTGAATAAGAAATATGCATTTCCATCAGAAAAAAAGATGGGAGAGAAAAGAACAGAACAATTAAGACTTTTCCACTATCACTGTAAATTTGTAATTAGAGATGAATAAATAAAGCCTTACACAAAGGCAATATGGTTAAGAGCTCTATTCCTCGTATGATCTGCGGAAGGCTAAAACATCATCGTACCAAAAATTACATCGTCAAGAAATGTGCATTCCCTTTCTTGACGGAAAAAACAATAATGTACAATGTATGTGTCTGTATTCTGATTCTGAAATTAAATTACGTTGTCATCGTCATCACCGTTGGATTCCAGCACCTCGGCTTCCCCAGAAAAAAATTAGAAACTTCTTCTCCCTTCTGAACCTCCCGGAAAAATGGAAACTTTTGAAAGCAGGAGGAGTTACTTCCCAATAAGTTTATAATAGGCATACATGCCCGAGCCAATGAAGCCGAGAAGTTGCCCAATCACATTCAACTGCAACCAAAACCGTAATTATATAAGACTTAAGCATGACAAATGACGAGTGGTGTAAGAGAGCAAATATAATGTCATACGGTGCTGCAAAAAGAAGTAAAAAGAAAGGAGATTGCACTTACTAAATCAAATGGTAGCCCACCAAATATTAACCAGCCGAGCGTAATTGTGAATAGATCCTAAACAAACAAGAACACACGCTACATGAGTACAGGCACAAGGAAGGGAAACAGTGGTTTGCAAGATTTTGAATGGTGCTCTGTATTATTGGTAATATAATATTTTTACGAGCAACGTAATGATTTTCTTTTCCTAATCCTTGCAAAATGAAATGAAAACCCTCAAACAACATTCGGCTATAATGCACCAGAATGACTACAGATTATCGGATGTTTTTTACTCTCCAGAAAGTGGTAAAGTTGCAGTAGCATTCAGAAGAAAGAGAAAACATGTAGTTGTGAACATACCTTCAAATTACCACAGATTGTCTGAGTCAGAGCAGAATTCAGAGTTGTGTTGAGGAATATACTATAATTCAGGAAGAAAGCTAGGACACACGACAAAAGTAACACCACCTGACATAAAAAAATCCAGCAAACAAACCAAGTTAATGTTGTTATACGATTTCCCCAATCTGAAATACAAATACAAATACAAATTACGGTAACTGTGCCTCAAGCTTTAGTAAACAAATATTACCAGGAAACCAGGAGAAAACAAATTCGGAAAATTCATTGTCAACTCCAAGTCACCTCGGAAAAGGGTCCACAGAAGTAAAACAGGTCCGCACAAAATCCCTACAAAATATATATTTACAAGATTTAGTATAAAGATTTAACAAAGAAAATACTCCAATGTCTAGTTACTCACCGTTGCACCACATGAGGCCAAAGCTATTAAGCCCACTGGTTTTTCCTGGCCAAATAAAATATCAGAAACGAAAAAATAAAAACAAAGCTGCAAGATGAGAATGATGGACAGAGCTGAAGAAGTGGTACCAATTCGGGCTATGGTTGCAAGGTATATTGCAGTGGTGATGTTGGATACAAAAACAATTAGATATCCGTACGTGTCAAACGACAAGTCCCGAGATCCGGCAATAAAAGCACCAAAAACTATCAATGCCACACTGAAAAAATCCACAAGTAGTCAGTTATTAAATGAAGCGAAAGAGACGTCAGATTTCAAGAAACATTTATAATTATTTATAAAAATAAATAGGAGGGAGGGAATCTCACCTTCCAAGAATAGGGCGAGTGTACCTCTGCTGCACGAGGATGTACTCGACAATCATTGTAAATACAACTGTAGTTCTACGCAAGGTTGTATACATAGGAACATTAACACCTCGAACAGACTCCATGGTAGCTAGCTTTCAAAGTAACCAAGACAAGATTTTTAATACATTTTTTTATGAAGAGAGAGAAAGATTACTAGATAATATAGCAGGATAAAGCTAAATAAACGAGTGGAAGAAATTATTACCATGTAAAGCAAATAGGCTAAAGCAAGAGGCGAAGTGTTGATCAATGTCTTTATTGGTACCAACGTTTTGAAATTGTCGGTGATGGCTATGGATTCATTAGCATGAAAAGAAATGAGCTTTAGGCGTCGTAAAGCATAAAGAAAGCAGCACGAACATATCATCTGCAGCAGATAAAATCAATGAAAATAAATATGTGAATTTCATGGATCCATGTAATAAAAAAATGGAAGAAATTTAACAATTAGATATGTTGCAATTCCTTTCTCTTTCTGTTTTTTTTTTCTTTATTTAACAACAAAAGAGGCAGAATTTACACATTAAACTCTTAATGGTTTGACCCGTAGCCATAGGAAGATTCTAACATTCTAGAATATTTGGTTTAAGTAATGCTCCATCCATTCTTTTTTGTAAGTAGTTTAAGGTTTCGGCGCACAGATTAAGAAACTCATTAAAGACTTGTCCAACACGTGGTGAAAAAGGTCGATACAAGAGAGAGTGGATATAACACAATAAACACATAAGGTCATTCTACATATATGTTTCCATTAGATATACAGGCCAATAAGATCCTAGATCGGCGTCAAGGTATTCAATTTTACCTGACAAAGTGTGATGACGTTGGCACATGGGAAGCTGTACGAAGAAAGAGCTGCTTTATTGAATAATACAAGGAGGACTGCAAAAATAAAGTCAAAAATCATTATTTCCAGAAAACGCAGGTCAGAAAATTGAAGAGTTTAATCATCAATTTTGGACGACAAAACTCAGCAGAAGTGCAATTAGCAAGTTGAACCAAACAGCCTGACCTTGTAAGCTATGCCAACTAAATAATCTCAGTGTTGTCGATAACCAAGTTGATTTTTAAGTTCTACATTCTAAATAATACTTCATGGTTTAAAGTGACTACAGATTACCGAAAGCAATTTTGACGACTAAAGAACACTCATCTTTCACTATTCAATATGCTCATGTGAGAATTTTGACTCTGAAATTTGAGTCCTCGATACATGTCAGACCATGTAAACCCGATGGATCAGTCGCCAGATAATGAATTAAGGTTTTCATTTATTTGTATGTCTCCCAGGATTGATACTTTTAGCATTACAAGACTCAATTTTTATCCAGAACAAACATTAATTGAAGAGCACATGATTCAAAATATTCACATTTACCACATTTTATATACATGGAAACATCAATCAATATTCGAGTAAAACAATTTTATGAACTTCACCATCCAATCCATTAGGGCCGTGATAAAAATTAGAAAAGGAATAAAAAAAATTGAATCTTTGAAGAAAATCAAGGAAACCAAATTATGGGTCACAGCTAATCACCAACTAAATCAAACCCATACAAATCAGTTCTTATGAAATAAATTTTTAAGAAGAAAAAAAAAAAGAAAAAAAAAAAGAAAAGAGTACCGGCGCAACCCATGTAAGAGATGGCAGCATAGGCGCCGCGTTTAGTCATGGCGGATCCTTTAAAAAGCTTCTCCTCCACTCTCGCCGGAGGATCAGTCGACGCCATTGGCAGAAGCGAACTGCTCTTCGAATTCGTCGCCATTGATTTTTCTCAATAATCGATTCTTGAACGATTCTCTAGTTTTTACAGGGATGAGACGAGACTCTCTTGACTTTCATTCTTTCTTTCTGCGTCTCAATTTCTTTTCAACACGGAATTGCAAAACAAGTATTTATTTTTTGTTAAAAAACTTATAAGTTCTAAATATTAAATTGAAACTGTGTGACTCAGAAAAGGAATCAATGGCTAATTAGGAAATTTACAGAGTGGTGGGTTCTTTCTTTCTTTATACAGAATTATTTATTGCTTTTTTCATTTATTTTTTAAATATTTTTGTATTTCTTTACTAACTTAAATTAACTATTTGTTGCTGTCCAATTAATTCTTTAAAATAAATCTACTATTATTGTGTGGTGAAAATGTTCAATGGATTAGCTAATCGTAATTATATTGACTTATTCATATATTTTTATTTTTTTTATGATTTCAGTGATCGATTGAAGTAAGTTGTTCGTCGAAAATGTATAGATACAGACGACTAATAATATTCATTATAGTAAAGCTGAAGATGTAAGTTTTTGTTACATATAATTTATTTTACATGAAAAATTGTAATAATTGAGGTTAGAATTCACTATTTCAATGTGAAGTTGCACAACTTTGAAAACTATGAGAGTTGATTCTTCGATTTTGATTTAATAATTGACCGAAATTGGGCCGGGAAGACCAAACCACTTTTTACTTAAGACACCTTAAGAATTGGTCTTAGGGTTGCCCATTTACCAATAGCTTGCAATGACATCATAATAGGAGCAATAAAACTTAATTAGTAATTAAAGTTAATTGAAAGGTTAAATCAATTAAATAATGTACCTATCAAGTGAAGATAATAATGTCAATGTTTATATTAAATACGAATCGGAATGAGTAGTAAAAATAATTATTATCAAATTATAGAAGCAACATTAATTCTTTGGCTATCGTACACTATATACAGGAAACAACAAAAGATCTTTATAATATTAAAAAGAAAATAATAATAATAATAATAATAATAATAATAAATGGAAATCGCGAAATAGTTGATTTGGTTCATGAATCTGTGCCTATATATATGTGTGTATTAATGTGTAAATTTGGAAAAACAGCAAGCATGGTAACAATAGATGAAATCGAGAAATATATAAGGGGGTGCAGTGCAGTGGATGTGATCAGTGGATGACAACATGCATTAATATTATGGGCATGTTCATCAAAATATAGACACATTACTTTTCAACATCGATCCACTATTTTGAATTTTCAACACCGTGTGCATGTTTAGTTGTTTTCGATCTCCTCTATTTATTCTCCATTATATATATATATATATATATATATATATATATATATATATATATATATATATATATATATATATATATATATATATATATATATGGTGGTTATTTTTGTATAATAATTTGGTGTAGCTTAGATCTTCCCACTTCAAATTTGGTGGTGTTTGCAAATGTTTTTTGAAAGTGATTATGCGGTTTTTTTTGCTCATAATTTGTTTTTAGGTGTTTGCAAAATTAACTTTTGCTTTTGCTTCTCTTAAAATAATCTGCTTTAAGTTATTTTTTTAAAGGGGAAACTACAGATAAATCCCTAATCCAAAACTCAAAACACAGATCAGTCCCTAAATAGTTTCCCCAAGCAATTCAGTCCCTACTCACGCGCCTAACATGCAGATCAGTCCCTAATAAAATGTGCAAATACTAAAATACCCTTTACTTTATATTAATTTTACATAACTTCTTTTCAACTTCCAACGCGCCGTTTGTGTTACACGCTCTTTGCCACTTTATACCCATTTTCAGACCAAGAAGAAACAGAGAAGAAACGAAGAACAAAGAAACGAAGAACAAAGAAACGAAGAACAAAGAAACAACAAAGAACGAAGAAATTACGAAGCACGAAGAATCAACAAAACGCAGAAAAATAATAAAGCGAAAGGAAAAATAAAAATAAACAAACCCATTTATAGACAATGGTGAAGCAGGGTAAACAATAAGGTTTGATTTTTTATTTTTTTTTCATTTTCTTGGAAACAGACCCATTTGGGTGTTGCTTGAGCTTGCAAAAGGTTAATTTGTTATAGAATTGCATGATTTTGAACATATCTACTCATGGGTATTATGCCTCGACTCTATTCGGTGTTTCCCCTAATCATTAAATCGGTTCCAATATCTGTTGTTCTGTTGTTTGGGTTTGCAAAGATCATTTATTTGTTGTCGAATTTCATGATTTTGTAATAGTTTTCTCATGAGTATTATTCTTCGGTGACATTAGCATGTCCCCAAAGCATTTTGAGTCCTAACAAGGGTTTCATATAGGATATGGGAAAGAGGCTTATTGTATTTTTCGTACTGGTTCTATAGTATGTGTCATGCGCAGTAATGGTATTAATAGTGCATTTAGATGGTATTGACACAGGGTACTCGAAGTATAATGTTTGATGGTCCTGTAGTATAAGTCATATCCACAATAGTATTGCTAGTGCTGTTTAGTGATATTGCTAGTGCATTCGAATAGTATAATGTTTGATTGTAATGTAGTATGTGTCATATGCAACAATGGTATTGCTAGTGCATTTGGATGGTATTGAACGAAATTACTGGAAGTACTAGTAGTGGAACTTTATAGTACGTTGTATTTGTTATAATTGTAGTTTTATGTGTATGTAATTGCAGGAATTGATGTAAAAGAAGATTGTAGTAAGCTATCAATAGGCTGCAGGTGCTCACCGATCGCTTTTCAAACAGATGAATGTGTTTTTTGTGCCATAAACAATCTGTCCTTTTGTTGTAGAGATAATAATACTATTGATTAGCTCTACTCGTACTTTTCCATTGTATACATTGTACTATATGTTTCGATGAAATGTACTTACTTACCTTTTGAACACATGGTACTTTATTTTGCGATTAATTAGTTTGTATAAAGAATATAAGCGTACCATAAAAATGAGCAACAAATACTTTCTAGTCTATTCGAAGATACCTTGTCAACACTAGACTTGTACTTACTTGATGAACAAAGCGTACTTCACATGTGTATTCACGAAAAACTTACCATAATCGATGTTGATCGACTCCCACATTGTTCCTATTCATTCTTAATAGTCTTAAACTGAAGAGTTGTGTCTTAAAATGCGATCATATGGATGCATTGGCCCAACAATAATATATAGAGTGTAACAATACTATATGAATGGCAAACATATACTTTATCAGTGAACAAAGCGTACTATAGTCACGAATCACTTGTACTTCACATGTGTATTCATTGTACTTACTTGATGAACAAAGCGTACCATATTTTTTGATGAATTGAATTGTACCAATTTCATTGACGCTTTAATGATCAATAAGTACGGGAGATGCATAAATTATGTTTTAGATGATTATTTTAAGGTAGGTGAGCATTATTGTTGCGTTTGGAATACAAGATCCCATAAATATGTTGAATTTCATACATGATACTCATATACTATACAATATATTCATACAAGTCTATAATGCTCAAGTATAAAACTAATATTTTCCTCAATTGTTACCATAATCGATATTGATCAACTCCCACATTGTCTCCATTCATTCTTAATAGTCTTAAACTGAAGAGTTGTGTCTTAAAATGCGATCATATGGATGCATTGGCCCAACAATAATATATAGAGTGTAACAATACTATATGAATGGCAAACATATACTTTATCAGTGAACAAAGCGTACTATAGTCACGAATCACTTGTACTTCACATGTGTATTCATTGTACTTACTTGATGAACAAAGCGTACCATATTTTTTGATGAATTGAATTGTACCAATTTCATTGACGCTTTAATGATCAATAAGTACGGGAGATGCATAAATTATGTTTAAGATGATTGTTTTAAGGTAGGTGAGCATTATTGTTGCGTTTGGAATACAAGATCCCATAAATATGTTGAATTTCATACATGATACTCATATACTATACAATATATTCATACAAGTCTATAATGCTCAAGTATAAAACTAATATTTTCCTCAATTGTTACCATAATCGATATTGATCAACTCCCACATTGTCTCCATTCATTCTTAATAGTTTTAAACTGAAGAGTTGTGTCTTAAAATGCGATCATATGGATGCATTGGCCCGAAAATAATATATAGAGTGTAACAATACTATATGAATGACAAACATATACTTTATCAGTGAACAAAGCGTATTATAGTCACGAATCACTTGTACTTCACATGTGCATTCATTGTACTTACTTGATGAACAAAGCGTACCATATTTTTTGATGAATTGAATTGTACCAATTTCATTGACGCTTTAATGATCAATAAGTACGGGAGATGCATAAATTATGTTTTAGATGATTATTTTAAGGTAGGTGAGCATTATTGTTGCGTTTGGAATACAAGATCCCATAAATATGTTGAATTTCATACATGATACTCATATACTATACAATATATTAATTCATACAAGCCTACAATGCTCAAGTGTAAAACTAATATTTTCCTCAATTGTTACCATAATCGATATTGATCAACTCCCACATTGTCTCCATTCATTCTTAATAGTCTTAAACTGAAGAGTTGTGTCTTCAAATGCGATCATATGGATGCATTGGCCCGACAATAATATATAGAGTGTAACAATATTATATGAATGACAAACATATACTTTATCAGTGAACAAAGCGTACTATAGTCACGAACTTCACATGTGTATTCATTGTACTTACTTGATGAACAAAGCGTACTATATTCACGAATAACCCAAACTTTACCAGCTTATACATTGTACTTATTTGGTGAATAAAACGTACTATATTCACGAATAACCCAAACTTTACCAGCTTATACATTGTACTTATTTGGTGAATAAAACGTACTATATTCACGAATAACCCAAACTTTACCAGTTTATACATTGTACTTATTTGGTGAATAAAGCGTACTATATTCACGAATAACCCGAACTTTACCAGCTTATACATTGTACTTATTTGGTGAACAAAGTGTACTATATTCACGAATAACCCGAACTTTACCAGCTTATACATTGTACTTATTTGGTGAACAAAGCGTACTATATTCACGAATAACCCTAACTTTA